GTAATGACCGTATGAACATGAAGGAACATGTATGACTTCCACCAGTCAGACTGTTGTTTGTGTCCAGTGAGTAACTTCTTTGTATGAAACTTCACACCACAAACTATAATATTTTATCTGGACTTTTTATCTGGTTTTGTCTGAATTCACAGTTTTAAAATGCAACGTTTAAACGCGCTTGTCTGCATATTACAAGTTGGGAAAAGAGACGCGCGTTAATGATGATGCGAAACGCCTGATATGACACCCATATATCTGGTAAAACTCGTGACTTCGTGCCACACAGACACTGTCTTTTGATTCTAAATCTGTACTGATGGTATTTGGAGAGTCTGGTCTGCCTCGGTCAGTAGGTTATTTCTTTCTCAGGCTCCCGACGCATTTTTTCTGGTAAGATGAGGATGTGGGGTTGGGGGAGGGGTAACCGGGGGGGGTATGTGCGCTTTGACATAATGGTTAAAGTGGGTGTTGGGGCTGGTAGATGCTTTAAGTTTTGGGGGTCAGTTGAACATGTGGAACGTGTGACCATTAGTCCTCGTCTCAAGGGACACGACCCGTTGACCCTTTTCTTTTTTTGTCAGACGACAGACAAACGCAGACAGACAAACTTCCAGAAATACTTTGCATATTTCCTGCATGTAAAGGATGCATGTTTTCCTCCCCGAGGCCGTCTGGGGTGAATTTGAGAGGATCACACAACCCCCAAAATGTGAATGGGAGAAGATATGCATCATGCCCACGGCTTCTACAAAAAAAATACATTTCCATTCCATTCGCCAACGTGCACACGCACAGGAGTCCCTCTCGAACTTTCCCAGACGTCGTAGAAGGAGTTCTGAGAAAAAACGGGCAGGATTGTTGACATGACTGAGGTCAAAGTTATTTTTTATATGTTTTGGCACACCAAAGGCGGTCTATTTTTTATCTAAAGTCTATTTCGGGTTTGAGGCCCTTGATTGTAAAGAAAATAAAAGCCATGAAGACATTTACTTCAAAAAGTACCAGTTTTATTGTGTGAGATATCTTAACGTTTTGAAGATGAGTCATGATGAAGAGAATTCAGATATGAAGACATTTTGAAGACAAGTAATTAATGTTGTTCACTATGTCTTAATATATATGAAGGTCACCAGAATGGCAGCGTGAGTGATACGACCTTCCTGTCTGATTTCTAATGATTCCAAAATTACAAAGCAAATTTTTGTGTGTTTTGATGCTGAGAAACCAGACTATTCATTCAGTACTTCTAGACTTTGTTTGAAAGATACAGAATAAAGGTGTCATGTTCATCCTCTTCATTACTGATCATTTCTCTTTTCCACCTGCATGACAACTGCTAAATAAATTGAAATGTCTTTGAGTTACACGTGTAAAAAAATAAAGATTGAGGGAGAATAAAAACATAAAAATTCTGCACAGAACCTTTAACGAAATGGCCAATTTACCTCACAAATACATTGTACATCTCTGTCTCCCATCCATCCGTTCATCCTTCTATCCGTGCACCCTTTGATGTTGCTATTCTGAGCTGGATGCAGATAAAAAAGAGGTTATCTAAAAGAACCAGCAAGGCTGTTTCTCAGACAAGCAGTCACCTTGGGCCCTTAAAGACCTCAGACCTCCACTGATAACCCACCAGCAGCACCACCGCTCCAGATACACTATCTGCCCACAGAGTTCTACTCACCACCTCCGAATGAGAGGTACCCCCCTCTGCTGCATGCAAGGAAAGATGTGATGGTCTTCAAGATAGTGATTATGTTGTTTCTTTTGTTGTGATGTCCTGTAGAATTGTGTAGAACTGTATTTATATATCAGAGCAGTGTAGAAACGGAGACGGGTGCCGTGTTCTTCCAGGACTTAAATCTTTGCCCCTTTAATGATATGAATGGATCTGATTGATTGTTGGATTCAAACGATGCTTTTCTTTGTTTCTTTTTCATGTATGCAAGACCAACTGCATGCAGGGTTGTTAATGTGTTTGTTTGCCCTTTTCGTACCACCTTAAGGCACTCTGCTATCCGTTTGGGTCGCTCTGAAACAACAACATATCTGGCTCATCAAATGTTTTTACTCCTTGAAATGTTTCAAGGCCTAAATTTAAAACTCATTCCTGTTGCATGGTGCTCACTAGAATCAAGACTTAAGAGTGAGGGACAGTTGTTGTTCACTTTGTGTCATAAACATGTCTCCTATCTCCCCTCAATAAATCATATTGAGCCAAACTACATGCTGTTTATCAACTGTGTGTCTGTATCTGCGTCCTATTGAAAGGCTGCAGGAACTCATTGAACTGAGCAAACATTCTCCTAGAAGTCTTGAAGGTTCTTCTCCAGTGGGTGTTGGGTAAACTGCAGGAGTGGAGGGCGCTGGGTCGACGGCCCGAGGAGGCCTCGCTTTTCCACCGCTGCAGCTTCCACTTGGTTCCCACCACAATTTACATTCCCCACCGTCTACCTCACCAGCGGATCCACGTCAGTGTGCCCTGACCCACAATGCCCCTGCACATGTACACACAGAGAGAGCTGCAGAAAGAACAAACTTTTACAGCACTTGGTGACAAGGCCTTTTCTTTTTTTGACGGTCTAATGACCTGTAGCAACATTTCCTCTTTCCACCACAGCAGCAAACATCCAGGAAGTCTGCATCCAGCGTGCAACAACACAGAGCCAAGGGGTATTTTCATAGGGTTATAAATGGGTTGTCAGAGTGCCTGTACATCTCTTGCTGCTCAGGGTAAAGTCAACAGCTCTGGGGGTCATTCATTAATCTGCAATGCCTGGGCTGACATGAGCGAGAGGGCCAGGCTGCGTGTGAGCTCACACAAGCAGTGATAGCGGTAGGAGGGGGAGGGGGGGAGGACGGTGTCAGCTGCCGCTCCTTAGTCTCCTGCTCTCGCAGGTCTCTTACATCTAGCTTTCTTATTATCAACATTTTTTATGCCGGCGGCCATTGTTAGCGTGCCCCGTCTTCCATCACAGCCTCAAATTTTATGGCCTGTTCCGCCCCAATGGATCAAAAACGGAGCACGAAAACAACAAACAGAAAAGATCAACGGCTTAAAAAAAAAAAGGAAGCAAAGATGACACAAAAAAGAAAAACCGAGCGGCCCGTCACAGCCACAATATGCTATTTTAGAGACAATTGAAACCATGCTATCAGATATGGATGGTCACCTTACTTTGGCATCACCTTGGGTTGAATCAATGTAGGCATCAGATGTCTGCAGTCAACATTCTGCTAAAATATATATTTTTTTATGTCCTCAAGCAGAAATCAGTATCACTTTATCTCAGACGCAAAGGTTGTTAAAACAAAAGCACCATAAAGGTTAATTAACAGCTACTCTCAAGATTTGAGACATCTCTCTCAACATAAGCTTTATAGGACATATACATTAGGATGTTAAATTTGCAACATAACTACGGTACTTAAATTTGTTACGTAACTTCGTTGTGTTCCTACAAATTGACTCCGCCTCATTTCTCTCCTGCTCCGTCGCCCTTCTCCCCGTTTTCTGAAACTTTCCCTCGGAGCTTCTGGAGCTGCTCTGCTCCTAGCCAGACTTCTTTTGACCCCTCTTCCATTGTCCGTCTGGCTTTCTCAATCTCACAGGCCGGCCGGCTGTAAGAATCACGGTGCACGAAGCCAGTGGAAAACCGTACAAATGCATAGCATAAACGATGAGAAGACGCTACCCTTCCGTTTCCCACCCATTTCAACATTCAGTGGTTAGAATAATAGCTTCGGGGGATCCAGAGGACGGGGGGGGGGGCGCTGAAGGGGACTTGGTCCTCAGAATGCTCAATACCACCCACGTTAAGCTGCGGTCTCGCCATTGTGTTTTAACCCGTCAGGTGGCTCGTCGATTGACACCGCGGCAGGAAGTTGCTGTAGAAAAAGCCCCATTTTTACCCACAGGGACACGCCGCTGATGAAGTCGCCCTCCCATTGCTTCACCGAGTAAGCTGGGGAGGCCGCGCGTCCTTTTATTTCACGTGAGCACCTCCTTTTGTTTTTTTGTCGTATTTGCCGATTAGCGCCACTAGCGCAGGCGTCGCCATGTTGAGAGCCATCGGGAGGCAATCAATAAAAGCGTCATTTTTTGGACAGTTCACTATTTGTCCACCAGTTACTGCTCATTACACACGGCCACCGAACATCACACTTGGTGTGGTGTTGCTAACAGCCTCTGACCTCATGACCCAACCCAATCTGTACTTTAACCCCGTGTTCTGTATGGCGATCATTCAGCCTCCCAGAACCTTGTTTTCTTCTTGTGAGCAATACATTTTTTACTGAATAACACTTAAGAAATGGCCTAAAAAGGAGAAGTGTGACTCGATCCATCTGATCCCTTACTGGCTCCAATGGGAGAGGTCTGACCTATCTCACACTCCGAAGGAGCAAAGGGGTCCAGTAATCTTTTACTGGAACATGCAAAACAATGAGTCATCAAATTGCAGATATGAAACGGGTTGCAATTTCTCGGCCGGTCCGGGAAGAGGGAGCATTCGCAGAAACGCAAATAATCACACAAGTCAGTTATTTAACAATCAGTGCTCGTTAAAAGAAAAAATAATCATTATCATCAACCCTGGAAATGTGTAATCCACTATAGAGGATGACACAACTTCATTTTGCACACAAGGCCTTGAGGCAACACACGGCCACATGCGTCACATGTAAGCACAGCAATTCTATGACACAGACAAATTAGGGGGTTGTTGTCAGAAACAGTCTGCTGCTCTCAGACAAAAAGGAAAACCCTTCAAACGACACCTGAAGACGAAATCAATCAAATCAATCAATCAATCCGGCTCAGGCTGCTTGTTATGAACACAAAGTGACCCATCTGCACAACATGTTTGCACCTGGCAGAAGGATACACGTGAGGCTCCGACCTCTCCACTGACCGAATGGAAAGGTGAGACCCCGCCCACCCGGAGCGGGGGGCGGGGCGGGGCAGGGGGGGGGGGGTGCGAGGAGCGCGAGACGGTCCAAACTGGAGGGAGTCGCAGCGCGAGAGGAGGACGGGACGATGATTAAGTTTGGGACACAACAGAAAGTGGATGTTTGGAGGCGAATACTTTTATTCGTGGAAGGGAGAGAAAAATAAAGATGGACTTTTGACTTCTTGACGTCGTAGTCACGCGGGAGAGAGAAACGGTTTCCGAATAATAAGTTCACATCTGGACCACCGGGATGTTTGGATGAGCAGTAACTCCGACAGGTAACGACACCGTACATGAAGAATACTTTATTCTGTCAAGTTTACTCCAGGTCAAGTTCGCAAACGATCACACCTTTTGACTTCTTTTCCAAAAACCTGGAAGTCGCTCAGACCTCCATCAGTAAACGTGACGTTTCAATTTAAATGAGGTGAAAACGAAACGTGCCCCAAAATTCTATTTGAGCTCAATAGAGACATAGTTTTTGTTTTAATTGGACATTTTTTAGTTATTAATTTGGGTTTCACACAATCTGCTACATTTTGCGAGGCTTGTCCACCTGAAATCATAATTAAATGTAGCCTACCTCAATGATTCTTCATGGCACCTTTTACCTTTTAAAGGTTTATTTACGAGTCACAGTACATTTCACCTGACGTTATAACAATCATGGCTCGTGATTTATGAATAGAAGGAACCGACGAGGCTGTTTGTTGTTAAGGTGTAGCCCCCTAAAGCTGCTACTTCTTGTGTTATTTATTTCATCAATATCTTTATGTGTCTATCTTTTATTGTTTTAGATGTCATTTCCGATCTTGGCCAGGACACAATCTCAGTTATTAAATTATCATGAATTAGAGTTAAACACTACACACAAGACCACAAACACACAAACATCTGTGCAATATAAGCACTGTGCAATAACACTTATAGTTATGTCTGTTTATAGAACATTTCATTTACGTCATTGTGGATTAATGTTTCATATTTCGGTTTAATTATTGCTTATTTATACATTATTTGCACTTTTGCCCTTTTCTTTCTATCCTGTGCGTTTCCCTGCTTTGGGACTAATAAATTATTTAATCTAGTCTATTTTTCTTCTCTACACATATTTAGCAAAATTATGTTGTACATAACTTTTAAGAATTTGATCCGTTAACAGGTCCTTCGAGCTCCATGATGCCAGTTCTGACGCGGCCCAGCTGAGCAGACCTCCCTCTGCTGTGTCCGGTGCTGTGGCGCCCCCTGCTGCGTGACCGAGGAAGGCCAGTCGGGACGCGCAGGATGGCGAACCAACTGAAGGATGGGATGAACGCCGTCATCGTCAGCCACTACAACCACTCAGGAAAGTGGGACAAGTCTCGCGGCGGCGGCGCCTGCAAGACGGCGCTGCTGCTCTTTATCTGCGTGCTCATCGTCCTGGAGAACGTCACGGTGCTGCTCACTCTCTGGAGGAACAAGCGCTTCCACAGTCGCATGTACTTCCTCATTGGGAACCTGGCGCTGTCTGACCTGCTGGCCGGCGTGGCCTACGTGGTCAACATCTTCACCTCGGGGAGCAACACCTACTTCCTGACGCCGGCGCAGTGGCTGGCCAGAGAAGGGAGCATGTTCGTGGCCCTCAGCGCGTCCACCTTCAGCCTCCTGGCCATCGGGATCGAGAGGCACATGACCATGGTGCGCTTGCGTCCGTGCGAGGCGGCGGGTCGGGGGAGGCTTCTCGGGCTGCTGGCGGCCTGCTGGCTCGTGTCGGTGCTGCTCAGCGCCCTGCCCAGCATGGGCTGGAACTGCCTGGACAACATGGCCTCCTGCTCCACGGTGCTCCCGCTCTACGCCAAGAGTTACGTGGCCTTCTGCATCAGCGTGTTCAGCGCCCTGCTGGTGGCCATCATCATCCTCTACATCCGGATTTACCGCCTGGTCACCTCCAGCGGCCGCAGGGTGAGCAGCCGGCCTTCGGAGCGCTCGCTGGCCTTGCTGCGGACGGTGGTGATCGTTCTGGGATTGTTTGTCATGTGCTGGACGCCGCTCTTCGTCCTCCTGTTGCTGGATGTCGGCTGCAGCCCAGACCGGTGCCCCGTGCTCTACCAGGTGGACTGGTTCATAGCCCTGGCGGTCCTCAACTCGGCCCTCAACCCTCTGATCTACACGCTGTCGAGCAGGGAGATGAGGGCGGCCTTCTTCAGGCTGCTGTGCTGCTGCCAGGGCGGCCTGGAGCAAACCGGGACGGCCGCGGCGGGCAACCCCAACCTGGGAACGGTCATCCCCACGGTGGAGAACAGCAAGACCAGCGCGGGGGGCGGCAGCGGGGGCGGCAAGTCCACGCTGAACAGGGGGAAGGTCCCCGCGGCCATCAGCGCCGACAACAAGCACGGAGACCCCTCAGCCACTGGCGCGGCCCTTCCCGCCAGGCCCGCGCACCTCCTCTCGGCCGTGCTGGTGAAGGCGGGGGCGCTGCCGACCCTCGGCAAGTTCTGAGCGGCGGCGGCTCGACGGGGCTTTGCGGTCCCACGGGAGTAGACGCGGAACTGACACGCTCCTGCTGACAGACACTTTTTGTTTATGCACTACGGCCAGTGTGGGTTTGGACGATGTCGATACTGATGCAGATGAAAGAACACTTAAAGCCACTATTTACAAACACTTTTATTCATAAAAGTCCAGTGGACAGACAATGGACAATTTCATAGAAATGGATTCAAACAAACCCCAAATTGAATTAATTCAGGTCTAAAAGTAGACTTGGTAATGCTTTAAACAATAGCATATATTTAACATTAACAGGGTTGTATCTGTAGATGGGTTTATTTTATTGTGTCATTAGAAATAATGGAGATTAAGCGCTTTTTTTTGCTTGTGCTATATGCATGCGTCACAAATTGACTTGGTAAACTTTATTTTCTGTGAAAACATTTGCCATCCTAATGATATTGGTATAGCTGGTTAAAATAGTTTGTGTGAATAGAAAACACCACGGTACTAGGACTTAATTATTGATTTTTGTCGTGATTTGAGATGCACTGTGAGAGTAAAAGACCAAAAGTTGGTTTCTCAGACTTGCGGCCTCCCGAGGCTGTGAATCACATTACACACCAGAAATAGAAAAGTTGTGGATAAAATAAAAACGACAGAAACATTTATTCTACTACATTCTTACCACTTGTGGGCAAAGGTGTAAAGATTGTCCTCGCAGTGGTGCTTCAGGAACAAAAAAGGACTGTCAAAATCAGTGGAGTTCACCATCTGCACAGAGGCCACTGTGGGATAAAAGAGGCTCGGTTCTACATAAGCACGACTGGCTCTTGTCTCGTCGGTCCACGCTCGACTGTGTCGGCTTAAGCTGGACGAAGGAAACCACTCGCACACTTCAACTAACCACTAGCGAATGAGAGTGCTGGATGTGCGCTATTTAACGGCGGTAGACTGCAAATTACATTTCTGTCTAGGGTGGTGTAGTGCCCGATACCATCATATAGCAAATTGAATAAAATCCTATTGCCTTTTATGAGTTTTTTTCCCACGTGTCATGTTTTGATATTGCATTTTCTTCCAGCCCCTCTGTCTCTGTGTCGGTCCTCTGAGGACATTGTTAGGGGTGCATTTACAGGAAAACCAGACGTTTTGTCTGCACGGTGCATCAGTCCATAGTCACACAAGAACCCGTCACACACACATGAATGCATAAATATAAATATGAATGCATGAATGCTTTGATTTGTCAGTTTAGCAGACGTTATCCCGACAGAAGAGGAATGTCAGGAGATTTAACCTGCGGCTATTATTAGATATTCTAATGGGAAGCTGATTGATGATCACTCGTTGCCATTCGTAGGTGGACCCGGGTCGGCCGGGGATGAATAATGCAGAGGAACCCTTGATATTGGGCGAGGTCAGGAAGCTATTAGCCATGAAAGATATACTGCATAATTCGGACCTTGAAACGTTTCCTACTGTGAAAAAACCTCCCATCTCTGTTCAAATGAATAAGATAACAATTAATATGTTTGGTAACATCAAAGTTTAAACAGTGTTAATATGTGACATATAACAGTTTCTGACGCGGCGTTGTGGAAAGGCTCTGGCTGTTAATGTTGTGAACTGTAACAAATGATCATGTAGAAACAGCTTTGCTGTCCAGATGCTCAAATCACGTGTTTGTCTTCATGGCAACGAAGCCGCAGCAGTGAGTGTTACTTTGACATGAAGAGATATGATTGGCTGGTTGCAGCACAGTTGGTTGTTCGTACCGTATTGCACAGCGAAGACAAGACACGGGCTGACAGACTGGCATTTCAGCCCCACCTGGGCTCAAGGACGCGTCTCTGCTCTGCACATCCAGATATGATGGAGAAAGACAGCGAGGGCGGGGGGGGAACCAGCAGCGCACTTTTCAGCTTAAATGTCACTCGCTCCTCCGTGATTTAGCCGCGGATGACGGTGGCCTTTACGCCACCTGGAACATAAGAAAATGACAAGAACTGTTGAGCTCCAGTGTCATTTGAGAGAATCCCTCCTTCTGCTGCTTTTCTTCATTCAAACCGTTCTTGTCCAACTGGAAGTGTTGATTTACTCCACAAAAGGACGGCGGCATCGTTTCGGTTTAAGCATCAGAAGAAGTAGGAGCTGCTAATAAATGAGGTGTGACAGCTGATTGCCAAACATTTTTTCTTGTTTTTCCAATTATATAATTGAAGAGCTTGTCTGACATGGAAATGCATTCCTTAAAACGTGATAGTCCTTTTTGGAAAAACCTTCCAGGAACCCCTTGACTGACTGTTGTTTAAAAATATGGATCCAACTCCCTTAAACTGACCATTTAGAAATACAATTGAGGAGGAAATAATGGTCAAAAAAAATATTTATGTTGAAAAACAAGACATTACAACAAAAGAACCCCCCTTAAAAACAGTCTGTATAGTTGATTATTAAAAAGTGTAACTTTGATGTTTTTCAATTATTGTATGTGTATTGACGGGGAGGAACTGAACGATTGTTTAGTGGCCTCAGCGTTTTCATTCAATACTGGACAACGTTTTAAGCCCCTTGGACACACAATCATGGCAAAAAAGGATTCGGGTTTGAAATATCAATCATAAAAAAGGGAAAAAGTCACACAATGAGGATAAGCTGGAAAAACCCCAACCATCCCAATTGTGCTCATCCTCTGATTTCACTTTAATCGTCTTTAAAACAGCGCAGCTCAAACGTGTTCAGCAGAGATTTACAAATTCCTTTTTATTTTAAATCCTTTCCATGTCCTCAAATTCCGGCACATGACGGATTCCCTTCGTTCTAAACACCAGAAACAAACAGCCTTTATTGGATGTGCCAACTGGGTCAAACACCTTAATAAATCACGTTAACTAAATAGCCGTCACCGGTCTTCTTTGAGGATTTAGACGTGGTGGATTTGTGTCATTCTCTGTGCACAATGCCTCTTTGCACATGACTAACGTGAACACGACACGGGACAAGAGAATCACACCACCCCCCGCCGTCATGATCCCGGCTTTATGCCGCTGTGTGGCGAGGAAGTGGGCATGCATGCAGGCGCGCGCGTGCGTGCGCGCGTGCGTGCGTGCGTGCGTGCGTGCGTGCGTGCGTGTGTGTGTGCGTGTGTGTGTGTGTGTGTGTGTGTGTGTGGGTTTTTGAGAGGAAGAACAAAGACTCCATCTGGCCTGAGCCACTGAATGTGCCAGTATGAAACACTTCTCCCATTCTCTCAAGTCCCCCTTTCCCAAAAGCAGCGTGAAGGGCGGAGAGAGCGGCGACACCAGAGGAGGCCCACGCACACCAGTCCTGTGGCGCGTGATGATTCTCCTCCTCCCCTACCTTCACCTCCACAGCAGCGAAACACAAGTGAAGACCCAGGAAGACTTTGGCGATAAAGCTCCCCGGGATCAGAGGGCTTCATCCCGGGGAGCAGCTGGGAAGAACCTGGTTGAGGGGGGCGAGGGGGCGAGGGGGGCGAAGGCAAAGGTCACTTTGTGGGAGGATATCTGAAGGATCTAGCCGGGGACTTGGATTGGTGGACACTCCTCCCGGGATCCCCCGCAACACCCCGCTGCCATTAATCTCCTGCAGTGAGGATCAAGCAGCCCGGTTGAATTTCAGAAGCAATACCAGAGTAAATAAAAAAAATAATAATAATAAAAAGTTCTCATTGTTGTCATTCTCCTGAAGCAAAGACAAATCGATTCTATGACGTCTAGTTAGATAGGGCTCATGAGCCTATGTGTGCCTCGTATGGCTGCTACATTTGTTTAATTAATCTCTTAATTAAATGTTGAAAAAATAGTGATACATCTCCTTCTACATTTTTGTTCTTTGGGATTTTTTTTCTTTAGCCTCAGACCCGAACACATTCAACAGGAAAATCCGCTTCTAACCCGAGAAGCCGCAACCAACACGAACTTCTGCTGCATCCACGCGGTTCGCCACGTGGCGTCAGCTGAGCTGGCGGCTCGCTCGCAGCCACGTTCACAAACGCTAACATGCGCCGAAAGGGCAGGAGGCCATTTCAATTTAGGGGGGGCAATTTAGCTTTAATTCCCCGGCCCCCAGGTTCTTTTGATTGAAATAAAGGCCTTCCATGGCCGTCAATCCATAACAAATAGGTGGCAGAGTGGGATAGGCAAACGTTTAAAAAGTAAATGCCCCCCCCCCCCCCCCACCCCCACCTCCAAATTCCCCAAAACGGCAGCTGCTTCCTCTCCAAACCCCCCTGTGATTGCGCTCCTTTGGCGGACGCGAGGGGGGGTCTGCGTGCACACACCTGCTCACACAACTGACCCCCGGTCTGTTTCCCCCACGCTGCAACTGGTGGGATTATGGCGTGGGGGATCGGGGATGAGTGAGGAGCACGTACACTCAGAGCGTGAGACCCACGCGAGAGCCTCGGACAACTTAAATCAACTTAAATCATACCAGTCAGCAATAATAAGGATTATCAACACGTGTGTTTCTCACAAGTTGTAGTTTTGTAGGTGAAGTGGCAAAATGATGGAGACCCCGTGAAATGTTCTATTTTATCTGACCTTTGACCTTCTTCCTGACAGCCAAATGTATTTTGGAATAGTTATGTGCAAAATCGCATTAAATACGTTTTATAGAAACCATTTAATATCTAAGTGTCTTTTTGCGAGTTAAAATGGTTAATGACTTATTTCTATAATGTAATTTGAATTGTTTTGGTTGCTTCTTCATTCATTCTACTCAAACGATCCGACGTGAAAAACACCCTGAATCTGAAGCAGCTGAATGGAATGTGCCCCCCCCCCCTCTCTATCACGTAGTACACTTTTAATACCACCATGTCACAATATCACCTGTGAAAACGGTATCAAACTCGTCAACAAAACAATTTCAGGCAAAGGCCTGCGTGCGTGCATGTTGTGCAGTTTCCCAACACGCACTCTGGCTCTGTGTCGATCACAGGTGTTCATTCCTCCGAGCGTGTCTGATGGATTAACAGCTGCCGTCACGACGCAAAAGCCGGGCCTCCCCGGATCTGACATTACACACATCGTCATGTGACAGCTGCACTCACTCACACACACACACACACACACATTAGACGATCTATACACACCACAATCATGGTAACGGTGGGAGGACTTTGTTCCAAACTAGACAATGTGTGGTACAACAATAGCGCTTTATGGTATTTATCCTTCAGTCTACTAGAAACTAGAAACTAGCCAAGGGGAAAGTCTGACAAAGAAAGAGAGCAGACACCAGGTAAGCGCTGCACAAAGCCAGAGAAATAACAGTGAGAGATTTGTTTGATTTTTACATGCCGCACTGTCGTTAATATTCATATCCCTCCCCAGGGAGGCTTGTTTGAAAGATGTGACTACAGCACACACACCCCCGCTGCATGTCACCGTCTCCCTCACACACACACACACACACACTTGTTTGGAGTCTCATTGGGAAAGTACAGCCAGGCAGGGTCTCCTCCCCTCCCTTCCTTCCCTCCCTCCTTCCCTCACCCCCCCCCCCCCAATAGGGAGTGATCCAGCTCGTCTCCTCTCCGTCACGCGGGTAATCAGCCTCTGCTATATCATTTGGCTCAGTAATGAAAGCAATCCCAGCGCTTTTCACAGCGGCGCAGCTCAAATAATGAGGGCGGCCTCACCCCTCCTCAGCCACACCTCACCCCACAGTCCTCACCCTCTCCCTCGTCCCCCCCCGAGCCCACTGTCAATGGATGAGAGAAAGCAAATGTGCGTGCAGTCGAGTGTGCGGAGCACGAGATGTTGCCAAGTCCTTTGTGCCCCTCTGCCTTCGTTCCGGGGGAGTCTAATGAGGGAATATTTTGGAAATGTTTTCCTTTTGGAACAAACAGAAGACCCCCAAAAAAAGAATTTCCCATCTCAAATGAGTTTTTCGGTGGGAGAAATACACAGCATTTCAGAAGGAATGAGAAAAGCGATACACCATCCGAATAATAAACAATATTCTGAGGAGCACAATTTGGTTTTTGAGGCAATTCATCTTCAAAGGGGTTCCCAGCCCCCAGGTTAGCAAGCACTGATCTACATAAAGACCTAAACGGGGAATCAAAACCATGCATGCAGATGAGAGGCTTCAACCCAGCAGGTAAATTACAAATCCTGTCATCTTTTACTGGTGACAGAAACTGGCCAAAATAATAACAACAAATGTTGGGCGAGCATTTAAATAATTTTCTCGTTTGTCATTTCCGTTGGTCACAAAGTGTTTGTTGGAAGCTCTCACTCGTCACACACGGCTGCAGCCGGGCTTCCGACATGGAAACCCGTTCCAGATGGCGAGTTAACTCAACTCAAATACGACTCACCGACTAGCATGTAATAACTCGGTAGACTGAAAAATCTGTGCTCAAATATGCAAAGGCGTGAGAACTCGGCCGACGGGCACAACGTTTGAGTTTGTTTAGGAGCGTTCAGTGTTTTCTGCGTCTCTTTGCTTCCGCCTGCAGCTCAGCTTACGAGCTTATCGTTGAGTCAGTGAGGAGACAATGACAGCAGTGTTGTTGGTTTTAGTTTTTTCTTTTTTTTCTTTTTTGCAAACCCAGCATTGTCTAACAAACACAACAGAAGCACACAACAAGAGTTCCAGGTCGACGAGGTCAACACAAGTACCAACACAGACCACAGTCTCCCTGGTGGGTAACGTGGAGACGTGCCGAGCAAATCTTCATCGCACAGCAGCTCGACAGACGGGGTGAAGGTTCACACGCTGCGGACAAGCAACAGAAATATAACAGCTGACGGTAAAAATCTTTTGAAAATATGTTTTTCTTGTTTTTGTTTTTTTTTTCCAGGGAAAACGTGAATTCCCCTCCCTCAAGGCCGAGGATGAAAACGTTTTCTCATCTTATACACGACCATTTAACTTTCGTTTCATATAAACATGAAAAATGAGTAGTGAGGTTTCACGCGACAACAGCAATACGTCTTCACCAGCGTCGATGAGGTGTTTTTTGTGGTAACAGCAGTAACGAAATCTAAAATCTCCCATAAACTGGGGAATCGGTACATTCAGAACGTACGGACTTTCTTACAGCTCCGCTAACGTTCTCTGCATTCCAGTCAGCTGTGTAAGACCCGTTACAAAGAAAGGGATCATTTCACATGAAGTCAGGAGATGTCAGTGAGGAAATGAGAAGTTGCAGCAGAGGTTGCCCAAAGTTCAGGTATTGCATTTCATGTGGATCCGTCCCCTGGATGTCAGACCCGCCTGGTGTGCTGAAACATCAAAAGTAGTCCAGTTCTCTCCTTCTCGGGTCCAGTAAGAAGAGAGGGGGCTGGGAGGATCCCATCAAACATTCAAGCTTTTACGCGACCGATCCCACAGACGTCCTGGAGGTCCTGGAGGTCCGGGGAGGAGCGTCAGAGTGTCTGCACCAGCACGGGGAAGAGCAGAGACAGATGCTCGGCGCCTCGGATCGGAAGCTTGTGATTGGTGTAGAAGTGGATGACTTCTGGGATGGTGTCAAAGGGCGGGCTGTTCTGTCCCAGCACGTACTTGCCGTCTTTATAACGGGTGACCTTCATGTGCATGAAACCCTGGCAGCTCCTGTGGGCAGAACGGCACAGCGGTTCAGAGAAGGAAGGAGACAAATGGGCCAAATGGGACAAAAGGGAGAGGAGAGTACGACAGAAAAAGGGAGAGGAGAGTACGACAGAAAAAGACGGATGACATGAAATGTGGGGCACATAAAAAAATAAATAAAATAAATCAGCCTTCCACACATCTCGCCACATGATGACACAGTGGAAATGACAGCGTGGATGTGTGTTCTTTTTTCCCCCCCTTTGCTGCAGTTGGAGGACATCGTTCTAGCCAAGATTTAACACCATGTCACGAATTAGGAAGGACAGGAAACGATGACGGATGGATTGGTGGTATAATCGCACAGCGGGGGGGGGGGGGACAAAAGTGGGAAAGACGTGCACGTGGCTTCGCCTAAAAGAACAACTCTGACTCGCTCCCTTTCAGTGATGTTCAGCCGTGACAGGACTTCCCCTTTAAGAGCCCACCATCCACTCCGACGTGCGTCTAATTATAGAAGCAGGGGGAAAGAGCAGGGCCGAAGTCGGTCACCGTAACTGCCATTGTTCCAGTGAACCAAATTAAATTTTGGAGAGCATTAAAGTCCACCCCCCCAAAAAAAAGCCCCTCACTGTGACTGCAATCAGCAGCTTAGGATTTTCTCCCACTGGCCTGGAGAGCAGCGAGGGCCAGATGCTTCATCACGCCAGCGCTCCGGCATTCTTTCCGGCATCCAGTCCGGTTTGTTTTGGGGAATCTTTGTATCTCAGGATACGTTACAAAGTACGCGTGCTTCTTCATTAACATTCATGCCGGTTCACATTCACAGTATCTGCCGATGTCTCAGGACCAAACACACAAGCAGCTGGTTTATGATCATAATAACTGAAGCACTGGTTAGGCTTTGCTAGATGTTGAAAAGAACAATAATATTAATTGGAATTGGGGTTTTTTTTTGTTTTACTTCTGCACATTTCTTTGAATAAAAACAAGCTTCCAGGCGGCTCTCCTTGCGTACAAGACAAACAAGGGTACTGAAGTATAGAATTCAGTAAATGGCCCTGATGCAAAATACCTGACACAAGATAAGACTAGTGTTTGGTCCCTTGGCATGTGCAGACTACAGACATTCAGGAGAAGGGAAAGTAGGTCGAAGTCTTTAATCGGAGATGTGAGTTATGACTGAATATGAACTTCGGTAATATCTTTTTTAGATAATTTGTTTTTTCTTGCTTTTTTTTTTTACCATGTTTTCCCCATTTCATTTTGCTAATCAGGAGCGTTGTTTAAAACCTGTAGGATCATCAGCGCTCTTGTTTCTTGCCACCTCGAAATTCTTCTCAGCCAGGTTCTGTTCCTCGATACCAGTTATTAGTACTGGTCAGATGTCCAAATCTAAGACAATGAAGGCTGTGTGAAAGTTTCCCTTTAAGCCGAGTGGACATCTGGGCTGATTTGACCGTTTACATTCCGACATTCTAACCAAGCAGAATCATTTCATACGAAACCACTACCTCTAAACCTCACATGCGGCAGGAGTGACCTTCGTGCTGGAGCGAGTGTGCGTGTGCTTGTCAAACCCACTCCACTCACGTAAATGAGTAATGCATGGGCTTGTTTATATGTCACCCCCCCCCCCCCCCCCTTCCCCCCTGAATTCCCTTCTTGGACGGCCCACAGAAGGTAATTCATATTTCTTAGTGATTACGGCGAGGATGATGTGGGCACTCAAGTGTGCTCTACCTGCCTGATTACCACTTAGAAGGCCCGCCGGGGCCACATTGGAAGGCCGCGGAGAGGGGCCAAGGATGGGGTGAGGACAGAGGGATGACGGCAAGGCGGCGTAGGCCCGGGACGATGGATTATGGGAGTAATTACAAGGGAGAGATTTGACCAGATAAGCAGTTCTGCGCCCTGCAAATGAGTGTCGGGAGAGGAATCAGCGCGGCAGTGATCTTGAGTGAGGGTGATGGCGGGAGGGAGGGAGGGACAGATGGAGAGGTGTGGAGACTGCGTTATGAGATCGGCGGCTCGGGTGGCTTCATGAACACTGCTCAGTTGCATGGCAGCAAAAAAAAAAAAAAAAAACGACACGACACGACACAGGTGTCAAGTCAGCGTCGATGTGCGCGTGTCTCTTGTGTCTCACCGCAGGGACAGGGAGTAGTCAGAGCGGTTGGTCTGGCTCGTCCTCACCAGGTAGCTGCATTCTTTACACAACGTTAGCAGCGACTCCGCCTCCGAACGCGACAGCGACCCGTGGTACCATCTGAAGAACACAACACACACACACACACTTGGTTTGAAATGGTAAAATTGCAAATCGTTAAGTGTGAATGCAACTTGTTTGTACACCTTTTTCCTGCTGAATGTCGACACTGACATCTGTGTAGAACTTTATTAATTTCATTCAAAAAGCAACGGTATGCATAAATGCTCACAATGCCAATGCGAACATGCAGACGTTCACCAACTTAGCTTAGCATGTAGCTACTCTAACATCTGCTAATTAACACTGTGCCAGAAATGGTTACGCTGCTACATGAGGAGTTCAGGGTTCACCAAAGCTCCAACAATTGGAAGAAGTGAATGATCTCTTCCATTGTTTGGGAAATTTCACTAAAAACTACAGATGTCAACATTGGCACAAAAAGGAAGAATGAAGGAATCGCCTGTGGGGGCCGGGAATGTCCGGTGAGGTGTGCTGGATGCTACAGGTAGACGGCGATGCTGCTTCGATGTTTAAAGCAAAGCTTAAAAAGGAAACAAAAAGCTCAAAACAGCCTTTAGGAGATCATCAGGGGAGTAATGCGGCGTAATAATCAACCGCCATCCTCAAGTGCATCTGTGCACATGTATCTGTGAGCACACAAATCTTGTTTGTTGTGTGCGTGCGCATGTGCTGGTAGTGTCATGTGCTTGGATTTCATTAGTAAAACAGCCTTTTATGTGAACATAAACAGCGCATGAATTACACCAGTGATGTCTGAAACTACAAGACCAAATTAAAAAGCTTCTTCTTAATGTTCGGACTTAATTATTTCTCACCTGAACCGTTTGCAGTTCTGTAAGCCATCATGGCTGCTGCTACACCTAAACACACAACTACTTCTATTTAATGTGTACCCGCCCTTATTATTAGATCAGTGGAATCAAATAAATACACTTGTGGAATATAAAACCCCGTCCTCCTTCGAATATTCAAAATAACTTGCATGATTAACGTATGTGGATGGCAACCAATGCAGAGACACATTCTGCAGGGATTACTGGTTTATGGTAATGAAATTCACATGCTTTTGTTTGATTCATTAGCTTAATGCGTTTAAAGAACCACACTTTCTGCAAACTCTTATTTTCTGTGATATGTTTACTCCCTCATACAGTCCTGGGATTAACCCGCGTGTACTTGTTGCACAGCATCGTTGGAACAATTTGCAACCGATGTGAACCGTGTGATCAGTATCGCATTTACATACTTGGACAAACGGGTTTCGGTGCAGCTTGTGTAGGGTTCAACAGAAGAATGCATACATACACCTGCTTCTCCAGAGGCAGAGTGGGGTCCACTCTCTCCCCCACCACGCAGAGGCCTTCCTGCGCCATTCGAAACTTCACCCCGCCTCCTGCCAGCGGGCTGGACCTCGGCCCCGCCGGGCGCAACCGCTCCGTGGGCGACGAGGAGCGGTCCCACTCCACGCTGCCATCCGACTGCGCTGCTGGCAGACGGGGGACACACGGGAGAAAAGTGAGTCACGGTATTTTGCACGGCGCTACGGTCAGAAGGGATTAATCGCCTCGGCCGGAGTCGGGCAAACAAGCCGCCATCCGGCGATTGCAAAACCACGCATGCAGGAGAGAGAGAGGCGTCTCGCGGATACTGACAGACTGCAATCACAAGCACCGCCATCGGCGTGTTGATGAGTCACCGAGGGCAGATAAGAGGCAGGAAGTTGGCTTCTTACCCGTGCCAACGCGGCAGACGACACTCATTCTGTTCCAGAGCAAGTTAATTGTAACCAAATTGTTATTGTTATTCACCTCTACTGGGATTTTGGACAAAAAACGATCTACAGAAGAAGTACCGTAAAATGAACAAGGCAGACATCATAATGTGGAGGGAGCTTCTCACGCGTGGGTTGATGCAAGAGGGGAATAAGAACCTCCCACAAATATGGAGGACACAACAAAACCGCACAGGCGGGGGGGGCGAATGCAAGGGGGAGCAGATCAGATGGAGGTCGAGCAGATGTAGGACAACAGCCGGGTCATGGGGGTCAGGGTGGTGCGGTCAGGGTGCATGCGTTGGCCGTGACAAAAGGGAGGCAGGAGAGGGGAGGGGGTTGGGGGGGGGTTGTGATCAGTGTGGGAGTTCAGTTCACCTGGCTCTCTGACTGGGGGCTCCTCCTCCAGTTGACCCACCGGGGACGGCCAAGGCAACTCCGACAAGTCCCTCATTTCTAGTAGAGGGAAGGGAGGCAGGGGGGAGTGGGGGGGAGAAACAGGGAGCAACAGAGTGAGAAAAACAGCAGATGGGCTCGCACAAAGTTAACCAAGGGAAGAAATGGGAGAGAAGTGTTGATTGTTGAAGAAGCCAGACGGAAATCAGGTGCGAGATTTGAATGCGGGATGGAGAGAGAGTGAGAGAGCAAGAAGTGAGACGGGGGAAGAAGGTGGAAGAGGGGGAAGCCCTGTTGAGAGGCTGCGTGGGTGATGTGTTGGGAAATTAACCACATTTCCTGTCATGAAGAAAAGGAATAACCTCTAGAGTCACTGTGCTGCATCCACACACGCGATAATTTTATCATGTGTGATCAGACCGAAGGAAGCAAAGAAAGTACAAACGGAGCAGACGGGAGAACCCAGAGGCTGCATTATTTATTGTCATTTGAACCAATCCACTTTAAGAAGCTGTCTAGCAGGAGATGCAATGAAAACAAAACGCGACCCACAGAGAAGTGAGACGGAGGAACTGAGGAGCGTAGGGGGGGAGGGAGGGAGGCGGGGGGTGTAATGCTCCATTCACCAACAGTAGGAAAAGCAGCAGGTTAAAAAGAAAGTGAAAATAGCTCATTATCTACCGCGGCGGGCAACTATATACTTTAACAGTCATTACTGCAGCCTTACATGTACAAGGACACGCACATTATGCGATTTCCCACTTGCACGCCGTACATTGAGCTCCTCCCAGCGAAACAGGATTACTAAACAAATAAAAGGAAAAGTGGGGTTGACGTCTTAATGAGCCGACAAATCCAAAGACCCCCCAGGCCGGCGACATCAAAGGCCATGTGAATGGGCGTTTGGAGAGAGACCCAAGCTGTACATACATGCCCCTCTCCCTCCCTGGTTAATTATTGAGCAGGCAGACACACTCCGCCACTTTCTCTGGCTCTCCGTGAATTATTGATGCGTGGCGCAGTACAATGGACCCATCTGGAGCAGCCCGCACCTCAGCTGAAGCCAGGATTAAAGTGTGGCCTGGCACCCTTCAAATAGGGGACATGCACCCGCATAGTTCCTCAGAAACACACACACACACACACACACACCGGACACCTCGAAACTAAAGCTCGGCCACACTACTGCCGGTCCGCTCGCCACCGTCCCGCCTCTAATTTTCAAGCAGAGTCAACCATGGTGAAGAGAAAAAGGGTGTAAAGAAAGAGACAGAAAGGAAATGGAAGACATCCAAGTTAATGTATTACCAATCAGACACGTGCTCAGCCATCGGAGTGACAGTTCAACTTAGGGGTAGTAATGTTACACAGAATTCCATCAAGATGACTTTTCTATGGTTTTAGGAGGGTTAGGTTTCCACTCTTGAGGAATCCTCCGTTTAATTTCCTCCATGGTAAATAAAGTACATTGAAAGCAGTATTTTTCTTTGCCAAAAGGTAATTTCAAAGTCACTGGCATCCATTTCCTTTAACTCAAATAATCTATATCTATTATCTATAGTGCATATCTCCTTACAGTCCGATGGCTGTACGGCTCTGCAAATAGACACAGGACTAAGTAAAAAAAAACAACAACATCTTTTAAGATGTTGACGGACAAAACGGTAGCCCACAAACCATCGGTGTCGTCACGGCAACAACGTCCACTTCCTACACACAGTCCGAGCTTTCTACAGCGCTGGCAGTGTGTGGATGGGTCCGGATATGCGTGGCTAGATTCACGGTAACCCACGGTAACCCTTCCTGAACCTGCAGGCTATACCATGCTAACTGGGATTAGATGATGTTTTTATCCAGGATCATTGGGCACTTTCTCCCCAAACTCCCCACTCCGATAACAAAAGACTGAATGCTAAGCTAACACACGCACACAACCAAGGCATGTCACTCTTTCACTAGAAGGGAACATCTGGCTTCCATTCACTTCTAGTGGGAACCTGTGGATCTCTCATACATAGAGGGCTATTAAAAACACAATGAGAAGCACTAATGGTTTTCGGACAAAGGCACACTCATCATGGTCACTTGTGCTTAAAATCTACTCCACGGTAGTCATTATATATGCTAAAACAAACTAATGTTTTCCCCCGTTAGTCCAAATTCCAATTTTGACCCAGCTGAAGAAACAGGCGACGGGAATTCACTAACCTTTGGTGTGCTGGTGCCTCTACTACCTGCTAGCAATTACCCAGAACTATTTGAGGGGGATGGAATAACCAGAGCTTCCAGAACACGTCGCCTTCAGTGACGGATAACTGACTTTTCAAGCCCACCAGCTGTTTTCGGTGTCCTCGTCATAAAAAGAGGAGCAGACAGAGACAATAAAGCAGCTTCATTAGGTCCATTAATGAAGACATCTGTTTTTCCAAACAGCCCCGGCAACACATCTTTTCACCGCACACAAAGACCTTCTGCTCGGCAAAATGGTCCCCAGACGGACCATTAACACCTTATGCTACGAATCCACGGTGGTTTCCTTTGCATAATATGCCTCCACGCCATTTAGATTTTAGTTTAAAGCCTCCCTCATTCCTTGACATTCTCGTGTATGTATCTATTTTCCCCAGGTTTTCATTTAATTCATCGCTCTATCCTCGTTGCACCTCGGTCACCTTTCCTCCCACCTTTCATCAAGTGGGGCATTACCGCTCCTTCGATATTCCCTCGGTCCGCTCGTGTCTCGCCCTGCTCTACTTCCAGCCCCTCTCCACCTGTCTCTCATATTGGGTGGCGAGAGGGAAATCAAGAAAGGGCATGCCTTTTCATTAATGTCAGAAAAGGTTCACGACGAATGAAACAATGGGGAGAAGATGGAGGCAGGTGAGAGGAAATGTGAGGAGGAGAGGAAGAGAGCGTGGGTAAAGGGAGCAGGAGAAAGAGTCCTTCCACCGTAACGGTAAATTGATGGAGAGGCTGTTCAGATTCCCCCCGGGGACGGTTTCTAGCAACAAAGAGCAGCATCACACCAGAAATAGAAATCGCGTTTGTCTGTATGCACACACACACACACAAAAAAAAAAAATACACTTTCAGACCCCTACGGGAAAATAAACGCATGCAGAATAGTCCAGAAAACCTTGTTCTGCCCCGTCAGAGCCCATTCATCTCGACAACAGGACACAATGCATACAGAAGCACACCATCAGTCAAGGTGTCGTTGCAAGATTAGCTAAACTAACCTTCCGTGTCACTTTGAAGCACCCTTCAGCCTCTAGAAGAATGGAATGCGCTGGATGACTGCTGGGAAGTTCGCCGGTGACACTACAGCCATCGGCCGGATTACCATCAACGACGAGAGGAAATCAACAACCTTGTGAGCATCAGCATGGCGAAAACAGCTGCATTTCCCGAGAAAACGAATTTCACAGAAGAGCAATAGAAAGCATCCCGACTGCAAACATTAGAAACTGGCGCGGGGGTGTGAATGACACCGGACTGGAGGGCAGCGGGGGATCAGAACGCCCATCGGTACCCATCTACCGAGTATCAGTGGTGTTGACGAGGTGAGTGTGCGAAGAGGTAAGAGAATATCAAAAGACAACTGCCCCCCCCCCTCACCCCCCGGCCACCGCCTGGCACCCCAAAAGTCAGTGGGGTTCATGAACGTCCGCGAACGTCTTTCTGGCCGTCCGTCCGTCCAGCCGTTTCTGACTCGTCTGGTGTCGCCATCTTTTTAATGAGTTTCCTCAACAGCTGTTGGAATAAATCAATTACAATGAATAAACCGAACAATTTGCCACAGAAATGACTATGGAGTCCCCAGGATAGCTGCTTTAAATTGGTTCTGTGCTGCAAATGGTTTGTCTGAACCAAGTGAAAAGAAATTCGCAAGCCCCTTGCTTTTTATAACGCACACACACATTCACACTGGGAAGCTTCCCTGCACAGCCACTGTGTTTTTGCAGTTGCCTAATGAGCAGCTGCAGTGGTACGAGTGGAGGATAAGTGCTTTTCTCAATGGCATCACGAGAGTAATTTGTGGGGTTGGAAATTGTTATTCATCCGTCCGTCCCCATCCAGATTTCCTGCTGATTTGCGACCCTCTAATTATACTCACACTCCTCAATCATCTGCAGCAAACGGCTTCACGCACCTTTCCTGGACTATAAAACTTGCAGACATGAAATACCTAAAACGTACGTTCATCTGGTAGTTGTGGCCATCAACGATTTATTGGATTGTGCCTTTAATCAGCACCAATCACTGATTGGTGAACGGTTGCAGAGGCAGTCTCTGTCTGCTGGACTTCCAAGAATTAACGACTGCCGTAATTTGAGTACGATGGTGGAAACTGGTGACAGCTTTCCAACGTTGCAATTAAAACCCACCGAACGTAGAGAAGCCCGTCAGCACGACCCCTCGGGCCCTGCTCGCTTCACACGCGCACAGCAGGCTGAAGCGGACATTGCAAAATAGACAAAATGCTTTGGAGGCGAGCTTATTTCTGATACTATTTGAAAGATAGCCAGAGAATTACATGTAAGCGTGGATAAGCTGTGAAAATCATAATTACTCAGATTCTGTTTAGAAGCACCTGCATGGATGCAATGCACGCACCCCCCCCTCCTCCCTCATATGTGCCAACCTGCACAAAACCTCTTCTCACCCTTGAATTAGGGGGGCATGATAATCAGAGCAGGAAAACCTAGTTGAGAATCCACATGTGCGTGTGTGTGTTTGTGCGAGCGCCCATGTGACGGTGATGATGAGGGGCTGCCGGCAGATCGCGAGCCCCCCCTCACCCCCCCTCACCCCCCCTCACCCATCCCCTTCCTGCCCCCTGTAGAGAGTTATCTGAGTGAGTGTGTCACATCCACAGGGAGTGGGGGGGGGGGGGGGGCGCGCTATGGGGGCAGCCCTGTCACTGTTGCTGCATTGGCATATATATGTGTGAGAGATGTGTTAGCGGATGACTGATTGCACCCTGCCACACTGGCCCTGACTCCCCCCCCCTTCCTCCTCACTCCACCACAGTCCCCCCCCCCCCCCCGACCATCCATTCATTCATTCTCAACGCCACAAACTGAGCTGCCACCAAACATACCGTAACCTTGGACGTCCCTTTCCATTCGTCCCCATGCAGCTAGCCTTCTCCCCGGCCTCCACTTTCTCTCTTTGTCCATCCCTCTCATACTTCCTCCTCATCATTCTCAGCCCCCCCCCCCCGCCGCCCCCTCCCTCGCATGTGGGCCGTGCCTAGCAACGCTGAGTGGGAATATGGATTAAATGTGAGAATGGAAAATGCTGTTTGTGTGTTTGCACTCCAGCGCTTTGGTCTGCTCGGACGGACAGCACGCCAGCTCAGAGTGCCGACTCTGAATGGGGGAACAAGAGGGTGTCGGAGGGCGACTCGAGTCGCACGAGCGTTTTCCTCCACCGCGCGCTCTAATGGCGCCGCGAGCACCGTTCTGCGGGAGCGCATGCTGCTTTGGGGGCACAAAGGAGGAAAAGCTGGAGGGGAATAAAGCCACAGATGAAGCAGGAATGGCGGCGATATTGGCTTTTAAATGAACGGTTGTGCGCCCCCCCTCGTTTGGATTCACCTGCGCTCTCAAATAAGTTACGGAGCCTCTTTGCTGCTCCTCGACTTAACGCGATTAGAGCCCGAACACAGTGTTAATGTGTGTGTGTGTGTGTATGTGCGCTCAGACAATGGTGCGCCGACCATGACTCTCATATTAGCACTGGATCGGTCATGCACTTGCAGGCATGTAATTAACGAAGGGGGGGGGGGCACACAGGACTGAAGTGGGGAGGAGCGCATACGAGGCAAGGTTGATTTATTATGCCATCACCTTGACCTTGCTGACTTGGAGACACAGCTCAATTAAGCCGAATTGGCCTTTAATGCCTCACACTGATACTCCTAAATGACCCGTCAGTTCAGTTTTACTTCACTCTCTCCGTCCAATTATATCCGGCGCGTGGAACATAGTGGGCACGGGATGTGCCGTGACATGTCAGTGCCACTTTGAAAAATAAGCACCGCGCCAATTATTTTAGAAATTCCCCCGGATTGTGAAAGTAAAGGATTCGTTCCTCTGCAAAGCTTCTCTTAATGAGGTCTACTGTATCTCTCTGACGCGAACTTATATGCACCCACTTTGACAGACCAACGCGCTGACAACCCTAATGATCATCTCAGAGGTGCTTGTTGTGATTGTGAGAGAAAAATAAATCTGTGGTCAGCAGAAGTTTAAAGGCAAACAAAAGAAACAGAGGTGTGTGTCATTTGAGTTGAGACAGTGAAGGTCACAGCACTCGGTTTTCTGCAAAAAAAAAGATTTCCAAGATGTGGTGATGGGGGGGGGGAGGACTCTACAGTCAAAGGTCAGGACAGTTAGATGACTATTTCACAATGTGGTGAAAGCAGCATGGCTCTCTGTGTGCTTTGACCTTTAAAACAGCCTTTTTCAAGCCTGGTCTAAAACATTTTCACAAATTCTACTGAACTATTCCCTTTTTTTTTTGTAAAGCACATTTTCTAAAATAGGTCTTGACAGCCAGAAAACTGTTCCGTCTGTAGTCATTGGTATTGTTGTGTTTGGGGGCATTAAATGTGGGTGTTCAGTCAAAAATGCGAACGGTTTTGCCACCCTAGATATTACAACTACAAGTTTTTCTAAAAGCTTTTATTCTGGGACGCCCTAAATATTGATTTAAATATGCAAGGAGGCCTGATTCAGAAGCTCCGTGGTCTAAACCTTGTCTAAAATGTATTCAGAAATCGATTTCCTGTATAATTTCTTCAGCTGATACGTTCTCCCGTTTGACAATCCCAAGTAGAGACCAATGACACTCCACTTAGTAGAATATTAATCAATATCAATCAGGTGAAGGTACCTTTCATTAAATTATCACGAGTTGTGATACATTTAGGTGGTTTTGGCTCCACCATGATATGCATTGACTTATATTGTCATGACCTTTATAGTTACCTGCAAAAGCTTTGGAGATGTGATCCTTCTTCCATTCCCAGGGTTGGTCGTACTCATCGGCCGGCCTCTCGTCGTCCTGCGGCAGCCTGCTGCTCTCCTCCTGAGCTTCTCCGTACGGAGGACCCGGGCGCTGTGCTCGCACATCTTCATAGGGGGTATCGTAGAGCTGCACCCCGCCCCGCGAACGTCCTCCTCCTGGGCCGCGTTGCAGCTCTGTTGATGCGCGTATGCAAAATGAGGCACAGACGAGAGGCAACCAGTAGCGGTACACTGTTGTTTACTGAAAGGAAAAAAAGCCTGTTGAGATCCGCCATGACTGGAATTAGTGGGGAGGGGAAAAATGATGTTTGCACAGCTTTCCGGGGGCTCAGGATCTCATATAGGGGGGCTTAATAAGGCCTTGGGCAAGATGCTGAGTTGCAACACGTTAGACAAACTCCCCCCCTTCACTCGTCCACCCTGAATCCCAGCGGCAATCTAGCACGGCTCACAACAGCATCCATGCTGGCTGATTAACATTTTCATCACTTTCTCAGTGGGTTCCCAACAAGAATTGTTTTTGCAGCGACTCTTCCGTGAAGTCAAATGTGGCCACGAGATAAAAGGATTTCAGACTATCGACGCACAAAAGGTTGAACTCTGATTACAAAAGAAGCCTCTAAGCTGCAGCGGCGGCAATCGGCGATGGCGCTTTCGATAAGTTGACCTCAAAAATGTACCCTTTAAAAAAAAATAAAAAAATAAAACACGAGTGGTACAGAAGTGGAGAAAATGAGGAGAAAAAGAGGGAGTCGGCATCTTTTGTGCACACAGCCGCCAGCCGTTTGAAAGGGAGGTGATTTAACGCGGGAAGGGAAGGGGACTAAATAGAAGGCCTCCCTGCTGAAAGGCAGGGGAAAACTTTAACCTTCACACGACAAGACACCGCTACTGGGCGGCCTTGTCGTCGCCATGGCGACCAAATGGAGGGCTTGGGGAAAGGCCCCGAGGTTGTGAAGCAGAGGGTGGAGGGGAAACGGAGAGAGAAGAGGTGCAAGGCGAGGGAGGAGGAGGAGGAGGTGGAAGAGTAAAAGGAAACAAGGGCGCGGGGGGGGGGGGGGGGTGATGGGAGAAGAGGACAAGGGAGGGAGGTGAGGGAGGGGGAAGGTCTGCGGTGCTTTTGATGTTAAGTCCCGGAGACAGAAGCACGGCGGCGCTGAGCGGCGCTCTACCTGGTCCGGAACCCCGCGGCTTCAGCGACAGCTTGGGGGGTGGGGGGGGGGGGAGATGAGAACAGGCGGAAACGCCGCAGCAAATACATGGGAAACATGATGGAGGAAAACACAGGAGGGGGAGAGAGTAACAATCTAACAGAAAGGTGAAATAGATGGAAGACTGAGGGAGGGTTTAGGCACACAGATGAACGTCAGAGCTGGAAACAGATCTCACAGACCAGTGAACTAACCCCCCCCTCATCCCCCCATCCAAAATGTACAGTGAAAGAAGCACGCAGGTGTCTTTTGAAGACCATCTTTGTGAGGCATAATTACTACTGGGATCTCAAGTTCGTGTTTGCTGCTCCGCTGTGTTTTTTGACACAGCAGGCAGAGAAAGACAAAAGCAGACAGACTGACAGCTCTGGAGTGACGGGCTCAATTCAAAAGCCAATGAAGGCGCTGAGACAACGCTTTGCCACCGCGCAGAATCTAAAATCTCCAGCTGCAACAGGAAGGTTTCTAGATGAGGCTCCGTTCACCTCGAGCCGAATACGACGGGCTTCATTGGATCACCAAGAAGCCAACGGAGGTGACAAGGGACAGAAGACCGGACATAGTTGTTGCTTCAGGACAGATTAGCAAGAAAGCCAGACTCCCCTCAGGGCCTCAGAGAGAGAGAGAGAGAGAGAGAGCCCTCCAGATGAAGTGAGATGGAGGAAGGGGAGGGGGTGGGGGAGTGGAGGGGCTTTTACACTAAATTGCTGGGACAGAGCAGGAAGAGCGTGAGCGAAAAGGGCAGACAGAGATGTTATGGGAGGAGACAAATGGAAAACGATAGACGCGAGCTAGATAATGTGGGAGAAAAAACGCGAGGGAGGAGGGAGACTGGATCCTGGGCGAACACCTCGGAAAAAAAAAAAAGTGGATATTGCGTGAGGCTGACTGACTGAAAGCAGCGTGGAGCGGACGGGTCTAACTAATGCAGGATTCAATAAACTGGCGTTATTGAGCAATATTGCAGTGCAGAAAAAAAAAGGGAAAAAGTGCAAAAAATCTGTCAATGTAAAAGAAAAAGGGGGGCAATAGAAATAGAGTCATTGGTCATCTCAAAAAAAATAGCTGATGGATTTAAGATCAATAATGACAAACGAGATGTTGCGACTGAAATGCAATATAATAGCAGACAGATTGCTTATTGTCAGATAAGAATTCTTCATTTGTACCTTCAGGATGGTCACATACTCTCATGTTATGGAGGCAATTCTGATGAACGACTTAATTCCTTATTGCACGGGTTTACTACACATTAACAAGCTTACTAGCAGAGACCACGACGATGCAAAAAAGGAGGAAGCAAAGGTAACGGAAGTAAGTCACTTAAGCATTGTGATACTGATAAGACACCGACTGACCTGTTATGACCCGCTGGGCCTCATACGGCTCCATGTAGCCGTTGTTCTCGTGCGGAACAGGTCTGAGATCTGGTTCTGACCCGTGGTCCGCGCGGGCGTCGAACGGGTCAGAATAATCCGTGTCGCCCGCCAACGGAGCGGACGGCACCACCTGAAAAGACAAATGACACACTTGACCCATGAGGACAAACGGGTGATGTTACAGAAACATAGACATGGGACACAGGGTCACACGCCGCCGTTTGACAACCCTCAACCCTTAAAAAGTAGTCCCGCCCTCGCCCGATTGGAGCGTTGGCGGGTTTGGTTACGGACGAAAGGCTTTTGGTATCATTAAGACGCTCATTTGCATCGTTATCGTGAAACCACACCAACGCTATGGTGGCTAACCAGCGTCGTTCTTCCTTAAAAAAGGCGCTCAAAAGGACAATGTTGCAAGTTTGTTGTGACAGTTAATCAGAATGCAAAGCAACCAGAAACCGTCCTGCCAGAGGATCCGGTGGGTTTTTCGGGCCGTGGGGAGAGAACGCGGAGAGTAAAGAGGGAGCTGGTTGCACAGGAGACAAACAGTCATCAGCTGGCACGCTGACAGATACACAGGCAGCCATATGGTGTCTCACACACACACACACACACACACACACACACACACACACACACACACACACACACACACACACACACACACACACACACACACACACACACACACACACACACACACACACACACACACACACACACTCTGGCAATCCACTCTCTTCCCATCGCTTTCCATCTGACAAAGGAAAAGGCGGCTTCCTTAATTCCTCGCGGACGTGCACACGCCCTCACAAAATTACATTTGAATCCCATGTTGATCCTGTAACAGGTTATCCATCGACGCACAGGAATCTGCAATGTAAATTGGAGTGCGGTTGTTCCCACAGACCCTGGGAAATTAATGAGAGCAGGAGGAGAGCGGAGCAGAGGGGAGGGGGGGGGAGCTATCGACTTGAGTTAAGACTATTACTTCAATCCACTTCAGGACTTTCGCACTTGTAGCATTTTCCACCAGGCAAGTTCATGGATTTGACTGCAGCTACGAGAAAAAAAAACCCTCAAATGCTCGACTCCCCGAGCGGAGCGTGAGCGGAATAAACGCGAGGGCCGCTTCCTAGCGGGCCCTTCGCTCGACATCTGCCCGCCTTTGTCCTCCGCGGTGGTCGCGAATGTTCCCCAACGCCGCGCGGCCAGAAGAGCACAGCAGTCCCGATGACACGAGCGGCCCCACAGCATAAATCACACCTCCCCGTGGCCCCTTGTCTTATCCAGTACGCCTCGCTGTATGTGGCCCCCTCGCGTGTGTACTGGGGGGGGGGGGGGGGTCTCTCTCAGCTTGGAAAACCAAACCCCGTTCTTTATTTATGAAGGGACATAAACTCAGGGGACTGTGAGCCTCTCTCTACCACTCAATGGTCCGCTCGAGCCGTCAATAATTTCCTCTTCATCTCCGGGTAGCGAAATTATTGTGGCGCGTGGGCCGTAATGTGATTTATGTTAACAATGCATATGTGAGACACACATTACTAGTCACTTGCTTATGGAGTCCAATCAATAAAGCCGTCGCTGTGATGGAAATGGGATGAGAAGCGGGGAGAGGGGTTTTTGTTTTTTTTCCATCCTTCATCACTTACTTGCCTTTCATTCATCCCTCCGTCTCACTTCCTCATGAAAAAGAAGACAACCCCGCCCCCCCCGAAACACCTACGCACACATGCAGAGAATATGAGGCTCTTACGGGCTCCTGCTGGTCCTCTAGAGAGACAGTGCTGAGGAGGATCTTGGTCCTCCCCAGCTCCTGGGAGTCCACTTTGATCAGCCTGTGCTTGGGAGATTTCCCGTCCACGCTGGACGACTTCATGGGCGAGCCGTACACAGGCGTGGCGGGGTCAGGGGTCCCGGACTCGCCCCTGGACCTGCTCTCCGGGTCCTCGTAGGGATCCTCGAAGTCCAGGTCCCTCTGCAGGCGGTAGGCTTTGAGGATCTCGCTCTCCGTGTAGTCTGGTGTCGGCGGCTGGGGAGGCACCTTCCTGCTGCCGAAGCTCAGGTAGTCCTTCAGCCACTTGGCCATCGCAGCTCCGCGTCCAGGTGTGCTGTGGAGGAGGGGGGGGGGCAAACACTGACATTAAGGTTATTATTTGTGAAATTGTATTTGTGTACAAGGAGTTCGACTTGTGCCGTGTGTCTTTTCCGATTGTCACGAGACAGTATCTTGAGAATAGCAAACCAAAAAACACTTTTTTGAATCCACATGTCGCGATCCATTTATTAATATATGTGCCGGACAACTTCCCACCGACAGCAGACCCTCAAGCTGCGTTCACGGGCCGTGATGTGCCGTTCAAATACACCAGCAGCTGGGTTTTACGCTTTAAGCAGGGAGCAACAACGTCTGGCATCTGGACTTTGCCCAAAGGCTGCAATTACATTTCACACCCCTGCAATAAAGTCCGACGTTAACATCATGGCTGATGAAAAGACAAAAGACTTAAAGCGACTATGGAAGGAAAGAAGAATTAAAGAAACTGTTTCACATCGTGATATTCGCATTAAATTGGTCACATAGCCATCATTAAAAAAAAAGGGAAATGTTTAGTTTTGCCACGTATTTGAACTTGGTTAATCCGGTCATTTAGTTTTGCCACGTATTTGTACACAACAACTTGGTTAATCCGGTCGTATTTTTCTAGACACTTTCAATCAAAACGGTCAACAAAACACTGGGTTTAATCAGCAGGGAGCGCGCGCGCTCACTCACCAACCCGATTCAGTCCTTCTGCCACTTTATTCCGCGTCGCTTCATCTCGATCACGATAAAAGTAAAAAGAAAAGAAAAAAATCCCCCTGCTCGCGTGTGGTACTCCACAAAAAAACAAAAAACAAAAAGAAGCCAGTGAAACCCGCAGGAATTCTTCCTCCTCCTCCTCCTCTTCCTCCGACTGACGGCAAACGTGCGACTGAAGCGAGCGACTCGAGAGCTCCGAGAGAAACTCAGCCGAGCGATTAAAGGGGAGGCGCTTCGTCATTGAGAGATGTGCACATCCTACCGCATGCACGCTCCTTAAAACCACTACAACAACATGGGGGGGGGCAAATAAAGAGCAGAAACTGGGGAAGGAGGAAAAAAAAAGCTTGCACGAAATGTGCTCCGAACGTGCATTATTGATTGTTATGACATCACTGGAGGCTTCGCTGGAGGTTCTTCAAAAAGGGGCTTTTGGAGAGAAAGCCGAGGCCTAAATGGTGAACAAAACGGTTGTCTGCTTCCTTCATCAAATGGCTTGATGGAGTAAGGAAATCTCATCCCTCATCTGGTAGAAACGAAGTTTAGACAGAAACACTTAAAACAAGATAACAAAAACACTGAGGCACTTCCACTCTTTGGGTCGTGTGCGTGTGCGTCATCCGTCGTGTCCTCCTGTCTGAGTGGGTTCTCGTCCTCTCACGAGACCCCCAAACCGCGTAGTCCGGCCTGTTAAATAGGATTAAGGCCATCCAAGTCTGTTAAAAGGCCGTAAATGCCTCCCTTTTTTACGACACTCATGATCTCACTCTCTCCCGGGGGGGAGACGGGATGAGGTCATAGAGCTACTCTCCACTCCCACCACAACCATCAACACTATCCCATCAAGGCCATCACATCTTTGCCCCGATGTCTGCTCCAGTGCTCCCAAAGCGCTGACTTCAGACCTAAAGAGGTGGGGATCATGGGGATTAAAAACATCTGTTTCTGAGGGAGACCTGAGGGGGTGTGATGGCGAAACATCTCGCAGGTCCCTGCAGTCCCGTCCAGGTCATTCATAGCATTCAAGTTTGGCAAAAACGTGAAGATACGATCCATTTCGTGACATCGGCCGATAGAAAGACACGTCAAGTTTTTGTAATTAGACAAAAAATGTCACTAATAATATGCTTTTTAACAATATAAAGATTATTGCGGGAACCGGATTCCCGCGGGGAGAACTGTAGTCGTTAAAACGTGGGAACCAGATCAGTAAAAGGTGTTACGGGTCTTAACTCCTGGGAATGATACAGATCTTGTTGCCACAACATGGGACCTTGATACAAGATCTCACACGACAATAGCTTCTACCCCCAGGTTAAGATATGTTCCTTCAGATGTCAAAGAAACACCATGTTCTTATTCTTCAGGGACTCCTGTGCTTTCTATGACATTACCTTTGTATTTTATCCTGTCTGGAATTTAACAGTGATCTTTCATCTCTTCTTCCTCCCCGCAGCTACACACTCCTGTTTTTAATCTGCAGAATCCAATATGTTCGGAACACCTCCTCCAACTAAGTAACATCTTGTTTTTCCATCATGGCTATACGGTGGGAGTCAGAACTGTAACGGAACAAAAGAATGAAACTGAGAAAGAGACGCAAAATCAGAGGCAGACAGACGGTCAGACTCACGGAGAGACGGAGAGATGAAAGCAATGGAAGATCAGGATCTCTTCCACATAAGAGATGATCACAAACAGGCAGACAGGCTGTAAGTCATTGTGTTTACCCGGCTGCTTCATAGGAGCCGACAATTTATTTAAAAAACAGAAACAACAAGCAGCGGTGGACTATTTCAGATAATTAATAAGACTGCCTCATTATAAAAGGGCTAAATATGGACGGGACATTTGCTGTATAATTCAAGCTTTCACTGGTTGCTTTATTTCCAGCTTCACGAGGTATACACCCATATGCCGTAGACATTAATGTACAACCACACATCTATAAAAGTCCTTTAAAATCATGCATTCAATTTTATGTTTTAATTTATGTGACCGTGATGTTAATTTCTGTGGCTTCCTCCCCTGTGCATTTACTGCCCCCCTTCGGGGGCTGGTGTGTATTGCATGTGTCGTTTCTATCTGTTGATGACATGAAGCCAATTTAACGTGATAGTTTGGGACGGTAATAATTGGAAAGTTAATGATGTATATAACGTTAGTAAAAATCTTAAATTGTATCCGTTAACGACGGAGGTGGATGTAAACAAAGGAGTTAATTTACAGGCTTTAGTGATGTATGTATTTATTAAAGCATTTAAGCACAGCAGCAACTAAACCCGTTGAATATTAATGAGCGTATCGAATAGTTTTATAACATTATTTATTTCACTCACCTCGCTCTTGGATATGATACGTTACCACCTCATTACTTCCGGGTTCAGCGCCTCTTTTGTCATTGGTTCAATTCACTATATCTTGTCAATGATTGGTTGAAAAAGTGCCATATAATGAACATCTTCGAGAAACAGCGAGATACTTTTTCTCTTCCCCCCCCCGTGTTGGAACGTGAGCTAAAGCTACCGACACGATAGCAAAGCCGGACAAAACGGAATGATAATCTTCTATTAACTAAAGCCAGTAAACCGCAAAACAGCAGCACGCGCTTCAGGGAGGTTTTAAAACAAAAAGGCTCCACGCGACACTACACGTCACCCGTCATCGCCAATCGAACGCGGAGCCGGTGTTTTGCGCAATGCTGATTGGTTGATTTTCACGAATGGGGCGGGCGCATCGCTGCCTCCCGGTGACGACACAGTGTGTTCCTGCGCGCCGCCGATGGGACAGAAGAAGAACTCACCTGGAGCCGGACTGTCCTCCGCAGGTTTTTGCAGGTCAGTTCATACATGTGTGTGGTCAACATTATGTGCGTCGGGGTTGTAATAACTATGACGTTGGCACATTTTTTCCGCATTCCATAACATGTTGGAGCGGCATGATGGGACAAACTGTTGATGACTTAATGATGGGTAAATAAATGAACCGCTTGAAGCCACTGCTTTCAGCTGGAACTTATGCCACTAAAGGATATTTCTTTGCCTTGATCGTTGCAGTGTTATTGAGACAGGGGCCAACACACCACTATGAAGAGTCTGAAGGCAAAGTTTAAAAAGACAGAGGTAAGAGCCGTCTGTTGGGGATCGTAACGGTATTTTGAGATGCAAGTCAAAGCAAGCTGTTTTTTTTAAATATTACATTATAAATCCGAGTGATTTATATAGATCCCAGCATGCTCCTTCCTGTGTGTGTGTGCACGTCCTTGTGTGCGCGGGGGGGCATTGGGATTCAGTATCACTGAACAGCAGCAGGCCCGCTCCAGACTGCTGCTTTAAACCATCTCAGGTAGCCTTCAATTATTCACACGTGTACACGCACACACACACACACAAAGGACCCCCACTTTCCTGCTGTCGTCCCTGTCCTTGTCTGGAGGGTTTTGTAATGTGCACATGTTCACAGATATACTTCATTGTTAGGATTCTCCTTTTCCTCGCCTGCTCCGTGAGGCGAGAGGCTCTGGGGTCGGTGACCTTGCCGCCCCGAGGCGACGGTGGTCTGAGCAGCATCACATCACCACCTGTTAGTGTCCATCGCCCTGTGGATGGACTCTTGCCTGTTTGCCTTTTAGATGAGTACCTCAAGTGCCATTCAGTAAAGTTAACGTGGTTGTGATTTTCCACAAAAATGCCCCCGTACCCTCCGTAGGCTACGAGACTAAATTTCAACTTGTTTGTCTGCCTCATCATGTCCCCTCCGCCCCGTAAACGAAACACCAGCAGAGGCCAGCCAGCTTGTCTTCGTCTCTTTTTGCTGAGTCCTCACTGCTCTGTAACTGCAGGGAAGCACATCGACGCTGTCGGAGGGGCGGGGGGTACCGTGCAGGACCCGACAAAAAAAAAATGGAGAGGAGAGGACGGTTGCCACACAGAAGTAGGCTGCAGGGAAATGATTGGGTCAGAGGAGGAGGACAGTGAGGAAAGTAAGGATGTGGCAGTGTGTGAGGTGCAGCGGACAGACCAGCTACGTCCCTGCTAGCAGCTGAGGCCGGATGACGGGATAGCGTTCTGTCCAGGGACAGGGGGGGGAACAGCAAATAGCAGTGATTCTGTATGTGTGTGTTTGTGTGTGTGTGTGTCCGTTTTTGTGTTGGTGAGCAATTTGATTTCTTGCGGCGGTGAGATTTTGAGGACGGCATTAATTCTCCAGGATGTAACTCCATGACGTTGCTGTGACCTCTGAAGGGCATCTGGTAGAAAGTTCTCTGCGGGATCGAATGTAACTGTGCCGTGTGGCCCGGCGGCAGCGTGTGCGGTCGGGCAGCACGCACAGCGGTGGCTTGGTACTCTGGATTCAGCCGTGTGTGATAACCGGCACAGCGGGATGGATCCTCGGCAGCCTGTTTTTAGCCTGATGAAGCGCTTCTGTCCTTGTTTCAGCCTGCCGCTGCCGGTGGGTATCTTCTCTCTCCATCCACTAATCACAGGGAGAGGAAAGGAAATATCCCTCCATTGTATAACATCTAAGTCTTAAACGTAGCATGTTTTTACTTCTGAAAACGGGTTTCTCTTGGCGTCACTCCAACTGCATTCTATTTATCCGGTGATCCATGGTTTTGTTTGTCGTGAGGTACGCAGCGTGATATCGGTTTCAGTCGGCGCGGCTCAGGGTGGTGACCTGTTCTCTTGGCTTGCCCCCCCCCCCCCCCTCAGAGTCAGGACTGGAGTAAGAGCGACGAGAGGCTCCTGCAGGCTGTGGAGCAGAACGAGCCCGACAAAGTTTCAGCTCTCATCGTCAAAAAGGGCCTCTGCCCCACCAAACTGGATGCGGAGGGCAAGTCAGCGTAAGTCGTGCGCCCGGTGTTAACTTTTTAATTCATCAGAAGCAAATTGTATTTCTATGAGTTCCACTCCATTCGTTTTTGTAGTTCTTTTTATTAACTGCTGTTGTTGCTCCTGGCAATGTGAAACCAACCGTTTTATTGTGCAGCAGCAATGTCATTTCCGTTTGTTAGTGTGGCCACTGAACGCATCGCATTGATGTCACCATGAATTCTGCTTAATAAATCCAATTCGTTGTACCTTTTTTACCATGATCATCTTTATGGTAAACGGCGACGATTTATTGCCCACTTCATCTGTCACTCGAACTAAAGTGATGAGTGGAACAGTTCTCAGGAACTGAAATGAAAACTGGTTCTCATTTCTCGTCCCTAAACGCTGTATATATCGTCCTTCGTCCTTCCGGCAGGTTCCACCTGTGTGCATCCCGCGGCCGGCTGGACTGTCTGGAGGTCATCATCTCTCACGGAGCGGACGTCAGCGTGGCGGATGGCGCTGGTAGGGTGTTGGTAGGGCGCTGTGTCTCAGGTTTAGTCTCGTCAGTTGTCAGGAATGGTTTGTAAACGCCTGTTTCGTGAAACGGTTGCAGGCTTCAGCGCTCTTCACTTGGCGGCCAAAAACGGCCATTCAGAGTGTCTGAAAAGACTCCTGCAGGTAAATCACCAATCACAAATCAAAAATGAATGGAATAGCATGGATTTAAAGAAGGTACTAGTTGCAGATTTTTTGTCTTTTACTGTTAATGGCTATTTTCTTTTTACCCGACAGGAGAGAATAGCAGTAGACTCCACCGACTCCATTGGGAGGACACCGCTTCATCATGCAGGTCCCAGTAGCAGGACTACATTAATACATAGCTGAAGAAAGATATTTAATCTCCCGTGCAACTGCACAGAGAAGTGCTCAGAGATTTAAACTGCATTTTGTATAAACATCTGATATTGACCATAATTGTGATTTTTTTCCTGCAGCGGTCAGTGGCTGCTTGTCCTGCTGTGAGACCCTGTGGGACTTTAAAGCCATTCTGGACATCCAGGACGGGGTAAGTTGAAGGGTTTGAAGATACGGATTGGTATTGGTATTACTATTATGTAGTGACATCCTTTTCCGCGTCAAATGTGCTGTCGCTGCGCGCCGTTTGGATGAGCGTGGACTCTCTCTCTGGCAGGAGGGGGCCACCGCTGTGATCCTAGCGGCCCAGATGAGCAGAGTGGAGCTGTGTGTCTTCCTGTTGGGCAGAGGTGCAGATGCAAACATACAAGACAACCAGGGAAGGTACCGGACTGTTAATGACCCTTTGGGGATTTGACGGATGTAATGGCGCCCGTGGAATGAAAGTGCTTCTTGGCTGCTCCAGAACCCCAAAACCCTCTGCAGGATTTCTCTCATTAGGGTTGTATGGATCAGGATACAGATTCCCCGTGAAAGTCTCCATGTAGATTTGGAATGAAACGGGTCAAGGACCGAGAGCCTTTGGTTTAGCTCTGGACATCTGAGAGGATAATTAGTGATATTTGTTCAGGGCACACTATTATATCTAATGGGGGGGGGGCAATTCAATTCCTGTTCCTGCAATTCACCTTCAATCACATCCAGGTCATTAACTTTGGAATCCAGGACCCAATAGAAAATAGTTCTGTGGGTTTCAGACGCACAGGCTGATGGTTTCTCAGTTGGAAATATGGCTAAAATGTGACGTATGCAAATCAACTGCATTGTTAGTTCACTCAGTAATGCTGTTTTTTTTTTCCTGTTGATCTCTGACGTTTTGTTTTGAACTGCAGGTCTGCATTGATGCTGGCGTGCGAGAGCGACAGCGTCGAGACCGCAGAGGCTCTGCTGAGAGGCGGCGCCGACACGCAGCTGGTCGACGCCCTGGGACACAAAGCCTCCGACTACGGTGTGACAACGGGCAACCAGCGCATCATGCAAATGTTGCGGGACGGAGCACCTCCAGGTACGGTGTGAGGCCTGAAGCCACCCCGGAGAGATTCCACTCGCCTTGTAACGTGACCACGAATCACCATGGCGGCTTTCGATAGCGTTTTTGGAAAATGCTAATCGGGCCCCGTCGTGTGAAACATGTGGCGGCGACATCGAACAGATCATCAGATCCAGTTAGTTGCTTTTGTTTGCGGCTTGCGCGGCTCTGGACTCTGGCTGTGACTCTGCTCCCCCGGGGAAACTGTAATGAGCAGGAGGGCAGCTGGGCATGATTTGAACGTGAGGTTGAGAGAGAAAAGGCCTTTTCTGCTTTCACCTCCCGACAAAGACCTCGCTGCTATATGCAAAGCAGACGTATGGCCGGTCTGAAAAGGAGATGAAGGAGAGAATTTGGTTTGCACGGGATGGACGATCCCATTCGTTTTATTCTACAATTGGAGATCTTGGTGAATTAACTACAAGGGGACATGGATGACATACCAACACAAACGAGAGAAGGGAGACAGGAAGTGAGAGTCCATGTTACTGTTGTATGTGCACATATTGACATGCACCTCTGGCTGTTTGCTCAGTCTAATTCCTCTGGATTTTAAAGTGTCTTGCTGTGTTTCTTCTCTCCCCCCCTCTGCGTACAAAGCTGCTGAGGGCAGAGGCGAAGAGGTAATGTTGCATAGCTGTGCGTTGGACCCCTCCCTCCATCAAATGAGATCACGGCCCCGCTTGGGCCGATCACATTGTGCATGTTTTCCAGTATGAGGTCATTATTTTTCTGCGCCGCTTTGTTTCCGTTGGCCTTTGCTCCTCTTTTGTTAGTTTCCCTAATTTTTTCCGTGTTATGTCGAGCTCCACCCCTGCTTGTCTGTGATCAACTCCCCCCCCCGCACCCCCCTCCTCTCCCCCACGCAGCCCCCCCAAGTCCCCTCAGGCGCCTCATCAATGCAAGGGGGCACGACACCTCGCAAGCGGAAAGCTCCGCCGCCGCCACGCTCTCCTCTCCAGGTACTGTGAGAAACATCTCACTGGATGGGAAACGTCAGAGTTAGCGTTAAGACTTAGCGTTAACATTTGCCTATAAAATGATCGTTAGCACCCAAGTGTCCATAATAAATGCTAATCCCATTTTAAGATCTCTCTTTTGTACAATATTGCGTCCTGTGATTAACTAAAAAGTATTATGTCTGTGATGACAAAGATCCATGTAAATCTTTTCCCATCACAAAGATCCAGGGTTTGCTGCCCTCTCCAAAGCCGCGCAGCCCCTCTTCACCTGCCAGGTCCCCTGAGCCTCCATCTCCATCTCCATCTCCATCTCCCCAGCCTAGACAAACACAGCAGTCAGCCCAGGTTAGCACTGAAAATCCTCATTTTCCTGTAACATGAAATGCAGACTTCATCAGGTATTCAGACGTCTGGTGTTTTTCTGTGCAAGGCCGAGGATGAGGAGGTGTTTGAGGAGATCCGCCGCCTGCGTCTGGAGAGAGGACGACTGCTCCAGAAGATCAAAGCCCTCGAGCTGCAGCAGCAGAGCGCCCTCACCGCCTTGGAGGAGGTACTACACACATGCTGCGATACAAGCGCGTCTGTGAAGAGAGTTGCTTGTTCTAACCACCATTTTTACATGTGTGCGCGCATTAGTTGTCCCAACTAAAGCAGCGTCTAAAGGAGACAGAGGCGGAAAGAGACAAGCTGCTCCATGAGCTGAAGGGAGGCCACGGCATTGGGGCCAGTGACTCTGAGGACATGGATGAAATGTTTGACTTCCCAGGTATGTGTTGACATGTACCTCCCAGGACCTGATAGAGCGCATGCGAGTACACAAATTAATTATTGTTGTTCGTTCGCTTTAACCTTTCCTCTAGAGAAGCTGCTCTCCAAGCGCTCCAGAGCCTTTCCTGCTCAGGATGAGGCCACTTCTAAAGGAGACTCCGAGTCAGCCAACCCCTCCCCTGTCCCCGGGGACCCGGGGACTGTTGCCGAGCTGCGTAAACATATTGAGGAACTTGCATCGCAAAACTCTGAACTAGCTCTGAAAGTGCAGGTGAGGTCAGAGAGAGAGTGTGAATGCACAACAATCACGCATGTATATCAAATAAAAACAATGGATAGTGATGTGATTATTAAGAGCTCCCCCCTCCTGCTGGCTGAGGAGCGTTTTAGGGTCCCTGACTCTTAACATTAGTCATGAGCACTTTTCGTTGCTCCGGTACACTTCTGCAGTGAGGCAGTTGTGACCACACAGGTATAAATAGAAGAGAGAGGCATCGGACAAGGGGCCAGCTGGGAGTTTGTTTGAAATATCCTGTTTCTTGTGGGGTTCATTCACCAGTATTTGAGCAGAAGCGATCTAAGCCAATGACTTCAGTTCTGTCCTGCTGTGCAAGGAAGAGCCAGGCAGGAAAGTGGGGAAAGTCAAAGCACAAAGAAAACGATCAAACTGCCACCGAAAGCACCGGCTGTGTTTTTTAATGGTGATGGGATTCCATAACTCATATTTAATTAAGTTAATAAAAGAGCACTTCTTCCAGTTCACAGGTCCGTTTACTTGTCGCTGGGAGTCTCTCAGCCTGTAAAGTTGGTTGTAGAATGTCTTCTGTGGCTCTGGAGGAGCTTATTTCAGTGTGAGAAAATAACTAGAAATGATCCAACCACGATGATTTCTGGACCGGCTTCAATTTCTAAATTATTTACACATTTATGACAGAAAACCATATGTATATTTAATAGGATTAAAAGTCTGCTGCTTCGTTGGTTTGACCTTGTCTTTAATCTCCAGAACAATTAACCAGTAAATAACTAGAGTTCTCTTCTAGGCAACGAGTACTTTGAGTTGATGGTGCTCAACTACATACAGGTGTAATATTAAAGGTTTTGCTACAATGTGAGGTGCACTCAGAGGGAAGCCCAACATTACAGGTTCCTGACAACCTTCACACGTTACTGTAATTCCCTCCGTGTTGTGTACAGATGCTGGAGATGTTCGAGAAGGACGACACAGATATGCAGAGCTCCAGCTCGGACTTTGTCCCCGTAGTCCAGTATGAGACCCTGAGGAAGGAGTTTGAAGCCCTTCAGGAGCGCCAGGCTGCAGGCGAGGCCTCCAACGTGGCAGAGGACTGGTGAGAGGGATTCAATCAGTTCACTGGAGCTCTACGGCGTCAGTTCAGGACGCTTTTGCCCTTTTGTAATCAGGGCGATTTAAAAAATGTTGCATTTACATTTTTCATATCATATATTTGATGGGGTCTCACTAAGAAATGTCTGTGCATTTACTATTTATTTGATCACAGTTTGCAGTTGAACGCTTCGGCGACATTTTAAGAGTTTCAATTGTTCTGTTCTGTGTGAGTTGTTTGAATTACTGCCGGAAAGATGAACAACGTCTGTCTTGTCCTCCAGCATTGATGGGAAGTCTGATGAAGGAGGTGCAGGCGCAGAGAGTGCCGAGGCCCTCCGGGAGAAGCTGCGAGGCCTAGAGGAGCAGTTGGCCACCTCCCGGTCCGAGCTGGAGGAGTTGAAGGAGCAGATGCGCCTGGGGGTGCTCTCTGTGGAGTGTGGCGAAGGGGATCCCGCCGCAGCAGGTGCAGGGGCAGCGAGGGGGGCTCCGAACCAGGCGGCGCAGCAGCTGAGCGCGAGGGTGGCCGAGCTAGAGGAGGAGCTTGCCGGGAGACCGGCCGAAGCAGGCGGGCGGAGCAGCCGGGACGGCGTCACGATCAAGCAGCTGACGGAGAAAGTGGAGGAACTCCGTGCCGCTCTGTCCAGGAGAGAGTCCACGAAAGGAGGAGGGGAGAAAGACGGCGAGGGTGAAAAGACGGTGAAGGCCCTCCGTGAAGAGTAGCTGAGTTGGAGGCAGCCCTGGCGGCGGGCGGGACATCGGGGAAAGACGGAGGAAGAGGAGGAGGAGGAGCAGCGGGAGATGGAGATCAGGTCCACCGTCTCCAGGAGCGCGTGGGAGAGCTTGAGGGCGAGCTGAGGAAGCGCGTGCCCCGCTCCGAGTTGGAGGAGGTGCAAGTGAGCCTGGGGCTTCAGTGTGAGCAGCTGGCCAGAGAAAGGGCGGACGTGGCTAGAAGGCTCAACAATGCGCTCCTGGAACTGGAGAGACTCAGGCCTCCTCCACGCGCAGATGATGGAGAGGAGGAGGAGGAAGAGGAGGAGCTTTCAGAGAGCTCCGAGCCCTCGGGCATATCAGGTAACACATTTCGACAGAGTAAAATGCGGGATTATGGACTTTTTTTGTTCCCCGTCTTGTGACTCATCATGCCGCCGTCCAATCAGAGCACTCCAGACGGACCATGGCGGCAGTGAGGGAAGAACTGGAGGTGGCGAGGCAGGAGGCCGCCCAGGCTCTGGACTGTCTGTGCGCCGAGCGGGAGGGCCGGGCACAGGACGCCCTGCACCTGAAAGACGCAGTGCCACTCCTTAAACATAAGGAGGCGCTGTCTGCGGCATCAGAGCAGCTCGCCGAGGCTCTGCAGCAGCTCCAGGAGGAGAAGACCCTTCGCAGTCAGGCTGAGGAGCGGGCGGCCGGACTGGAGGCCAAACTTCAGGCCTCGCAGGATGCCGTACCCAAAGAGGAGCATGAGAAAGTCAAGGTCAGCAGGGGTCAAAACAAATCAGACGATGATCAAGAGTTGCAGCTCATTCAAAATGATGTAGAAATAGTGCCGATATGCAGGCGCACAGGCTCAGATTGCTGTTTTCAAATCGCCAGAAGGAAACATTTTATTAAAGGCTATTTAGTCTTTTCCTGTGGACGACAGTGTTTCTGAGCACCAGAGTGAAGAAAGTCAGTTTTCACAAAATTAGTAATTCACTGTTTAAAATGAAGATTTTGAAAGGTCACACAAGTTAAAGCATAATATTTGTTAGCAGCAGCTGCTTTTACTGTTTCTTAGTCGGTAGAACTAGAAGGAGATGTAATCAAAACAGGGTTAAGAGCATTGCGATGTATATTTCTGTTGATCCGATGGGTTGTTATCTGATTTATTTAACTCACATATTAAGTGTTTTGCTCTTATAAGCATGTCACCGGTCAGACTGCGTGAGAATGAATCGGGTAAATCCGCTCCCTGCCTCTCAGGCGGAGCTCCAGCGCTCCCTACAGGCCAGCGAGAGCACGGCAGCAGCAGCCAAGGAGGCTCTTCTCGAGAAGGACATGGAGCTGAGGGAGCTGAAGTCCCAGAAGGCCTCGGAACAGGGCCTGATCTCCAAGGAGGACCACGAGGCCCAGCGGCTCGCTCTGCAGGCCGAGATCAACGCCGCCGCGGCCCGTTTCAACGACCTCACTCGCAAACACGAGAAGACCTGCACGGAGGTGAGTGTGTGCACGCACGCACGCGTGTCATGGAGTCTGCCTTAGAGTTACTGTGTCCATCACAAAGAGGCCGGTGCTCCACGAAGGCTTTTTTTCCTGCCTCTGCATTATTAATTTGTGTATTACTTTCTCTGTTCAGTACGTTCTTCTGTTTCATTGATGCTTCTGTATATTTTCCTACTGAGGCAATAAAGTAGTATCGTATTCTCTCTTTATAAACTGGGTAATTGCCTCTCTGGCGTTAGTACAGAGAGGTTAATAAGGGGCCACATTTTCCCCACGGAGAGACGCTAAAATAGCTTTACGCTCTTTATAAATTGAGTCCTGCCAAAAGCAGAAGGGATTCAATAACAAAAACACGGGCTGTTATCAACAAGGACCGCAAAAAGCCTTCGCATCTCCCGCCGCAAACTAAAGACACACCTCTTCAGACTCTACCTCGACCAAAAACATGAAACAAATTGTAGCACATAAAAATGTACTATAGTGATTTGTAGATCGGCGTATTTGATGAAATTGCACTTACTTGTTTTTTTGATCTTTTGAATCCTAATGGTTGAAAAGCACTTATTGTAGGTCGCTTTGGATAAAAGCGTCAGCTAAATGACATGTGATGTAAAATCAAGTAGTAAAAGTTGGAAATCTTTTCTACCACCGCAAATACAAGTGTGTAATATTAAAGTTATTAACTGTAAATTCCCTTTTTTAAAAGCCAAACTACAGTCCTCCTGGATCGGCTCCCCTTCTATAACAGCGGAGAGAATCTGAATATGAGGCGTGGTCAGATGCAATGCCTTGCTAAAGTGCCACGGTGCCGCTGGTGTCTTTTACGGTCCCAGGTGTTCCAGGTGCAGAGGGAGGCTCTGTTTAACAAGAGTGAGCGGCAGGTCGCCGAGTCGCAGCTGGCCGCGTCTCAGCAGCAGCTGGCCGAACTGCAGGCGCAATCCAGCCACATCCAGGAGCTCCACAAGGGCATCCAGGAATCCCAGGGCCTGGTCAAAGAGAAGGACCGCAGGGTGAGAGACCGGATGGCCAAACAAACGGCCGGTAAAGCGCCTGGGAAGTGAACTCATGCCCTCTTGTCTCTGTGCAGATAACGGAGCTGTCCAAGGAGATGTTTCGGTTAAAGGAGGCCCTGGGTGCTTTATCGCCTCCTCTAGGCATCACCGCCTCCACCTTCTCCTCCGCATCCACCCATCACAGTAACCCTGGGCAGCAAGTGGCCCTGCAGAACAGGATCTCCATACTGACGCAGCAGCTCCAGGTGAGGTGATCGCAGACACAATAAATATGTGAAGTCAGCAAAAACAACAAAACAGACCCTCGAGTCTTCACGCGACCTGGGAACAATTTCTCTAACCTTTTTTTTGCAGGATTGGGAGAGGAAGCACAAACAGGTGGTGACCGTTTACCGTACGCATTTACTGGCAGCTGTACAGGTGAGCTGAATGCAAACGTCTCCACGACAACACAAACTAAGACTCAACCCCTTCTCAAGCATTCTGAGATGTAATGAGGCTGGATTAGTTTGTGCCTCTATGCGGCGCAGACGATTCACCAGCTCTGCTCACCACACAAAAGGGGATTACATTGAGAGTGGTGCACATTATCTCTTTCAACCAGTTTGATCATATTCCACCGCAAAGGTGCAGACATTAGCTACTTCTTATGTCATGCTGGTTGTTATGGGAGATGGCCTTAAAAAGAGCTGTTGGCTTCTTATTTTATACTTTTAGCCGGATAGGGATGTGTAGGCTGTCCAGTGTGATTAATCTCTCATTACTGATGCATTGAGATTTGATCCATTGAGATTTGATCCTATTATCCTTATTTCTTTGTTGGACACAGTTACGGGTGTCCCGATGCACAGATTGCACATGAGCACATAGCTTGCCTCCTGGGTTCAGAAGAGGCCTTTAGCATTACAGTCAATCTGTGCGTATGAACGGGGCAATCAGCAAAAGCCTCCACCTCCTATTCAGCATGATGGCTGGCCTAATTTTCTTACACTGGTGTGTATCGCCCAGCAGGGCCGAATGGACGAAGACGTGCAGGGTCTACTGCTCCAGATCCTGAGGATGTCACAGCAGGGACAGTGAACCTCATAACGTCTGCAAATCTCTCTTCACCTCCAGTCCCTTGAAAGGTCAGCATGTGACGGCTGCAGCTCGGCGACCTGTGGGACCAGCGTCACAGGGACCTTATCCAGGAAGCCAAATGCAACCGGCATAGCTGCATGTGCACAATACAGCAACTTAAGCGACAGCCGGCAGGCTCGACCGATAAGCAAACAGTGAGAAATCGAGTGCCTTAGTGGTCGGCTTTACGGCAGCCTATAAGTCAGGGGGGCGTGTGGTAGCAGACAGTGAGTGTAGAATGTAGAAGATGTGTGACAAGCATTTTGATTTTATACAACATTATTATAATAAAAATTAAAAAAAAAACACCCGCAATGCTGTTGATCCTGTTCTTTCCCCTCGCTTTGTATGATGCAACAAACAATAGGTTTCCAAAGCAACAGCTTCAACACCGTCGTTCGCATCTATTTTGGGGCGATGAAAATCTGAAGTCTTAAACTGGCTGAGCATGTGAGCACGGACAGCTGGGCTCGAAGGTGTAGCTGCTACATTGGCTGGCAGATACTCACAAATGACCAAGCTACCATTTGAATTGCACCCTATTTACAATTAGTTTTATTGACAAAAGGCCATTAATCAAAGAACAGATCCAACAAATTCCTGAGAAAGCAAAAGGGGAGATCTAAAAATAATCCCACTGATCACTTGGACCTCACCAAAAGCCTCGTAGCCCCAGTGAGGCTGTGAAGGGCCTGGTTAAAGATATGTTGCTAATGACCAAGAGAAATGAAAACCGTAGCTGATCTGCCTCTGGTAGGATTTTTCGGTATTAGACTGGCAAGGCGTGCTGTCACTGCAGCCAGGCAGCAGGAACACACGAGCAAGGTTCACTAGTAAACACACAGATGCACAGGCTTGGACAATTGACAAAATGGTGCATTTCCCTGACAAATAAAGTATTTAATTTCATGTCTAAGTCCCCTTTCTTCTGTATCAATCACTGTGGAGGAGCACACACAGCAGCCGTGACACGGCAAGACGGTATTAAACATTCGGGCCAAAACAAGAGCAGCTTACTCGACTGTTCACTACAAGAGCTCGATCCTCCTGAAGTCTGCCCAGTCCATTCATTGGCATGGCAAGAAAACTAGTGTTTTGCATTATGAGCATAAATGCACATTATATACACTCTGACACGAAGGCCCGTCTCTGTACTTAATAAGGCACTGAAGTTGGAGAGGCTGTGGGAATACTGGTGTGGATATACTGAGCTTGTATGCAGAGTTTTAAATAGTGTCCACGGGCTTACACCACAAGCACAGCTTCAACTAATTATAAACAGCCCGTACAAACACAAGCTACTGATATTTATGGTAGACGTGATGACGCATTTCAAGACAAGGTATTATATGAAGATAGTATCAGTACTTGTTATTTTAACTGGGATTTGGTGAATGGATTATCACGGAGAAGCAAAGGGCCAGACGTATGTGTGACTCTTAAATCCAGCACTGACTCGTGCTCAGTGTTCTTTGTGCCATCTCAGTGACTCAGAGTCAGGTGCTGCAGAACATGTAACAATAAACCGTCTTTACATCCCAGGGGAACAGATGTCTTTGTCTCACAGTATTTTCATGTCTTGCATTTACAGAAATAAACCTGACATGAGTGACCTGACATCTTGAGCTTCTTTTGACAAGTGGTCTGTGCCAGATTTGTTTTGTTCTTTGCTCAGAGTTTTGTCGAGTTTTTGTTCTGGCAATGACCATTATTTGTCCTGCGAATGACCCGTGACTGAGTGACCGCTCGCGATTCCAAGCCGAGGGTCACGGGAGGCGCTTCACTTTTACGTTGGTGGACTGTTTGATGTCCCGTTAGTTCCCCTGCAAACATTCATGGACATCGGTTGACAATTCCTTTCTGAAATGAGTCGAACTCTTCCTGGAGTCCTGAACAGCTGCGTGCTGAGGAGTTGATGGCAGGGCTACTTCGGTGGTTCCTGGTAGTTCAAAAAAAGGCAGAGAAAGTACAACGAGGTTTTCGGATGCCTCAGTCTGCGTGGTGGAATTGTTGGTGGATATCCATCAGGAATAAATCGTTTCCACATTGGTTCATATTTTCTGTTTGCATTGGAAGCCGAGAATTCAGCTGTGAATCACAGAAGAGAAAGAAAGATTGAAACTTAATACAGTCATTTTTTTTTTCAGATAAAATAGTCACATGCCGGACAAACAAAAAACACACTGACAGAGGGATCACATGCACAGCCGAAAGAAAGGGCCCTCTTGCTATAAAGCCACACTACCCACAAACCCGCTCTTCTTCATTTATTCCTCAGCGGCCGTTTTGACATTTCATTCCAGGGTGAATTAAGGTGTAAATAATTAAGGTGTAAAGATTAATGGAGGCGCTGCTCCGCTCAGATAAGCCAGGGCCCTTGTATTCGGCGTGAAGGCTCACTGTAATAGCTGTGAATAGAACAGGACCCCCATTACCTCAGTCCATCACGGCTGTGTTTACCTCTTACAACGTGTCAAAACGTCTGCGGTTACATTTGCCTTTTCAGTCACAAAGACACATTACGCGTGCTTTTACCTTCCAAACCAAGGGCACGCGGGGGGGAGGGAGGGGCTCACTGTTTCCTCCGGACCACCTGTTTCAGGTGGAGCTCACTCTCTGCTGCCACGATAGGCAGCTCGTTCTTCAGGTGGTATGCGATGAGGTGGCTTATGCTCTCGAACAACATGTCTTTGGTTCGGACCTGCAGGGAGGACAGCGAGAGGCTGAGAAAGAAGTTGCCGCGTCTGCTACAGAACCTTTGTGTTTTCTTCTCGCTGCCCGACTCACCACTCCCTCGGGGTCCACCAGCAGCAGGTGTTTGGGCAGCCCGCAGTGCATGCCGGTTAGCACATACTGCCCCGGGTTGGTGGTGCTCTCCCGGACCAGGAAGTCTCCGTCTCGGACCAGGAGCTTCTCGGCGTCCCGCCTGCTCATGCGGCTGTGGTACCACGTCTCCCTTCGGAGCTGATCCTCGTTCGGGGCCACGGGGGCCCGCCGGCGAGGAGGGCTGGGCCACTGGTCCTCCAGGACACGGACACCTGCCCCCGCAGCAGGTCCGCCGCAGGCCTCGTGGAGCTTTAGGGCGTCCTCGAAGGGCCCTAGAGAGACGGGGGAGTGTCAAAGAGTCTAATGTGGTCTCTTTCCGCTGTTTTCATAAAAAGAGTCAGAATGTGTCCCTGAACAATGAGGACTTACTCATGTCAAAGAGGTCCTTTTTTGGACTTTCAGGGGCCCGAGACCCTCTGTGTCCGTTGGGGCCCTGCGCCAGTACATCCAGGTTTTCCAGACTTTGGGTGTTGACGTACTGATGTTCCTCGTAGTCTCTGCTGCCTGGCGGCTGGCCGTCAGCACACAGGTAACCGTCCGATGTCAGACCTGAGAAACACAGGTGCTCTCTATTCAAATATTGAGCTTTGTCAGGTACCACATTGGATGGATATATTATATCCACAAATTATAGAGGTATAAAACCAATTTATACTGACACTGATATTACAAATGTGTACTGCTGTGTTTAACGCATATTTCTATACAGAATTTATCCTTTGCAGATTGTTATCATGGGACTATTGACAATTACTATTTAGTTATTGTGTAAGTGCTTTGATACTTTGAACCGCGTTAACAAATAAGTGGTATTAAATTTAACTTGGTTATGTGATTTCCAACCTCATTTGTAATGCACTGCTATTGTACTTTTAATTAAATCATTTCAATTGCAAGATTTAAACAACACATTTTAAAAAAACATTCAAAGATGTTGTCTGACGAGGAGGCATCGAACCTCCCTGATTAACGATCTGTGACCGTGGTGATGTGAACGGTCCAAACACTGAGCAACTCTCCTTCAGGGCACAAAGTGCAGTGAGGGTTGCATGTGTACCGTAACCGGTCACGAAATGTCAAATATTTCCAGAAGAGATAACGCCCGACAATTTCATCACAAACGTATTTTCCCACTGTCACACCCGTCCGCCGCCACAGGGGGTCTCACCTGAGCTGCCCGTGGTCTCAGTGTCCCAGTGCAGTTCGTAGCACAGCTGACCGGGGGGGTAAGATGCCTGCTCCCTCCTCCCCGGGGAGCCCGTCTGCCAACACACACACACACACACACACACACACACACACACACAACATCTTCAATACATCTGTAGCCGTACACCTGGGCGCACAACCCGTGTCCCGCACGTAATGCAGTTTTGAAGCACTCCGTCTGAAACATTAGCTACTGCCTGTCACCGGTGTTTGAACAAGCGGCACAGAGACAGACAGAGAGAGAGAGGCGGGTTTCCTCTTTGGCCGGAGCCAAAGCTTTTTCTATATTCACGTCCATCTTTGCCAATTATGGCGCAGGCCCCATCGGGAAGGCCGTTGTGGAGCGTATGTTTCTACAACTGTTCCATTCCGGGTAAACAAGAGCCAAGAAAACACATCAGGTCAAAGAGCCTGGCTGTCCCCGTCTGGTGAAGGTTGGTCCTTGACGAGGACCAGATGGAGCTTTTCATTACATCTGATGACATTAGACGGTGAGGGTCACACCCAGAGGCCGCCTGCGCCTGCGCCTTCACCTGCGCTGCCGTCTTGCTCTGTGGTTGCGTGTGGATGTGACCCAGCAGGGCTCCGGACGGCCTGAGCCTGGAGTCCACCAACCCCCCGACGGGGGGCTCCTTCCCCGGGATGCTGTTGTAGTAATCGTGTTGAGAGAAGTCCTCGTCCTCCGCCCACATCGCCTCCTCCGTCCTGGCACACCTGGAAGTGTGACAAGTGGATTTTTGTTTTTAACACACAGCCAATAACGCAACTTCAAAAATAAACCCCTCGGGTTAAAAAAACAGGGGGTTCGACACCGACTAGGAGTCGCCCAAACTTCACCCGAGGCCTTAAAAGATTTATGCTGTTTCTGCTTTAGATTTGTGCACATATTAAAGTTTTTGTCTTGTATCAATTTGTCTCGAATCCCTGTTCACATTAACTTTAATAAATGTATACAACGGGCCAATTCCACGTGTACTATTTGGGTGAATTGTTTAGTCCGTTCCAACAGGGGAGAGAATCTGTGCGGATCAATATAACGGGATGGACACAGAAGAACAAACTATCCTGTCTGCTTGTAGTGAATTAAAAACAAACGCGAGAGTTGTACAGCAGATCCGGTGTTTGTGGAACGTGTGACTAAGGACACATTTATGTCAAAGTAAGTGTGATTGATTGTGCTAAACCTCCTCTTTCACTGTCAATCTTCCTTAAATAAAATTATATTTTTCTTATTGACATTGTAAAGCTTTAACGCATACGATAGTTACATCGTGGATTTTAGTATTGATTCTTACTGTAACAGACGTGGGGTTTTTTTGCCCCCCTGGTCCTTGTTATTTTACAAGCCAATGATTTACAGTCGAGAGTTTACTCTTCCTGCAGAGTTGGAGGACAGTGACAAAAACAGCTTTCGTCATTTTTTATCTTTCGAGTCACGTGCGGCGTGTTACCTCTCCGCGGACGCCATGGTTTTGGGAGGACTGTGCAGGTACTGTTTGAACTGCAGCTCGAAGGCCTGGCCGATGGTGCTGATGACTCCTTGAGCCAACCCATCCGAGCACTCCAGGATGTGACACGCTGAAGGAAAACAACGTAAGATCCCAGCTCAGCATTAATGTCATTTCATTTATTTTTTAAATATCTTCAATGTAACTATTAACTATACCATTCAATTCAATTGTAGCCTCCTAAGTACACAATACACAGTGAACTGAGCGATCCATGTTACAATCATTCTTGTATAATGTGCTTATGAAACGAAGGCTTTTCAGGACATACCTCTCTGATTCACTGGATCTTTGGCCACGTACGCAACATAATCAGGCGTGTCCTGCGAAAGAAAGGCGGACAAATCTAATTAGACCAGATAAAATAGACATATATAACTAAATTAAAGCCCTCATTGATTCTTCGGGTCATGAGATTGGAAACCGGTAAAATGGAATTCAGTCAGATGTGTGCAGTCTGCCAAAATACAACAACCACTACAAGAGCTGGGAACAAAACGCTGCACTCACTGTGTCTCCTCCAGAGGCGAATGAGATGGACTGCATGGGGTGGTGCGCTATCACCTGATGGAGACGAGCAGAGAAGACGGAGGCCCGTTGATCAACGTGGATACAGACCAGACGGACGGGCAGGAAGATAGACAGGAGATTTTTTCATTTAAGTGTTAAAATGAAGATTCTACGGGCCAATTATTTTCACCACAAAGGAATTGCTTCTGAACCAATACTCTACAACTAACGCAGCAAATATGACACGTAGTTTTGAACTGATGATCAAGGTTGTTGGATCAGTAACTGACAAGCATCCTTACTGAAGTTGAAGGACTGAATAAATTCATGAACAGCAGAAGACAATACCATTTAATTAAGGCTTGTTTAATTAAGACAGAAAACTACTATTTTTCATGCACAGATTTAGCTTCCATAACACAAAAACTTTCAGACTAGTGGAAAGAATCACAAATGAATGCATATAATCAACCAGGACAGTTTCATGATGATATCTATCAGTTATATTTATTTTATTTCCTTTGGGTAACTGTATGAGTCTAGCCTGAGTACGGATGAGTTCCGGTGGTTTTAGCATCATACCTGTCGCGTGGTCGGGATAAGCAGACTGAGGCCGTCTATGGAAATATTGACTGCAATACTCATGCCAGCAAATCGCAGGTTACTCTTCCCCATCACGGACTGGAGAGCTTTGTTTTGGGCCTGCGTGACGAGTTTAAACAAAAAAGAGAATAGATAGGACTTATAATCACAATTTAAAAACTGTACTCTTGTTCACAAAACAGAAACGTCTTGCTGTATTTACTACATTTGGTGTGAGACGAAATACTTTACGTCTATCGGGTCAATTCAAATATAATATAAATCACTTTTATTTATTTAATTCAGTATTTAGTAACAGTACTGTAATGACACATGCAAAGCGAGCGTTGACCTTCTTCCTCCACGCCCCCTTTCCGCCTGGCACAATGTCACACAGCCGGTTGATGGCTTCCCTAGGTAATGAAAGGAGGTCAAAGGTCAGCCAATAGCAGGACACACTGGCCACATCTTAAAGCCACAAGGACCCAAAAAGTTTTAAAAAATCCTGTGGATTTGCGTTCACTGTGCACACAAATATCCACATTCCACTGACAACAACCTGAGAAGTAAAAGTCGGGTTTAGTGTTTTAAAGGCTTCAGAGCAACATGAAACTACAGGGCCTCAATGATGGATTAAACAACAGGACCCTTGTCTTCCCTCCCTCCGCCTGAGGTCAGAGGTCACAGACCCCTCACGGTTCAAAGGTCAAGGAAAGCTTTCCAGCAGGTCTGTTTGAGAGATTCATCGAACCCGTGTTTAAGTCTCCGTCCAATTAGGAGGGAAGAAACACCACAATGAAGTGTCTCCTGCTGCTTCTTTAGGGCGTCGTTACGCAACCGTATCTTTTTCCGCAGCGCTATTCTCTCTGCAGGTTTGTCACAACTTTGCGGCGAGGCTGCTGGGAGCGGTCGCCTAATGGCCGTCTAAAGCCTCTGTGCCCCGTGTGTGTCTGGTGGCGGGAGAGCGGCCCGATGGCGGGATCCAGGCCGCCCGCCGCCGCCCCTATCAAGTGGCTCGTAAATATTTAAAAAGCAGCGGCCACCAGCGCCCCGTCTCGAGTAAAGGTCTTCTCAGGGATTTTTTGAAAAACACCACACTGTTCGAATGACACTGTTGAGAGGGCAGAGGCATGAGGAGGAGGAGGAGGAGGAGGAGGAGGAGGGGAGGAGATATGGCCTGTTGTTGTTTTTGTTTGCAGCGTCTGCTTCTTCCCTGCGATAGAATGCCTGTGCCTCATTATCGCTGGTGTTGCCGTTTAACACTGTGACACAGAAAGTACTGTTGGGCAAATGGAACTTCTGCCGATCTACGAGCTGAAGTACATTTCTGAAATACTGACGACCGCTGAATGTTTCGTCGCGTTTTTTTCCAGGACTAAATGAACCTGTGTATAAGTCAAAAAGCTGAAAGAAGGCCAATCTGTGGATACATAATAAAGGCTCAAACGCTGCTTTAGAATTTCACCCAGAAACAATAAACACAGAGTAAAATGTCTCATACAGTTGGTTAGATTGATTTTAGACGATTATTGATTGTTGGCCTCATGGGACGGAGGGCATGTCACATGATCCCCAAGGTATCAGAGACCTTAATGCCATTAGCATCACTGGCGAGTCGGTTTTACGGCTGCCCTTCACATGAAATGTCAAGCACATGCAGCTGTATGGGAAAGGTTTCAGCAGATTCAAATGAGGGAACGACTCTATAGTCAACGACCTCAAGGATGCAAAATGAAACCTTCGCTCTTTCGAACTCTCCTCCTCCTCCTCAAGAGGTTACAACATTATCCAGCACAGCAGGTTCATGGGGACCGCTGCAGCTTTCCACAGTCATTAATAAACATCATCAATAATAGATCTCCCTCTCTATCACTCCATCCTCTGCAGCCCCCCCTCCCCACCCCCCTGGCATTTAGCCTTGGGCTGCCACGGTGGCCTCCGATTACCCCCGATCGATTTTGGAGGAGGAGAGACCCGGCCGAGACTTCGGAGAGGGGGGGGGGGGGGGGGGTTCTCCCATGAGGCCGAGGATTGCAAAGAGGCCTGCTTTTATAACAATAACATCACATGTGGGTCATAACAACACGACATAGACACACTGAGACCCCGAGGTATATGGACACGGAACATACACACACACACAACATTATATTGCTGCATTTGTGCTGAACCTTGTGAAAAAAAGCCACAGGTGTAACCTTATTATGACATCGCGCAGCCTTAACATAATAAGTATATTAAACTGAAAAGCACCATAACTCTAAATAACAGCCACGTACCGACGCATACGGCTGGTAGCAATTTGATAGCTGTAGGTGATCCTAAACATATTAGATGAAATTCACTACTAATGAGGACGGCCCACGGCGTACCTGGTCACCTGAGTCCGCGTGTTGAAGTCCAGGGAGCGCATTGACTTCAGTACTTCGATGCAGCCCATGTACTGCAAGAAGAAACAGAAAGGTTTGTGAAATGATGATTGTGGACGTGCCGGGAGAATTTTTGAAAATAAACACAAAAAACTTACTATGGAAAACTATGAGGTCACCAGCATTAAAAATAAACAGCAAATCAGTAAAATGATTTAATACAGACATTAAAAATCGTCTTTAAAAACTATGCAGTATACAAAATTTAATCAATGAACAGTGAGCATGACTATTTCCCAAAACACATCGTAATCTAACTCAAACCCAAAGATAAAGATCACATTAAATTGTAATCCAGTGAGTAAAAGCCAGCTGAGCAGCTGTCTAATGGCTGTTAGGCCGGGGTGCTAATAGCACCTTGACCACATCGGCAGCACTAAGAGCTCCAAATCACGGACAAACTACAGCTTCTTAAGCCTCCGGGGGACGCTGAGGGTGTGAGTGTGTTTGTGTATAAAATCCCTCCATGTGGGGAGATCTTAATCTGAATATCTGTGAGGTTTACATGAAAAGACCAAAGTCTGGGTTACAAGTGCAATTCCTCTTCCTATTCCAGTTTGCCCGCCATCAACGGCAACAATGTGTACGGTACGTTGATGAGGACAAAGCAACAAATGGACATCCAAAGGAAAACAGTTGCAAAAGTAAGTGAAAAGGCCGCATCAGATGCTTGATGACTTCAGTCATCTCAAATCTCACACAGACTTCTGTGACGTACAACTAGTTTTATAAACTAATATGCTGCAACATCTTTTCCATCCTCTCCCAGTCGAAGCCACATTTAGTGCAGTTTCCAAACAAAGAGACAGAGACACAGAGACAGACGGAGAGAGAGAGAGAGAGAGAGAGAGAGAGAGAGAGAGAGAGAGAGAGAGACCGAGAGCAACCTTTGAGCAGAAGAGCTTAATGAGCTTTCTAACCAGATTTGGAGACGAGGGGAAGTCTTCCATCAGGAAAATTGTCTCTCTTTTTTCTTTCCCTCTCCCTGCCAATGCCTCCATTGTCACACACTCATCTGCTGATGAAACGCATCCCCTCTTCTATCACCCTATCTGCACTCCCTTCCTCTGGGCCAAGTCTCCAGCACACTGTTCCTCGCACTGCGGAAATGCAATAACAACGCCATGACCGCGGCAAACTTTGTGGCGTTGTGCGGCCGTAGTCGCTCCGTAGTACATTAATGAAGAAAATGTTCCATTGTCTCAATTAATGATGTGATAACTGCTCACCTAACCACCACGGGATCTTGTATAACAATGGCTGGACGGATGATGGATAGATACTGGTTACCAAACAGTATCTGGATAGTATATAAACAATGTAACCTGCCTGGAAATGAGGTTGCGAATATCATGGACAACAACGTTCCTTCTCTCGTACTTTTGTTCTGACCGCATTTGACCGCAGAATGTTCTGGCTGCACTACGGAAGGTACCTCCTGGTACAGCACAGAATTATAGGAGTCTGATTTCCATCTCTGAATGGGAGATGTTTTGGCGCCTGCAGTGCTTTGTTTGACGCTTGAATTGCTGCACTGTCCTGGCTGTCGAAGACAGCAGACGTTGGCCAGACACAGAGCCGGACGCAAAGGATGAAAATAAATACTACGAAACATACTTGTGCCTTTTACCAGCAGAGGAGGGGCCGTGTGCGTGACACAGGAAGAGAGGGGGAGCTGAGCGGCTATTGTAGCCACGCCGAACGAAAAATGGCACAGGGCAGCAAAAAATAAATAATCCACTGTCCCATTGACACTAATACATGCAGCAAGGGCCGCTCCCTGCATAGCACATGCGGCTCTCGCGTGAAATGCATCCAACATTAGCTTACACGGGCCGTTTAAAATGATTGCAGCGCACACCAGAGCTCGGGGAGGTATCAATCAAACGTTGGAGCAGCACTTGTTACGAACCCAGGAACGCTTTGCATGATGATAAGAGCGCCTCGCCATCCCGACCTCATCCGCATCACATGATGCAAATGACTGTGATTAAATGTAATTGAATACGCGAATGAATGGTGCCTGTATAATGGCATTAGAAAGGCGTGCTTGAGCCCCAGACTGGGCTAATCAAGAGGCATGTCATTAGTTTGAGGAGGGGGGGGGAGGTGGAGCGGTGCAAAAGGGGTGGAGGTGAAGCGGCGCGCGGGATCGCTGAGGGGAGATCGTTGACATTGACGTCAAGCTGTCTGCTTGTGACGGCAACCCTGTAAACACAAATCCTAAGAAGGAAAAAGCATCTGCTCACATCTCTACCGTTTAATTTGACTCTTATCTCTGGTGGGACGAAGCAACCATCCATTTCTACAATAATAAAATCACAAAGAGTCTGTGGGAGATTTTAAAGTGCCATCTGAGCGTAGTGTAGTAAGATGGACCAGGATAAACCCTTTGCTTTTGCTTGAAGTCCATCATGTGACGCCGTCAACCTTTGGTGAACACCGTTATAAATGGGGGACCGTTGGTCGTCGGCGCACATCATGTTAACGGTTCATCCTCCTCCACCCTGAGCTATCCTGTCGCAGTCCCACCAAGCCATCTATCTGGATTATGTATTTCCACCAGCCCACAGCCACATGAGCTGCATAACAAACTGCCCGGCCCTGTGCGGTTCTTTTACTTCCCACCAAGGTAGAGAAACCTTCACATGGATCGTTCATATTTTAAAAAGTTATTTTACTTTCAACACAAGTCCTGAATTAAGTAGATATTTAAAAGGCGTAGCGATGTATATACAGCATCCATGACTGACTCACCCTGACAACATACGAGGCCCCTGGTCCCGCTATCTTCTTGTCAGGGTGCAGCCAGCCTTGGGAGGGTTTGTGGATGAATCCCCCCTTCTGGGTGAAGTCCTCTCCCCCGAGCCACATGCCTTCCACCCTCGTCCTGCGGTTCATCCCCGACCTGGAGCCGCTGGAACCCGCCGGGCCGGCCGCGGCCTCCGTGGCCCCAAATCCGTGGCCCCCCTGATTGGCCGAGTTCACCGCCGCGACCACCCGCTGCCCTCGCATGGCCTGCAAGGAACACGGGGTGACACACCCGGGGTCGCACGAGGTGAGCACGGCCGCCAGGCTGGCCACGGGGCCGCCGGCCGGGGCCGCGCCGCTGTGCCTGTGTGACGAGGAGCTGTGCGAGGAGGAGGTCTGGGGAGCAGCCGCCTTCCCCGAGTCCTTGCTGGAGCCGGAGCTGGAGCTGGAGTTGGACGGGCTGCGGCTGAGTAGGGAGTTGGAGAACTTCCACTGGGGCATCTTGGGGATGAGCATGCAGAAGGTCGCGGTGGCGTCCTGTTCCCCATCCAGGCAGGGGGAGTCGGGCAGGGCGGCAGCCCCGGCGGAGGAGGACGATCTGGCAGAGTGGTCCAGCGGAGGCAGCGGAGGCAGAGGGAGGCTCGTGACGGAGGAGGAGACCACCGGCGTGGCCACAACTTTGCCGCTCATGGCTAAGCTCTGCATCAGGTCGTCGGAGGAGGAGGAGGAGGTCACAGACTCGTTGCGAAAGCGGCCATACTTTGGCTTAAGGAGCATGCCCGGAGGAGCCGCCTGAAGCAGGAGCTAGAAGGTGGGGGGATAACTGCCAGAGGATGAGGAGGGGGGTGGGGGAAAGGGGGAAGGGAGATGGGGGGGGGCGGGACTAGAGAAAAGAATCTTCCAGGTGGAGTCCTATGTCCTTGTCAACTGGACGCTGTCTGTTCCTCCCCCGTTGTCACACACACACACACACAGACGCACACTGTCCCGCTCTCATGCCACTCTCCTCTCCGTCTGAGCTGGCCTGCTTCCTTTCACTGCCTGAGGCAGCCTCCCTCTCCCTCCCTCTCTCTCTCCCTCCCTCCCTCCCTCTCCGGATGATGTCATCGGGTCTATTAGCCCTGCCCTGCTGCTCTCAGACTGTATTAGCTAAAAACACATCTGCCTGAACCTCAGTCAACCTCACAACACACACACACACTCATTCACGCACACATTTCAAGCCTTTAAAATTAAACAATGCTGTCACTGTATAAATCGGCCAAATTAAATTAAATTAAGATGAATTACTGTAAAGTGATTCATCACTCTGGAAATCAGCGTTCTGTGCTCCTCTAGTTGATGTATTAAATTGTAAAATACATAAAACTAAACTAAAAGCTAAACATATGAAGAGTAAGCAAGCATTCCTTGTTTCCTATATCATTTGATGATGAAAAAAAAAATCATATTTTTGATTAAAATGTTTGGATGACGTGCAATGTACTGTAGGAGTGGTTATGAAAGGGTTTTATAAAATTCAAAATAGAAATAATAATATGCATTGTGAATGTAAGTAAATGTACTGGAATGAGTCTCATCTTATTAGTGAGAGTGTACCATGCGTGTGCGTGTGCGTGTGTGTGTGTGTGTGTGTGTGTGTCTCCTCCGCCTCTCCAGGGAGCAATCGGAGTAAAATCACATTCACTCTGATTTCTGACTCACTATTCCACTCGTGCACACGGCTAAATAAAGGTCTGCTACCTTTATTACACTAAAAGAGGGGGCGCAGACAAGGACCGGCTCGTTATGTTCCTGAGTGCTAAATTCATTCAAGCCAAATATTCATTCAACAATATATATTTATATATAGTAAGCAAATGAATTGCACTGAGCAAAATATTTAAATTGTAAACACTTAATGCTATTGCCACATCTGTAAACTTGTAAAACATCAGGAAACTTACCTATTTATCAGGGCTGGAGGGAGGGAGAGGCGTAGAGCATCCAGCGCGGAGAAAGTTCAATGACATTTATCAAACGGCACAAATGAGATGCATCTATGGTTGAATAACAGATTCATTTCAATGCACTTGTCAGGTCAACTCCCTGCAACAAAACCCACACACACTGAGACAAACACACCATCATCAGAAACGCTATGACGCCACCCCACCTGTTTCCAAACAGCCAATCGCCCTCCGTTTTTATTTGCTACAGAGAATAAGAAGTTACTGATAAACCAGATGGAATCACTGCATGTTGACAGATGCACAAGCAGCTGGACTCCCACTATTTGCCCTGCGGCCTTCTCCATGACGAAAACCAAGAGAAAACGGTTACTCCAAACCAAATTAAATAATTGTACTCTTGGAATGAAGAAATAGATTCAAGAGAAACTATTTGAAGACGGTGGTATGTTTGATTGCTATAAATAACAAAAGATGAATCACTTGCTGCTGAAAAAAGACCATTTCAATTAGTCTTCTATGGCTCTGTATGTGAAGAGTTAACATATGTACTTCTGGGCTTTGGTAGTTTGCATATACAAGTGGAACAAACCATGCTGTGAATACACCACGTCTCATTAGCTGCCATTACATTGACTACAATGATTTCAACCGAGAGCAACGACATTACTTACTTCCAAGTAAAGAATCTTCAAACTATGGTTTGGTTCAAATGTAAAGAGCTAAACATTTACTGGGAAAGCAACATAATTTATGTAAAAGCCCCAGAGAAAGTACAATAGATGACTGATGTCTTTGTTTGCAGGAGATAATCGTGCAACAGTAATTACTAAAACATTTCTAATAAAATAAATGGAAAATAGCTGTGTGACATATGAGTTAAAGATGGGGTATATGTTTATAGCACATCCTGTTTAGAAAATATCAAGTAACAAGACAATTTTTAGCTGGATCCTAATGATTACAATCAAAAACATGACCGAATACATAGGAGCCAGTGGTATAGCAGCGGCATTCATGTAGGATAGTGCATATTATTATTTCATGAACCACGAAGTAGAAATGCTAAAAGAAAAACATTAACAATTCAGTAGGCAGTTACAAAGAGAAGGGGTAAAAAAAACATATGTGATGTCAATTTAAAGACAAATAGTAGCTTCATTGATGGGCCTATATTTAGAAACATATTCCATAAGGTAATAGTCGGTTGATCTGCAGCTAAATATCATCCAATCATAATACGCAAAACGATCTGTCTAAACGTATTAAGCAATTGTGCTTTCGCTTTCCATAGCCACCGCCTGTAATTAATAAATACTAATAATAAATAAATATTCAACCCTCAAATATTCAAAAATGCAAACGCTAGTAGTTGTTTTGCGTCTTTTTTACACGTCGACCCCAACGCCTCCTACCGCCAGTGTGCGCAGCTCCAGCCGCGCACCGACACGCGCTCCAGCGCCCGGGCAGGAAACCCCGTTGCCACGGTGACGACGCAAGGAGGACTTGCGACGTGGCAGAGAGAACGTAGAAGAGAAGAGCTCCCGTTGGGCCCCATTTGAACTCACGCGAAAAGTCCCGGCGTACATGACATATATTGCGTTTAAAACGTCTGAGACTTGTCTGCACTACATGTGACGAGGATAATTGCCTGAATGTATGTTTTAAAACTAATTAAAAAGAGCTAAATGCACTGGCGGAAACAGAGCTTCCCCGTCAAAGAGTCACCCTTTCACAATCCGAGTGGTGCATCTTTCTATGAATAGACCATCTATCCAAATGGGACGTCCACGTGCTGCTGTATTGACCAATCAGGGAAATGCGGGTAACCGTTGGGTTTTGAATTGCCCTCTGAAAACAGCGGCAGATGACAGCAGCGTCTAGCGCTCGCAAACATTGCTAAGTTAGTGAGCTAGCTGCTTCACGTCACCCGAACAGCTCCCTGGAATTCAGCGCTGCCTGCTACGGACGGAAGATGTCGAAAAAACAGATTTACTATTCTGACAAGTACACCGACGAGGAGTTCGAATACAGGTATCATTAGCTAACGCTTTTTGGCACGAGTCAAAGTTGTTTTCAAAAGTCCGTTATTTTTGTGTTCAGCCACGTTGACGTCAGTTAACGTTAGCTAGCTTAAAGTCAAACTAAATACAGTAACATTAGGTTAGCTAACTTTACACTGCTGGACGTAACGTTAGTGTCAACGTACATTGACACATTTTACTTTAGAATGGATAACTAACGAAACGTTAAGTAAAACACAGTAACGTTACACAGTATGTATTTAGATCATTTTAGTTTAGCGTCGATGTGACGTTTGGATAAGGTTTCATCTTCATAAATATTTAGCTTACACTAACGTTAGCTATGCTGACTGTTATGTTAACGTCAATGATGACGTCATTGTTAACACTGGTTTGGTTTGAACGTTTTGGAGATGACGCTGCTGCAAATGTGATTCCTCGGCCTTTAGTAATAATAACGTGCCGGTCAACATGCTTCATCATTCATTTTACGTCACACGAATATATATTGTTAAGTTACTAAGTTCTAAGATACGTTTCTGATTACTAGTGCATCATTCTTGTCGGATTTGTCTTTTGTCATCCAATAGACATGTGGTGCTTCCAAAGCAGCTGTCTAAATTGGTGCCTTCCTCCCACCTGATGGCAGAAGACGAGTGGAGGGGACTCGGCGTGCAACAGAGTCAGGGCTGGATTCACTACATGATACACAAACCAGGTCAGTAACGATGCATTACTGGGGTTCACGTTTCATAATAGTTTTAGCTCAAAATGCACAAGCGCACACGCATGCTGGAAAAGTTATTGCAAGAAATCCTTCCTCACCAGGAGTCTACAGAACGTAGCTCAGTGCCAGTAATACTCATCTAAATTAGTTTATTAAAGTGAGTATTTCTAATATTACAATATTTTGGGAACAAAAGTCCCTTTTAGTTTTTCTATCTATCGACGAAAAAGAATTGCAGAAAGGGATGTTCGTCTTTGCCACAGTCTCTTTATGTTGTGGTCTGATGCAAAGGGATCTTTTCATCACCAATATAGAGAAATGCAATGATTTCAGGGACTGGGGACTCTTGTTCTATAATAAATGCATCAGCTAGTCAATGAAAAATAACTGATCGAGTCTTTTAAAAAAAGCCTGTGGTATGTGCCTTTAGACTTCTATGCACATGGATCCTAGCTCTGTGTATGAAGGTACACCATGCAGTGTGACCGTTGTACTGTACAAGTGATGCTGACAGATACCTCTTTGCTTTCCTCTCCAGAGCCTCACATACTGCTTTTCAGAAGACCTCTCCCAAAGGATTGAATGGAAACCTGTAGAATACCTGCTATCATCTCTGCTGATTTGTATTGTCTATGAACCATACATCTCTCCTACATACGTTCCAACGTATTGTCTAGAATATCTTTAGTTGTCTTCTGTCCTTAAAACTCCCTCAATTTTTAGAGGTAATGAAAGGCAAACCGCTTGATTGCACTGTGAATGATAACCGTATAAACGATATGATGGTAAAGGTTTGCCTGTCAATTGTATATCTTAATGCATTTTTTAATGTCTTTTTGATGCCAATTTTATAATTGATTTATTTACTGAGTACCGTGTAGTTTTCTTTTTTTTTCCTTTTCCTCAAGTCGATTATTTTCCCAAAAGAGCTTTCTATGTTTTTGCTGTTCTTTAAACTTGTGTTATGTACATATTATTATTTCGAGATGTTATAAATGTTGACTGAGTCATGGTTGATTCAACACTTTCTTTGTTGCTGAAAGAACAAATTAAATGTACTTCTTCACATTAGCTACGTTTGCTCGTGAATATTCTTTTCCACCAGATAGCAGACTCCTGTTTTCTGTCTGATGACGGTCAGTCGGAAACATTGACAACTAGCGGAGTAACAAATTCCGAGTGTCTGACGCCCAGGGAGTAGGCTGGCGCCCGAGCCTTGTTAACAGTCACTTTCTCCGGATTATAGGTTCCAGGACCGGGTTTTTCGGTGGCATCTCTGGGCAAGCCGTGTCGTCCCAGCATGGAGAAGGCCGGCTTTCTCGGTAGATAAACACTCGGGTCCGTGCTGTTGTACCTGCAGGGCCCCGGCGTCTGGGCTAAATCCACAGCGGGTCCCCCTGCGCTGTAACTACCTGACATTGTGTAACTTGCGCTGGCTTGCTTGTTGGGCACTTGGGGGCCCATCAGCGGAGGCAGAGAGTACTTGTTGGGAGCCGGTACTGAGTCGACACTCCGGTATTGTGAACGCGACCCCATGGTGTAAGACGGCGGGCGCCGCTGGAGGTTGAATGTGGGTGTTTTCTCAGGGCTGTATGCACCCGGTCCGGGGGTCTGGAATAGCTCCTCTGGTGAACAAAAAATGAGTAATACGAACCCCTCGACTCAACAGCAAATGGTCGAGTGGGTAGTTAGTGGTTCACGTATTCAGTTGTAACAGCTGACACTGGATGTCAAAGACAGCCTTCATCCTTTCACATTAACGGAGCAGTTAGGTTGGTCTCGCCTTTAAGGTGCAGCACTACAAGATCTTTTAAAACCAAATGTGCACTACAAAAAATTATTTGGTGATTTATAAAGAGTAACTTACTCTGTTTTTTCACTCGGCCCAACATTGAGTATGCAGGGGTGCCATCTCTTCCAAAACGAGTCATTTTTGCATCGATGTGATACTGTGGACCTGGACTGGAGTCCACACGATACACTGCAGGGATGTTTCACAATGATCGACATGTGATATCTGCTCTGTCAGTTTGGTTTCATCATGCAATGGTACCAGCTAGATGGACGCAGGATGAGAAACTACACATTTAAGTCACGTGTCTCCCTCTAGTGGCTTTAATTTAACATTACATCCCAGAGGATACTGAATATAATTTGACCGATGTAGAAGAGGAAAATGACATTGACTCGACCATATTTCTTTCTGTATAGTCTTCAAAATAGCCTCAACGTGTTTATCACATAAATAATACACGTTTTCTCATCAGTAGCGTAGCTACATGATCTAAAACTTGTAGAAAGAAGCAAAGAACTTACTCGTGTCACTCATCCGGCCGTGGAAAGAGTAAGCGGGGCTGGTCTGCATGGTGAAGTCATGGCCCATGAACCCGATGGTGGGAGGAAGCCCGTAGCGCCCGGGCCCCGGCCCTGATGCCGGAGGGAATCAACACAGAGATGTACTGTGCTGTTTGTAATCAGGACAGCAAACGTTTTCATCAGTGAACTCACCTTTTTCTCTTCCTGCTATTAATGGGTATTTTTTCTCCATTTGGCTCTATGTAGAGGTGACGGAACCTGCAGGAGTCCCTTAGTGGTAGCGATACTATACCAACACATTCATACAGCATGTAATCTGGCTGAAAGAAATGTTGACAAATGTAAAATCAGAAAAGCAAAACCTTGAGTGTAAAGCTCACCAGATAAGTGACCTGCTCAGTCGGCACTGAGGCGAGCCGCATCCTCGGACATTCAGTCCTCAGAGGGGCCCTCACTCCACCTCTTGCTTCAGATATCACTATGCGCCAACGAAAAACACAGCAAGACCCAGAACCTCGGATGAGCCCCAATCAATCCCTAATTTCCTCTGAAACCGTCAGGGAAAGAGATATCAAAGTGTCAGCAGCAGAGGAGCCTGTGCATCGGGCTTTTATCCATCTGTCTTTTGTCCACCTGTGGTGTCTCCGGCTCGTGAATAGCTCCTCCTCCACGGAGGTGGATGTATAGGTGCACTCAGCTGGTACTTGGGGAACAATGTCATCACCCCGATTCGCTCTCGTGTAATGCTAGCTCCCCCCTGCCGAGCATGAAACCCAGAGCCCGTCTCCCTCTTTCAGCTCATCGCAGTGTGGAGGCGCAATATCGCCCTTCAGCCATGCATGCGGTTGCCACGGAGACGCTGTTGCTGTTTTGCAAAGGCCCGGTCCCCTGCACTGCTGGCTCGTTGTCACTTCAGTGACCTTTTTCTTTTTTCTTTTAGCCTGGAGGGGTAGAGCCCACGGCGCCTGCTCAGAGGGCGAGGGTTGGTACAATATACCTTTAAGCTCTATAAACACATCCCTTTACTTGTATTAAACTGCGAACGCAGAGAAAAGTCATAGTTTTCTCCCGCTGCAAAAGTGCATGAGGGAGTTTTGTTTCGTCAAACACACACACACACACACACACACACACACACACACACACACACACACACACACACACACACACACACACACACACACGTTCTTAAAGCACCAACGCGGCTGGGTCGGATGCAAGGGCAGCACATCCGGACCTGCTGGCTGCATCGCCCAGGCAACCCGCTGGTTTCTCATCTTCATCTCAAGGGGCAAACCGATTACCCCCGGACGCAGTAACAAATTAGCCCCCTTTTGATCTCCCCGCTGGTCCCATTGGAGATTAGTAGTTGGGATTTGACGGGACTGGTTTCACAGGCCGGCGCTGCCCGTTGCCAGAGACCACAGAAACTGAGAGGGTCGACAAGTGACATGCGTAGAAAACTAACATTAAACTTTAACAGGGGCCCAACTCTCTCCGCGCCGCTGCTTCGGTTACACAAATCTGTTGTTAGCGCCTCCACAAACACACACAGTATGGTGCACATCCAGTCCCACACAACCATACAAGCACACAGAAGCTTGTCAGGGGTCACGGAGTCCGTTATCAAAGCACAGGAGCAGCAGGGCTGTGTGATGCTGCTGGCTGCTGACAGGAAATTATCTTCAGACTTAACTGAGCTTTCATGAACTTCCCCTCCATGCTGCTGGATCTTAGGCGGTGGCATTGTTTGAAAAGGGTCGACACAAAGTGTAAGTGCACAACCACAGCCTCAGAAAAAACAACCAAAACATTGGATTTTATAGAAGTTTTAATCTGGTTTGTTTTAAAAAGCACAGGTTTTGATATGAATCGGGGCTACACTGAATCAAATTTGGTACATTTACAGAAATGTACAACTTCATTCTTTTTTAAGTTGATTGCTTCACAAATCAAATTAGAACGAAAACAAAATAGCTTATGAACTGTACAATCAAATCTCAAGGCAGGTAAGGTGAAAGGCGACTTGAGAGTAGATGATTTCGGGGTCTCGGTGCCACAGTTTGAGTCGGCGCGTCCTCGTGGTTACACCTCAGTCGCCGTCTCTTTCTTGGTTTCCTGTCCACCTCTCCTGTGCAGAGTTGCTTGATTTGATGAAAAATAGTTGAGCTTATGTTTCTGTAAAGCATATGGTTAGCATGTGTTTTTTTTTTTTTTTTTTTCCAGCAGGATAACGGCACAGGAATTTCATCCAACATTTCAATAATTGGGTTAAAGCTTGCTATGAGAGAGAGAAAAAAAAATGCCTTTGACAGCACATAGATTGTACGTAGATTGTATGGGCAGGCAATGACAAAAAAATAAAAATAAAAATGATATGACCTCTAGCTACAAATAAATACCACAGATAGAAAATATAACAAAATATTTTGCTTAAAGTCAGGTGTAATTACAAACATAAATACTTGATTATTTCTTCTAGTGATTATAAAGGCAGGACAGTGAATAACAAAGACGCTATGGTGCCTATTGGTGACCAGGAGTCTGCAGGAAGAACAACAACAGTCTGGAGGACACTACCTTGGTAGCAGTCGTACACACTCGCATCCAGTTACACACACACAAACGCAGAAATGCACCCACACAGTCCACATTCAAAACCTCTAACGGCCAAAAGCACGCACTCGCTCACTCTCCAGACTCCCAACTTGTCGACCTCCGGGTCTCTCTTCTCTTTCCGTTCACTAGCATATTCACAAGTAATGTACAATTTGGAGGTGGGTGTGGCTTCACTCTGTGGGAGGAAGCAAATGAAACAAACGGTCAATTTTAGGACCACCTGAGACAACTTCTTTCCCTGAACAACGTCGACATGTAGTAGAACTCATGGAGGGGTCGCGCTACTCAATACTGGCTTATGGAACATGGCCAGTATCGATGAGTTGTCGGTTCTGGTCTTCTGAAAAGGATTTGCTGAGCAAAAGAAGCTGAACTGAAATAGATCAACACCAGCATTTCCTTCCAGCTCGAGGCAAAACACACATACAAACACGGCCAAAAGTCTGATGTGCGCGTCGCATAGTTGCAGGCGCTCCTACCATCGCTCTGGGGTGTTTTTGGCGTCCGGAGTGGGGAGCTGGGTGTCTGCTCGCAGAAGCACCTTCTGCTGGACGACGTCCCCGCCTTCAGGGACGTGGAAAATGTCCCTTCCCTCCGCATCAGCGAGGAAAGGCTCTGCATCGGGGTCGTATTCGTAGGAGTAGTAGGACACCTCTGCCATGGACCCCTGCTCCTCTTCACCTGGACAGATCCGGGGTATGGGGGGGGGAAGGGGAGGGGGGGGGGGGGGGTGGGGGGAGTAGATGCAGACACGTTAAACCAGATGAGAGTTGGTCGAGAGGCCTTGACAAGTACTTGATTTAGTTGCTGAAGAGTAAAGAGCTCGGCGTTATTGAAACTTGAAAAAGTCCCCCTTTTGAGTTTATGGCTGCTATAAAGTTCAATGGAGCGATGCTTTTATATATATATATATATATATACGGCTCTCGGTTTTGTCTGTTCCGCGTACCAGAACGTCCCTGCCAAGTCTTTTATACTATTCTACTGATCTGCAGGTGGTTGCAACGTGCAGAGAAACATCTGACGGCTTAAAATAAAACTCCACAGAGCAGTTTTATCACCCGGTCCTTTTCAGGCTCATGCAGCAGTAGCCCATCGCAGACAGTAGGGGGCGCTGGCACACACGAGATCGAACCACACACACACACACACACATTTGATTCTGGGGGAATTTAAAAAGTGACAAACGCGCATTAACATGGAGGCAGGTTTGGTCTCAGACGCAGCCTGCCGGCTTGTGTTTGCGTTATCGCGTATATCGTCCTCACTCAGAAGACAAGTCTGTACAAGGAAGCCAATTCCAGAGCTTCGGCTTCCTCCACCCATCCAGTGGAAACTGTCAGCTCCTTGGCACCGGCCCTCCTCCACCCATTACGCTCTGGGTGCACTTAGCGGGCATGTTGTCAACGTCCTAATGGTTTACAATGACAGTGTTTCGAAGTACTTATTCAATCTAATCATCCCCGGGTTATCATGAGCAAGGCGGCTACGTGCATGCGTGTGTGTGTGTGTGGGCGTGTTTGCGAGTGTGGGCATGCAAATGCATGGTTGTGTGTGCATACATAGATATATACACTTGTGTGTGTGTGTGTGGGGGGGGCGGGGAGTGCATAACAGCATTCCTGAGGTGAGTGTGAAGCGCCTTAGCTTTTGTACTACGGAGACCTTTGACTGAGAGCAGCTTTGTGAGCTGCAGCTACCGGGAGCTGCAGGCTGGGAAACAAGTCAGTGCAGGCTGCCGCCACATCACACACACACACACACACACACACACACACACACCTTTACACCACTCAAACATTCACGTAGCAACACATATTCCCCCCAATGCAAACCATGCACACACACACATACACGCGTTCAATGTGCACCACCCTGCGACCTATGAATGACTCGCAGTGCCTTTTTAAAGAAAAAAAAATGTTTTTGTTGCCAAATACAACACGGCCACATCCTCCCTGCCGCACGCAGCCAAACATCCTACCGGGAATTCTCTGGCTGCCTCTCTGGAAGCGGCAGCTTGATCTGAGCTCACGGCGGGACAACGGCGTGAAACCCACCCGGCTACTCGACGGGCCCGATCGTAGACGTGATGCGCCGTCGGCGGAATGCACAACCTCCTCACCAACCCCCCCCGCCCCCACCCTTTCATCTCGTCTGCCATCTTTAACTTTCTTTACCCCGACCCCTGAACCTTTTCATCTCTTGATCTCTTGTCTTCTTCTCGTGAACTCCCTTTCTCCACAGAGCCAAACTATTTACTAAAAACACGTTTGCAAGCGGGAGGCGGCCTGGAAGGCAATGCGAAGCGGTGTGTGTGTGTGTGTGTGTGTGTGTGTAGGTGGCGGACGGGGTTACCTGTGTGTACAGGCGCTGAGGGCTGCTCAGTCTCCTGGTTCGCTATTAGTTGCCTGTCCTCCACCCTGGTCTCCACTGAAAATACAAACACATCCAAACACACACACGTTAGATTTTTCCCACTCACGTGGCCCAAAACTAGTAATGAATTCAACAGAGTTTCAGTGTTGCATAATCTAAATACTGCCCAGAAGCATTATCCACCCCACTGAGCAACGCTTCTTGGCAAAACAACGATGTACACTCGGCCTCGGCAGAAGCCTGCCTTAAAAAACGTCCCGAAATAGCAGGGGGCCAAAACTCCGGCCCGAGGGGGGTCCGTGTGTGAGACAAGTTGTATCTTTTTCCTTTCCAAACAGGAGGATGGCGGCAGGATTCTCCCCCCGCACACCCACACACAACAAACAGGGAAGGCCTCTAACCACAAATAAGATCATTGAATGATCCTACAGCCTGGCCCCCTGGGCACAAACGGGGGGCTTTTCCCCACCAACGTTTTTGGTTCTTTGGTGTTGTGCCTTTTCTCCCCCCCAATCTGCTCCCACAACATGAGGGCTCTTTTGTTGTTGGGCTGCGCGTCGGAAAGGAAATGTGACGAGATTTTCAAAGGGGCTGGCAAAGAGCACTCTGTCATTGGGAGAGAGCCCTGTATTCCACCAGAGAGCGAAAGAGGGTTTGTGTGTGTGTGGGGGGGGGGGGTGGGGGGGCACGGTGGGTAGCTCGCCTCAGAAAACTCATCCAGTAATCAGCTCAACACCTGAGCAGCTGTTTATACAGCTTAGATCACAGCGTGGACACACACACACACACACACACACACACACGCGCGCGCGCCGACTGCGTCCGATAGCTCAAACAGACGCACACTCGGTTCGTCCAAAGGGAGGAAGAGTTTCCGGGACAAACTGTCGGTGTCGGTGAGTTGCAGCCCATGTGACTGAGCGGTACGCAGTTGATTGGAGATGTTCGCGTGTTTCAAAAGAAAGTGAAATGCCGACATCAAAGCGACTATTTCCATCCAAGTCAAGTAGCATTAACATGATGATCTCGCTCAATTGCCTTTTTTTCTCTCACTTCAGTCATTCAGCATGACGTTTTGTTCACATTGGCCAATTCCTCGTTTTTGTTTTGTCTAAACCAAATCAGCAGACACCGCATATTATCATCGCGTATTCAAGAGCTGGTCAATCTTACATCTTAATCCCTCCAACCAAACTCTGATTGCTCGTCCGCTTTTAAACAGACCCGAGATGTGGGAGGAGACTTACGGGTGTCGGGACCACGTTTTGCAGAAACATTGAGGAAATATTTAGAGTCTCTGCGGCGTTAAGGGTGAAGTGCAGGTGGTGTCGGGGTGATGGGCGGCCAGAGGGTTCTTACTGTGAGGACACTGGGTCAGCGGAACCTGCTTGATGCGCGTCCCGTTCCGACAGGCGAACACCTCCATCTGACACTGGTTCTGGTAGAGCTGTCCGTCGGACCCGCACACCGGTTCCCCGTCGTAACCGCAGTCCCTGTGGCAAGTGCACCGTTCAAACTGCTCCTCCTCCAGGCAGCCAAACACACTGTTGCACTGGGTCGCCTGCACGAAACCTGCGTTGGGGGGCGGAGAATTAGTTTTTAAATAGAGAGTGGGTGGGGTTGTCTCCGCGAATCACAAAAAAAAAAAAAAAAGCGTAGCGGGAGTCTCACCTGTCCACTGATTGGTTGAACTTTCCACCTCATTGCAGGTGGGTCCGTCGCACAGCTCCCGCGCCAGCGGGCTGCTCTCGCTAACGTTGTAGAAGCGGGTCGCCTCAAAGGCTGCAGGAAAAGGCACAGACCCAAACCGCACCAAACGTTGATGACGCTCAACATGTCAAGGTCACGAACGTAAAAGCGAAAGCAGCGCGTTTCCACTAGAAAGAAGCGCTTCTCTGCAAGTTAATCAGGTGGCTGAGGCCCGTTCCATACAACAGTGACCTCCCAGGCCTGAACATTGTTCAAATAAAGGAAAAAAAATAGCAATAATAAAAAGAAATTAAAAAAAAATCTATGCATCCAATTTTCATCAGATTCCCACCTGGTTCGTAGTAGTCATAGACCTTGACTGGAACAGGTGCTGTCTTGCCCACGATGAACTCCCTAACTGCTTGAAAGGCCACACATGTCATACACTGGCTGGGGATCTGCGACACACAAACACAAAAAGGTGAATACTATTACAAACAAAAGATAATGTGCAAAGGAGCCCCCCCCCCCGCCTCACCCGGCATCTGCACACATATCCTTAGAAATGAGGCGTAGGAGGCGCAACATGGAGGAATTTGGATGAAACTCACCTCGTCAAAGTAGAACAACACTTTTCTTCCGCTCAGCTCATATCTCTTCAGACCCACTCGCTTGTCCATCAGCAGCTGTTGAGTGAGACACAAAAACAATCAGGCGTCTGACGTGTTTTAATGCAGGAATCTGTTCGGACGTTTCATATGTTCATGTGTTAAGTTTCCTCCTTAACCAAGCACCTAAAGCTTAACATGTTCCATGGGGAAATGGCCTTTAAAGTTATCGCTTTCACAGAAAGGAGCTGTTGATGCATACAAATTGAAAACGTTATATCTGTGGATCACGTTATTATTATTATTAACGCTATGGCTGAAAAGACTTTCGGCTGAAGCTGACCGACGGCACAAAGGGACCATTCATGGACAGAGAGCACACGGCTCACAGTTAAGCCGGCTGGATCTTTGATTCAAACAACAATGGACGGGTAGTAATCACGGACGTGGACGACAGTAATCAGCACCACAGCGGACTGGACAGCTCCGTCCCATGCTCACCAGGCTTTTGTTATTGGAGTAAATACATCACAAAGATCCCGGATTGACTGAAAGGAGTGATGCCACTCTCATTTGAATCTGCTCTGCGGGCCACAACTGGAATCGACGCCATATGTACTCGCCCACGACATGACAATGTACAGGTTGCTAATCATGGAAATGGCTGTAGGCTTTCATGGATCTCAATCAATAAGGGACCATAGCTTTCCTCTGGAACCGGATCAGGGTTTTATCATCTGGACACCTTCTGGTGTATTTTGTGAACCTAGTGGATGAATAGTTGACGTGCAGGGCGCATATCTAATAAATATGCGTGGATGAAAAAGTAATAGTGAAGCTGTTTACTGCAAATTTGAGTGTGTGCATAGAGACCCGGCAGAGCCCCCCCCCCACCCCGAAGCGATTTCTCATTCTGTCAAAGGTGGCAGCCTTTGGACAGCAGGAGTTTATGAGGTGCTCAGCCTGAGCTGGCGCCAGCCACAGACACACACACACACACACACACACTACTCAACTGGCCTCTCTGTTTACCAAAGTATTGTTTGTCTGTCTAGCAACTGATGCCAATGAATTCCCAAACGTTATACCCACAGTGTGTTCTCTATCGCTAAACAAAGCTCATCACGCCGGGTGATAGGCGCCGATGGCCAATCGACATCCTTCATGACTGCAGCCTCCATGGAGGCAACTAGACATGACTGTAAGAAGCCGAGCTTGCCACCATAAATTGAGGAATGTAAGTGGCAGTCGGGCAGGCGGCAGTAAAGCTCCAAGGGAGGCAAGCAGGGGTGTAAACTGAGCTTGTTAGCGACTACAACTTGGACTCACAGGAGCGTACATGTGTACGTAGGTGTGCGGTGTTTAACATCTCCCCAGGTAGCCAGAGAAGTGGCTATTTTAGAGGTGGAATCCTGCAGAATGAGGCCCCATAAATGTCTTGTAATGAAGGACGGGCCTCTGAGGAGCTGACCTGGATTCAGCCCCTGAATTAATATTCTCTTTCCTCAAATCAGCTGTCCATCACACGTCTGTCCCTCCTCTATTCCGGTTGATTACAATATATCTGCTCTCTTCCCACGGACGTTTGCATCCTACACAAAGTCTGCACCTCACAGGGCCCAAAGAGAGGCCCGATGACCTTTGACCCTGAGACATCGTGTTCGGGCTCTATGGGGTCTGAGTCCCCTAACATACCCAAAGAGAACCCCATAAAAAGGACCCCGGCCTTAACGATGCCTATGACGCATACAAACACATGGAGACACAAAACGCCAAGAGGGACCCGTCTCATTTTAAGGGAAAGTATCTGACCATGTGCGATGTATTAGAGGATGCATCCTGTGTGAATATACACGTGAGCCGGAGGTTCGCAAAGGAGTCTACAAAGAGAGCCGAGGGAGCCTGATGAATTCCATGACTTTTTCATGCTTTCTCTTTTAAATGGCCTCCAGATGTTCATGCATCTGTCTCCCTTTCTCCACCTGCCTTTTGGTTCGGGGCACTTGACTACTTCCAATGCTTTCCATCGGTCTGCAAGCCACTTAAATCTTCTATTCATTTATGTGATTACATACCCTCTCTAGACTTTCAACATCTGCCCGGAAACCGGAAATCATGGGAACATCTATGACGGCCATGTTGGACGATCCCGAGTGCAGCCACCTGCACCGAGGGTTTGGACCCAGGAGGAAAACGATTAGAAGCAGATCTTTGCGACGCCAGTTACTCATTGTTTTTTACGCCGTTCTTTGAGGGCCCACCTGGCACAAACTTCTAAGGAGATGTGGAAGTCCATCTTGTCCTGGTGGGCGGCCGGGTCGTCGTCGTCGATGGGCGCCCGCCTCTTCCGGTTAAGCTCGGAGCGGTTGTCAGCGCGGCTACGGGAGCGCGCGGTAGGATGACGGGAAGACGAGGAGGAGGAGGAGGAGGAGGAGGGGGGCTGCAGGTGTCTCTCCTGAAAAGGCTCCTTCAGGTCAACCTTGAGCTGGAAGGCTGGCTTGGACACTGGGTCGGGCAGGTTGTAAGACACATCGATCTGGGGACACACAGAGAGCAGCGGGAGGTAATATTTCCCTTTGCGATTAGGACTTTACTTTCTCATGAGAGGATATGGCCGATACGATATCTGATCAGATCCGCTGATGGTTCGTTAACCTCGAAAAAATTCCATGCAGATCAAATATTCAACATGGCCTCTGGCCTAGAAAAAGGTATCACTTAAAAGCATGAACCACAAATCGTATTAACTTGACACAAGGCACAAGGCTGCTTTCAGTAGACTACTATCGCAGCTCTTCTTCAATCCACTCGAGGTTAATTATTCCCAGAACTGTACGCTTTCTAAATAAATCATCCAGTGGGATTTGGACCTTTTGCAAAGCTACTAAATATTAATCCTGAGGCAAATGTACTCATGACATACAGTATGTCCACACACACACACACACCCGCAGGTCTCTTTGATTGCCCCACTCTTGTATTTCATTAGAGCCCAGGTGCTGCCGGCCTCAGGGGCCGTCAGAGGGCCGTGTTGACGCACGGAGCGGTGCGAGGGAATGGAGGGAAAGTAGAGAGGGAGAGGTGTGAAGAAAGAAATTGTGTGTGTGTGTGTGTGTGTGTCAGAAACCTACTGGGGAGAACGAGTTAGAGGACGTTTGGGGCCTCGCTCAGCAGAGCACAACATCCGCTCCTGTAGCGGTTTCTACCTCAGTCAAATAGAGTCATAGCTCACATGCAGGCTTCCAAAAAACGGGGCCGATCAACTGTACTTTTTCACTCGTGCCTTGTTTGGATTTAAAGCGCAAATATTTACACACAGGTGATAAGAAGGGAGAACAGAATATCATCCAACAAAGTTATGGGGTGTATGAAAGATGGGTTTTTTAAATTTGTTTATGAGAAGGTAAGAACTCCTCGGCATCCTGTCCAGGGGACCACGGTAATCCAAAGGAACGATCAACACATTCCAAAACCACTGGCCAAACTACTACCACATTACTCCAATTTAGGCATTCTGGGACCAACGTAACGGCAGACAGACTCTCGCTGCGAGCGGATGGAAGTAAGCCGAGGATTGCGGTTCCCTTTTGGGACGGCGCTCGGCGGTGCCTGTGATTATGCGAGCGTGTTTCGTGCCCTCCGATACCTGCATGAGACAGCAGCCCTCTCCTTTGGCGCTGACAAAGAGGCCTGTGGGGATACTGGGGATCTGAGGAAGAAAAAGAGGAGGAGAAACAAAGAGGGTCAGCGGGGGGCAGGGAGAGGTGAATGAGTCCTTTATCACGTGAATGAATGCTGTAGACGGCTGCACTGCCACTGGTGCTTCCCTGGCTACTAACCAGCCCGCCTTAATTGCCCCCAATTAAGCTGACACCACTAATCACGGTGGAGGAAGATGCCCGGCAGAGGCAACGTTACTGCACTCTCACCTGAGCCGCTCGGCCCGGAGCGAGTTGAGCAGGCGTGCGCGTTCATGCACGGAGGTGCCCGCGCTGTTAGATTTGTGATGCCCGGGCCAATTAAAACACCGTTATAAAATCAACGGATTCTGCTCCTGGAAAACCCGGTGCGGTTTGGCACATGACCTGGCCACTAAACAGCCGGACATGGCTCTGGTACGTAGTTGCTCGTCAATCACTACACAATGAAGCGGGGAACGGTTTTCTACGCCGCATTTCAGCACCAGGGTTGTTTTTTTGTTTTTTAAAGGAAAGCCTCCGAAGGGCTGGCAATCTGCAGCAGAGCAAAGCGACCGTCGTGGGAAGGAGCTTGCCTTGGCACTCTGAAGGAGTTTCTGGTTGTCCCTGTTGAGTTCAAAGGCCTCCTGGAAGTCAAGATTGGTGGAGGCCAGAGAGATCGTGAGGTTGACCCCGCCGACGTAGGACAGGATGGCGTACTCTGACAGAGCCTGCAGAGCCACACATGTGTCCTGCACAGGGGTTGAGGGGGAAAAATGGTTTTCAATCAATCTTTCAGGATCACCTTTACCAAAGACTTGAGTGACGCCGCTATAAGTGACTGAACCAAAAGGCGAAAGAAGCCGGACGGAAAGGTCTACCTGTGTGGAGGAGAAGCCCCCCAGGGCATTCCTCTGCTGGGAGAGCCATTTGACGACAGGCAGGGCAGAAGCCACATCCCCCAGGAGGGTGTAGGTCAGAAGGCCGTATGCTGTCATCTCCACCTCTGCTGACACCACTGGCAACCAACGAGAATTGGACGCTTATTTGGATTCTGCATGTTATTCGGGGGGGGCATGCGGGCAGTAATGAGGATACCTGACTGAGAGAGGCCATCGCTGAAGCCCATGAAGGTGTCCTCGCGTGTCATAGTGCTGCCAGTCAGACTCCAGTGAGTGAGTCCGTCTGCAGGGACAAACAGAGTGAGGACAGATCTGCTAAAACTCATAGAAAGTTTCAGTCAAGAGCAAAAGAAGTGAGATGGCCAAAGGGATCCAACGTCAAGGTAAGAAACGCAGCAGCAGCTTCCTTCACTTCCTTCTGGCCTACACCTTCCGTAAGTAGCCCGAGGGGCAAGGAGGCGTCAACTGTAAACCTCTAATGGTACCTGTGGCAAAATGAACGTATGCAGAGATGTACTATGTAACATTCACATATTTCCTCATGGTGGGGCAGCACCTTGCGTGATGGCCATGTGGTTGAGGCGGCGCAGGGCCAGCGGGGCGTAGGGGCTGCGGAGCAGAGCCATGGCGTACGCCGACAGGGCCGTGGTGTACGGGTCATCCGCAGAGTACGTGTTGCTCTCCAGGAAGTCCCTGGCTTTGGCCACCGCCACCTTCTCTTCCTGGACCAGGCAGGACAAAGAACACGCAGGAACAGTAGTCGGTTTTTTTTTTTTAAAGTGTGTTATTTTGCAAGCAGGCGTACAGATGTTTGAGCGTGGTGTTGATGGGAACTGTCCCGCAAACACACGTCAAATAAAGGAGCTGTCCAAACTCACCACCGCCTCCTCTACTCAGACGCAGTTATTGAATAATCATTCATTTCGGCCATTAAACAGTTGAGTTGACTTTCATCTGGTGCAGATGGGACCTTCTATCCCCCGGAGATGTGAGGCCTCCAGAGCCACTCACTTTAATCACAGCAGTCATCTTTTAATTACGTGAAATTGGAGAGGGGTTGAAGGTTTCGCTTTGATGTGAAGGATACCTTTTTCAGTTTTTATCGGTTGTAAGAAGACAGAATCTCAGACTATATCCCTTTGGGATGGATAGAAGAGGAGGGCAGACGGATGGAGGGAGGGGAGCCAGCAGGAGGAAATGCGTAATAAAGAATAAACTATGTGGACAAATGGAGAGCAAAGAAGAAAGCCATCGGAAAGCAGAGACACTTTCGTTTAGTCACAAGAGTCAATACAAGAGGATTTCAGCAGAATGATGTTGTTCCTCCTCTATTTTACTGATTAGTGCCATTGGTGAGAGAGGAAAGAAAAAGCGAGCCAAAAACAGAGAGAGAAGTAGGAAAAGGAGATACGGAGGAAGGTTTATTGTCTTAATTGTCTCGACCCGTCTTTTGACGTGGTCCAAAACCTGTTATTAAACTATGAACCAGCACATCTATCTTCACAGATATCAGAGAAATGTACAAACATTCAATAGCTGTTAGGAAGACTGGTTAAGCGACGTCTAACCAGCTGACATCATGTTTTTACACCACTGCATCTGCTGGCAGCGACCAGAGGGCTTGTTAAAGCAACACTGGGAAGTCCTCATTGCCTTGACGTGGTTTTTTTAAGTTCCTACCTCTGTGGCTACGCCAGTCTCCAAGAGAGCTGCTACCACGTACGCCGTGAGGGAGATCTTCCCATGGATCCCTCCCTGTGGACAAACGCACACATCGGTCGGGAAACGTTCAAGCCGACGCGTTCGCTTTCTTTAAATGGTGGAAGTCGAAGCCACGCGAGCCCACCTGCAGGTCTTTGTTGAGGATGCGCCCCATGGCGGGGAAGGAGCCATCGGCCCGCTGGTGTTTGACGAGCCAGGACTTGGCGGCGCGAAGCTCTTCGGGGTCGATGAAGATGAAACCCCGAGACTGAGCGAAAGACTTCAGCACAAACGCCGTCAACCTGCAGGACGACGAGGCGGGTCGGCGGAGAGGCGAGGAGATAAGAGAGGAGATATATCTTTAGATCCTTTGAAACAAGTGCTGACAAACCCCCCCCAAAAAAACATTTGACTGCAATCACTTTTCTGACTTAGTGAGGAGTTTCCCTACCAGTTACACTCCTTCAATCTGTCAACAGGGGAGAGGGGGGGGGGGGCTGATAGACGGGGGGGTGTTTTTGTCAAAGACAGACGGGGAAATGAGTAATATGCACGGACGGAGATGAGGAAACTGCCTCCTGGAGTTTCCCCAAAAGCCTTTTCTCGCGACTCACACAAACACGGGTCCCAGGGACGGAGGTAGAGAATCTGGCTGGAGTGCAACGGGAAGTTTATGAGTGGTGGTTTTAGTTGGCCACGGTGGAGAAGGACCCGGGGGGGGGCAAGGCCAAGGTCGGGCCCGGGTGGGGGTGGGGGGGGGGCACGGCTGAGCTAATGAACACACACTCGTCCATAAACAACAGACCTCCCTGCATCGGCCCGAAAGATGGAAGTCTTGGGGCCAACGACCCGTTGACAGCGGGACGTTCCATTACAGCGACCGGCTTAAAGCTGCCTCCCGTGAAAACATGGAGACGCTGGGAGGAAATAAGCAAACCTAATATTCTAGTGGCGCCCGTAAGTGAGAGGGGAAGCCAAGATCGAGCACCAGCGGGGGGATGAGAAGGTAAAAAAAAAAAAAAAAAAACCTTAGCTCTCAGAAAGCAAAACACTAAATCTTCCCCCGCCTGGAACCAGGATGTTATTCCTCCCCGGAGGCTAAACTGGGGCTGTAGGCGCAATTTAAGTCATATTTTGTGCTTGGCTGTAAATGTATGATCCCAGGGGTGGGAGGGTTGGGAGGGGGGGGGTACTGGAGAGTGGAAATATGATTTTGTTTCTCGGAGGCACTAGACACGCTCACTCCATCACATTAAATCAAGGCAGGAGTAAGTGACTGTTAAGCCAGATTATATTTAGGTGGATTTTCTATTAATTATTACTTTTGCAGGCTTTCCAGGGATTACAGCCTGGCGACAAGCCTACGGGATTTAATATCTGGTTATACGTGGCTTTATTTTTCAAGCTACGGCTGGAAATGGGTATTGGGTTAACACAGCAGATTGTATCAGCACTTTCAATCTGTGGTATTCAGCCCCCTCAACGCCTGCTAAGGCTGTCGGATCAGTCTTTGGGCAGACACAAATGCCATGCCAGCCTCGACATGTACAGCCAACTAGTGAGAATGTCGGAGAAAATGAGGAAAAACAAACTGGCCCAGTCTGAGAAATGATTATAGAAGGAGGGAAACGTTTGTTTAGCTGTGATTTCAGCTTTCTCTGTTATCTAAAATGAAAGAACACGCAGACACCAAAGCTTCCTTTGTCAGGAAAGTATTTCTGAATAGGGTTTGTGAGATAATTTACTGAAGGAACATTATGAAAGCCAAAGCGGTGACTTTATACCTCGAGGTTAAGGTTGAAATTATGCTGGTGTTTAGTCAAATGGGCTTCAGCTGAGGTCGGCGGTTTGGGAACTAAAGCAGTCGATGAAAAGTCTTCACAAACTTGGCAATAAAAACCCGCGCATGTTGGAACCACGACGTCGGCCTGTATTTCTACATTTACTCGACAGCAGGTAGTTCTCGTCGGGCTAAAGACGTGTCCCCTCGTCCCCTCGTCTGAACTCACAGCCTTGGCACCGGAGATGGCCGGCGCTGCCCACTAAACCGACAACCGGCAGCCATTTCATTATGTTCAATCTTTTCATTGCATCCTGTCCATTTCCCCTCAGAAACATTTTTACAACCTGGAATGCGTAAACACCGCATTACGGGCTCTTTTTAGCACGCAGTAAACGCAACGCGCACTTCCCTTGAACTCTGGAAGCCAAACAACAGCCGGGCTTGTTTTTTGGGATGCAAACGGGTCGGTGACGGATTCGCGAAAGTGTGTCCGACAAAAAGGTCGAGCCGGGGTTCAAACATCACAGCGCTGCCCACCGCAACCCGCCAAAGGAAGAAAAAAAAAAAAAAAAAACGCCGCCTGTTGCGTCCTCACATCCTCTCGCAGTCACGGCGGGAGGAGTTAGAGGTTTCCACAGCAGCTCAACGCTACCGACCACGACCAGTTAGTGAGGCGCTGAGAGGCAACAGGAGGGAGACATTTGTTGATCCCCCGATAAACTGCAAACACATCTCGACAGCTTTGCCTACCTCACGGATCCAATTCCGCCTCTTGCTTATGATTCTTTGTCATTTAAGAAACCTGCCGTTAGCTCTATTAAACACGAAAACACCCGCGTCGACCAGAGGTATGCGCGTTGTGCGTGAGGCCTCCCCGTCGAGAGCATTGATTTCCGTCTGATAAACATCACGAGATGTCTCTGCCTGCCGGCCCGACACCAGGGAGTGTAAACGCTGAAATAAACACACTGAAAGAAAAACTAACCAGGGATTTAAACACATCAACAGGAATAGATTTATTTCAGCACTTTGATTCTGATTAAAAAAAAAACTTCATTGCTTTGGGCAGCGAACTAAGTCCCGGTTATATCTGAGGAATGTGGCTGCAGCCACGAGTTGTGTAAACCTTGACAGCCACAGCTACAACGCCTTACCACATACTGCCGGAGGAATCCCTTTCTCCAAAGGCACTGTAGGATCCGTCCTGACGTTTGTAGGTCAGCTGTCTCTGGTAGCCTGGGGAGGAATAAAGAGTGTGGGGGGGGGGGGGTGAGAGCACTTCCCCCAAAGAAGTTACAAAAATGATTTGCACGCGTTGTCTCTGTACATCACTGCGGATGCTTTGTTTACCGCTGCAGCTCCTCGCTAAGCCTTTCACAGGGTGCCCACATGCTACATGTGACTGCAAAGTAGTATTTTCATGACATGGAAAATTGTCTTTGGCCACTTGTTTGGTATTCAAAAACAACTACATTGTCACTCATTTGGAAATCATAGTAGATTGGCTGATGTTTGTTTTTAACACAGCCAACCACTGAATTCTTACTTTCAATCAATCACTGCCAACAGACATGTTGATTTGTGTGGGATGTCGAGGCTGTGTACATATTTTAAGAATTCCTGTATTTACTGCAGATCCATCTGCAGCGTAGCCCGTTCCTGATACAGAGCGCTGGAAAAGGGCCAAGAGGGTTAAGTGGAGAAATGAGTTGCTCGTGAGTTAAAACAACGAGCTTCATTTCCCAATTTTCCCTCCGTGATCAAAGTATTCAAAGTATTCTGTCGAAAGCTCCAACAGCAAAACCTATTATGCGAGGCGACGCTCACTCCGACTCTCCGTCTCTAGAAAACAACTGTGTTTAACTTGCCAACAACTAGATAAAATTCCTTCTGCTCAGCATGAAGTCACTTTGAACCAAAGTCGAGCCAGAAGGGATTTGTGAATTGTTGGGATTCAGGGTGCAACCCTAAGAGCTTGATTGATGCTTTTGTTTTCCTCAGCGCTGCTTGCAAATTAGCGGGAGGTCGGCGGGATTGTGGGAATGCGGCGAGTGGGGATGACGTTGGTTATCTCACCAGCCTTAAAGGTCATATCAAAGAGTTACTCACAAAGCTTGGAGAGGAGCTAATCTTTTTTAAGGGTGCGACAGCCCGTGATCGGGTTGCATTGGTCTACTTACCTTGCAGCAGGTAGTCGGTTGCTTCATTCTCGACGGCAGGGCTGAGCTGCCTGGTCTTCTGCAGATACTTGAGAACAAAGACGTTCGGGGCAAAGTGGATCATGTTCTGCTCCCCACATCCAAAGGGCAGACGCAACAGCTTGTCCAGGTTATTCAGAGTTGGCCCCATCACGTCCCCTGAATTGGGTGCACAAACACACACACACACACACACACATAAAACCCATGTATGCTTTACTGATCTGTGCTTTTAGGCTTTGGAGATGAAGCTAGGATGCAGTGTGATTGGTACTAGCAGATGGATGTTTCTATCAGACCCATAAAAAAGGTTTACCGATCATAAATGCGGTGGCTCTCTCGGATCCAGGCACCGTGTTGTGAGGGACCCCCAGCGTGAAGGCCTCGTTGTGATTCTCATCCGAGTCCTCCTTCCTCCAGATCTTAAACTCCCCAACTGATCCCCAGCCTGTGGAGAAGCCTATGTGACGCACCTGGATGGACGAAATATATATATTTTTAGTTCTTATCTGTAAATATAAAACACTGCAACTGGTATATAAATGCAATTAAAGAGTTGAAACCTGTCCAGAGAATTGGCCTGTCCACTGGAGGATCACGGATTCATTGGATGGATGTAAACCGTGGCCCACCTGCCGACAATAACGCAGATACTTCAGGAGCACAAATAGATGGTGGTCGATGAGAAAACATTATAAAACAGACGAACGTTTGGAAAGCGACTCCCTCCTCCTCCCTTTTTAGCACTAATAATGTCCTTTTTGACGCTCGTGTGATTCACTCACCTCCCGCACACAAACAAAAACATACAAACGGACCAACGTAGCGCACATTGCCTCTCTGGTACCAGAGTTTAAATGCATAATCAAAGTAAACCACACCACGCGAGGCCCGAGTCCCGCAGCTCAACCAAACCCTTTAGTGGCCTTACCCCCAAGTAGATAAATGAATCCTATCAGGCTGCGCTGTAGTGAGTGGTTTGAGGCCAGTGAGCACCAGGCCGTGGATCAGCGTCCCCTGTGACATCGGACCGTTAGCCGTGACCTCGCTAGGAAGCCTGCCAGTAAAAGTGGCGCCAGTCCTCCTAACACACAGACCCCACGGACCTTTTTCTCCCTCCTCGTCCGCTTTTGATCTGAACACAAATCTGTTGCACGATCTATCGCGCTAAACTATGTTTGTGTATTGACCCCCCCCCCCCCACCGGGCCTCCCGGAGCTTCAGTACTGGAGATGGAAGTTGAACAAAACCACAGCGGTCGACTTTTTCTAAAGTTGTATCAAGGTTCCTCTCCGGTTCCTCCGTTTCCTCTTTACCTTGACCACGCCTCCCCTCCAGCTGATCCAGAAGCTGCGGAACTCGTCCCAGGAGAGGACGCCTGGTGTGGCGGCGCTGACCAGCGGCTCGCCCATCTTGCCCGAGGAGATCCAAGAGCGTGTGTTTTGCCTCCCCCCGAGAACAATCTCCAGCATTTCTGCACTGTCGTGGGGGCTGGCGGAGAGGGCAAAGTGTGCATCGTTGTGGGTCTTCACCGCCACTTGGAACTGGTTCATCTTAGCCGGCTTCTTCACGTACTGGTACTCGTACTTGTTGGGGGTGGAAATGTGGATTCTCTCTGAGAATGGAAGTAGATTAGCCGTTTGAAGAAATATATTCAGGGAGATGATGCGGTAGGTCATTCAAAAAATATATATATATATCAGCGCTAACCATTGGGACAGAAGAAGACGCTGTAGGTGTATTCTCTGGGAAGGCCTTCTGGCTACGGGGAGAGGGATAGCAGGAAAACGACATATAAGAAATAAAACACTTTCCACAGATCATCTCAAAGCCATTTCAACTTAATATTGAAATGTATGAAACCAAGCCTCCTCTACCAAGTGACATTGATCAACATCGTCTCTCTCACCTCCACCTGGACAGTCCTGCGAACGTAATCCAGGCCAATTGGGGTTCTTCTGTCATCCACGTCGTTACTGGTTTTACCCGTCTGCAGGGCATCTGAACAGCAGCTCGGTTCGCTGTAGGCGATAGCGCGAGCTACCGGGGCGGCAGAGAATAGAATCAACTTTCCTCATTTCAACGCCACAACGCCCCCCACCCTTTGCAGAACGTCTGCAGGCCATCGCCCCCCAAATCAGTCGCTAGATTGGAGTCTACAGGCTGACGGTACTTCTCACAGCACATGTGGCTCCTGGTCAATTATTTTGAATTGGGCCAATTTGGAAGTTGAGGCTCATCCTATGATATGGGATGGATGAGAGATTTAGTCAACATCAATAAGAGCTCGTGAGGTCAAGAATCAGCAATGGCTGCACGTGACCATATCTCTGATGTCATTAGCGTCACACGGGACAAAACGCGCCTGTAAGAGGACTCCGAGTTCTCTTGCCGGGGAGCACATTGGAAACGTGGCCCCGTGCCAGTGGCGTCTCTTTGTGCGTGTGTACTGAGAGGGAAACACAAGGGGCCAGCGGACTAGGAGTGGGGCCATGGGGGGCCCATTGACCGCCCGTGACCTGCAAGCTCATCAACATGCCACTGAGTGTCACAGCGCGGCTCCGGTTGCTCCCCCACTGCCGGCCTGCTTTGTCCTCACATGCGTTCTGGAGGGGACTGTTTGTAACTCCGGGTGGGAGACCGGATCACACACAGCTCAAACCCCCCCCCCCCACTCCCACCCTCCCACCCCGAGGCCAGCGGAGTTCTCTCGAGTCAAAGGACTTGCCCTTTTGAAAGGCGTCACACTGGGGGGGCACCGACTTCCTGCTGAAAGGCAGATTTTTTTTCTCAAGTGTTACGCCTCTTAAGAATTCAAGTAATGCTATTACAACGATACAGCACAATGCAATCTGTGTTGTTTGCATTAGCATCAAAACTCAGGACGCATGCCTTCAAAACAAAGGCTGCGCCCGCCTCCTTTTCTGATAATGCGACTGAGACTGTGGGACATGAGAACAGTTGGTACTCTAAATAGTTTGTAGCAATGCCACTTAACTTATATAACGGTGCTTTGTTACCATGTGTGTAGTACTGAATTACAAAATCTGTATCTGTTAAACTGACCATTAGCGATAAATAAAAATGCCTGATATCTAGCCAGATTACCTGAAGTATCTCTCTAATCTTTGCAACAAGACATTATGAATAAATGGCCATTCAGCAACACAATGTAAAAAAAAACACGAACCAGCCAATAAAAGCATTTAATATGATACCATATATGAGATAAATCAAGACCCCCTTGTCTTTGGGGGGTTAGAGGTCCTTTGCTGTACTGATAGAGGTAAAATGCACTTTACGAATCTGACTACCTGTGATGTTTGCGGAGCCCAGTTCCGTGAAGGACAGCACGATGGACGTGGGTGTGGCCTCTCCGGGAGCCACGCACTTCTTCCTGGTAAGGTGGTGCTTTCCGGGGTGGCCGATGAACTTTATGCCTTTCGGAACAGAGACTTTGACATGAACCTGGGAGAGCGGAGAGAGACGAATCGGTACAAATCGACGTGCAATCGACCTCCTCCGACGGGCTACAGTGACATCATCATTTCTGCCGGCACGCCCCTCCCTCACATAGCGTGTTCTCCTCAAAGCCCCGAAAGCGAGGGAGAATTTTTAAAATCGCATTGGGAATTTTCCATGCCGACTGACTCATGCTTCTCAAGCTCCCTGAAGGATTATGTTCCACTCATCGTCCAATTTTCACAGAGCGCCCGGTAATGCAGAGGGATCTCTTAACTGCTCCTCATCCACACGCCACAAGTCGTAAATAACTGAGCAGAAAATATAGGAATCACATGTTGCCGGCGTGCACATCAAAGGAGGGGCTACTCTGGTTTGTATATTCGTCTGAAAAGACATCAGGGCAGCACACGCAGAGGCTCTTTAACGGGCTCATCTGCAAACATCATGATGTCATCTGCGTGGCGCGCGGGACGGACCCACAGGACAGAACTAAGCGGACTGTTCAAAGTGAGCGCTAACACTCACTGATCGAATCATTTCACATCAGAAACCCGCGCTTCCTTCGGGAACCAGTTCCGGCCCGTCGGCATTACCTACACGTGTTCCTCAGCCATTGTTTTGGTATCACTTTTTGGGGGGTTTTGGTAAAAACTTTCAAGGCCGTCCGAGTTGTTTCTATGTCTCAGCCCGTCACCTACAAAGCACGTCATGTGTTTCACATCGGTTCCCAGCACCTGCAAGATGCTTTGTGTGGGAGAGTGTTTGGCTTGTAAAGCCCTCAGAGACAACTATGTAATGCCAGGCCGCACAAAACAACACACTTGGCTTTCCTACTTTCGTGGCTTTGCTGTCTGCGGTTTCCAGTCAAACGTTTGGACACACTCTGCATTCAACGAGAAAGTGCGTCCAATCAAATGTAATTGCAGGGACTTAACACTTGCTTGAGGCGTGTCATTAGTATTGAAGGACACCTGTGACGTTGATGTTGTGGGATGCGCAGTTGTTGTAGTACGAGCAATACTGCCAGTGGCTTTAGTAAGAATCAGTAATAGCCGATATGGCAATATGGCCTACGGTCATTTATTATATTCATTTATATGTATTATTTTATAGAATTCCCCTGCAGATATCATATCATTGTTATTGAATGTTTTTTTCCATTTTAAAGTAAAAAAGATTTCAAGAAATTAAGCGGTTGCATTTACATCAACATGTTTTTCATCATTTTTTTAGACCAAAACCGACAAGAAAATGCCCACACGATGAGTGTTGGGTGGTTTGCTGTGGTCTTAAATCTTTCCACATGCACCGGATTAACCAACCAAGTGATTAATTGATTTATGTTTATTCAAGAAATGCCTCTCTGCTATAACAAGCAGCGGTGCCAGTGCTTGCTTTGGGAACGATAGTGCTGAAAGAAACTTAATGGTGTGGTCACAAAAATGTCCTTTTTAGTTTACTGGAGTGTAATGAACCCCAACGACCCGCTTGAAACATTATTTTTAATCTAGAATCCCGACCCATGCCAGATTTAAATTAAAAATATTCGGCTTTCTCAAATCGCTTGAAAAGCTTATTGTCAAACTGCCCTGTTCATGGGTTCAAGCATGACTTTGGCCTTTTGAAGTTTCGTCCCTGTAAAGAAGCGGCACTGCGGACCGGCCCTGTTGCACACATCTTGCACCGGTGAGGGGGGGAAACGTGACCCTTCCTCCCGTCCATCCGGCCGCTCCGTTCAACATCTCACCTCGGAACAGGTCGGCAGGTAGTTGTAGACGGTGAGGGGAACCTTGACCTGCTCCCCTCGGATTAAGCTGTAGGGCAAGGTGAAATCCACAAAGAAGGGCTTGAAGGTACGCAGCTCTGCCTTCTCCGCTAAGCCCAGCCCCTTTTCCTCCGACATGCCGACAGCCTCCGTCACCCAAGTGGTGATCGAATCCGGCGCATCCAATCGCAGCTCGGCCTCGCCGGTCTCGGAGCTGCAAGCGACACACGTGTTGAGACACATCTTCAATGGCGGGCTTGGCGGTAGGGGGGAATTAACACCAATGTCTTTTCCCGGCATCCTTTCAAGGCTGCTGGGTAAAAAGGCATAGACTACAAGGACGAGTTTGATACGTCTACGTAGATCCCTTTTATGTTCGCAACACCTGTGTCAACACCAACACCTGCAGCGAACCCTCTGAGGGGGACGGGTGTGAGTGACAGTCGGGCGTTGACCCGACATGTTTTTATGGATGAAACGGGCTGAGCTCATTATTCGCATGGGCATATTTAATGTTGGTGTTGGCACACCGTCGCCGGGGCATAATAAACTTGTGAAAACTCCATGTGCGCCCTTCCTTCAGATCAAAGCTGCCCAAAATCCCTTTTAATGGACTTTTGAGGGAAATCAGAGCATTGGACTTCACAGGAAATTAGGCTAAAACTGGAGTCCCATCCAGAGGAATCAAGCGCATGGAAATCTACGGGCAGTTCATTTATGTTGGCTGAAAATGAATGGAAGGAGCTGTTGAGAAAGTCGCTTCCAAGATCGCCCAATTTAAATGAGGCACATTGACGCCCAGAGGGGGGAAAATGCTGAAACATCGGGCTCCTCTCGCACCTTTCCTCTCCTCTCTCATTCCCCTCTTCTCACCCCCATCCTTACTTCCTCTGTCCTACGCCCTTGTCTGTTCCTCTCTGCCTCCGTACCTTTGGTCTATGCTTCCTCTTCCACTTAATGAATCTTCCTCCCCTTTCATCCCTTTAGTTTTTAGTATGTTTGCTCCTCTCTTGTCTTCCCCCATCTGTATTTCTCTGCTCTCCTTAATGCTTTGGATTGCGACTAAAGCCCATTTCAGGTCTAGACAATCTGGTGCACCTGATATTTCTAGCCCCGGGCATGTAAGACACACACACACACACGCACACACACACGAGAAATATTTATCCAAAGATTTAAATACCTGATGTTGAGGCAGCGCCACACCCAAGTCTCTGGGAAAAATGTGCGTCTACGCTTCTCTGCTCTGCAACCAAAACACAAGCTGACATCAATAAAAGGTCTCAGCTGCTCACAATAAAACAACAGCATAATTGGACAATGTATTGTGCTGCATGCCGCACTGACATTCTCTAACACGCGTCATGTGTTTGATGTTCATCACTAGAATGAGGAGTATTTGTTGAGTGCAGAACTAAAATATGCACAAACCCACAAAAACTGATTTATTTTCTCATGTTTTTTTCTTTTCTTCTGTCATTACTAATTTTTTTGTGGGCTTGCCTTAAAATCAATTGTCTTACAGAGCAATACATGGCTCAGAAACCGCGTGTGGTGCAGTCAGAGATCACAGCACACTTTCATCACCAAACTGGTTCCCTTCCATTTGTCATTGGGGAGTGGAATACGTAACACAAAGGAAAGGGGCCTACATGGAGGGGCCTTCTCACAACAGAGAAACACAGAGCAAGCTTTTATTGATAGATTGATAGATTTTATCTATCAATTAACCAAATAAATGATCTTCAGGAGCCCCGCAGAGGGCCTGGGACTTCTCAGCACGTCATTTACCTGGGTGGGGGTTGAGAGTGCACAGCGGTCACCAAGGTGGAGGTGTGCGGCTGGAAGGCGGGAACGGCCTCGTCTGTGTACATGCCTCCGCTCTGCCGGTGGTTTAAACTCACCATGTCCGTCATCACAACCAGCCCCGTTTCCTGTGTTAAACAAAAGCACACAATAACATGCTTACTGGTTGTTGTTTTTTTGTCTTTCTTCAAAACTGTATTACACTTAGTTACTGTATAACTAAGTGTGTGTTCTCACGGAAAAAGCAAAGCGCGCGTCCTTGGTGATGTCCCAGTGCCACGGGAACACGGAGGAGCGCCTGCGTCTCTTTGAGGACAGCCCGTGCCACCAGAAGTGTCCTTCGTCTTTGGGAATGCCGAAGGCATCTGAGACGTCAAACTCGGCCAGCTCTTTGAACACCTGCCCGGCGGAAACGCATTCGTGGAACACCCGGTTAGAGATTCAGTCACATTTCACGGCGGGCGTGAAGAAGGTGTCATTGTAAACTCAGGACCGACCTTGTCCGGGCTGAGCTGGAAGTCAGGCTTTAATAGATAAAGGCTCTTGTCCACAGTGGCCACACAAACGCAGGAGCCCTTTTCTGCACGGACGCGCAGGGTCACCGGGTCTCCTGGCATCGACTCGTTGGCCGACAGAGAGACGGACACCTGCGAACCAAGCAGTAGGGACCCAAACAGTTTCTTTTAGCGGTTGATTCTGTTTGTTAATTTAATGATTCATTAATCATTGAGTCTATAACGGGTTGGAAAATGTGACGCAAAATCCTCTCATTTGAAAAGCACAAACCTGCGAACCTCCAATTAATGAATCGACTAAATGTTCCAGCACTAGACGGCAGTGTTGCCTGATGGTTCTTAACCAGCCACGTTTTTGTATCATAGCCAACGAGCATAAATCCCATAGTGTTGATTTGTGAGATGTGATGGGAAACACGAGGGTGGAAAACTACGGACTTTGACAGAGGGAGGGATGAGGAGAGTCGGCCGTAAACTTTCACACATCAAAAACTGTTTTTTTTCTTTTCGGCAGCCGCAAATTAACCCCCGTTAATCGGTTCCGCTGCCCTCCGTTCACCGCTCTGCGACCTGTCATCCTCCGGCTGTCACGACCCCGCTCATCTGCCTGCGGCCTGCGTGGCCTCTGTCTCATCATGCCCTCGCAAACCCCCTTCCTCCGACACACACACACACACACACTGTGTTGTAATGGCATACCAGGGAGCTGTAAATACTTCAGGGAGTTAAAACTCCACCTAATGCCGGCAGGAACTGGGGAGCTCTCCGAGGCCAACGCAGCTGTTTGTTTACAGACGTGAGACTGTGGACAGAGCTGGTGCATGGATACTTGGCCTCAGCTCCCAAATATGTATACTGACTTTTCCAAGATTTTGTTCATTATTAATAGAGCTCTTTTTATATTACCTGAGACATATCCAACATCAATGTTTGGGCAGGTAACTTAGTTACTAAGTATGTTAATATTAGGTTTTTTTTAGTCGTCCTTGTACGACGGGGTTGAATCGTAGCGTTTAGTCCCAATTTGCTACATTGGGGAAGAAACACACAATATTATATATAAAGGGTGGAGGTCTGGGGGTTTGGCAGCTGATACTTCTGTATCTCTAACCATACTTTCTAGGGTCAGTAAAGGTCAAAATAATACTTAGACTGTATTCTTCATACCGTACTTCATACCTTGTTTGTTTGTTGATATATTCAGGGTCTTTTAAATAAATCCTCTTGTGGGATGTGCATGGGAAAGCAGGGAAATGACACGGAATGACACCATACGTTTCAAGATAATGCAAACCTGGTTCTCAAAATCGGCTTGGATCGGGATCTGCAGACTGTCCGTTACGCCCTCGCCGTTTTCCCTCACGTAGTAGACCAGCAGACGGCTGAGGGGTGCCATGCTGTGGCTAACAGGAAAACGCAGATACGACACGCAGCTGTCCATCTCGGCCTGGGAGGAGGTGGAGTCGGCAGCATCTGGCATTGTGAAAAGCAAAGGGTGGGAGGGAAGGGGGGCACAGTCTTCATGAAGACTTGGTATTCTGATGTTAAAGACTTCTTTGAGCAAGATGCACGGGACACTCGATCATACTCAATCCAGAGGAACCGACAGCAGGATCACAGGAAATAGGCCTTTGTGATGCTAGCATGGAGGGCTGCTGTTACGATGAAACCACTAAGAAAACCTCTGAAGGCTTAATGCTCAGAGAATTTAACTCCTAGCACATGCTGCTCGGGGTAAAAAAAAAAGCCCCCTAAAAGTTTTGCCTGTCCATAAATCTATCAAAATCCAGGGGATGAAAAAAACAACTCACCAGATGCAGAAGGAGGCGGCTGGGTGGTGTGGATGTTCTTGTCAAAGGTGACCGTGGCTCTTTTGCCCCGGTGCGAGGCTGTCAGGTTGGCCGGCTGTTGGCCTGATAGGACGATGTTGCCCCTCGATGCCACCTCGTAGTGCAACGTGAAGTTACATGGACAGGTGGATTTCAACGCAACTTCTGCGTCCTGGCCGACCTACGCGCGCAGAGAAAGAAGACTAAATAAAGTTAGTGATGACACTGGGGTCGTGTAGCGTTTTTTATCGTCTCTTAAAGCCTAAAAGAAGAGCAACAACGTTGATCCCGAAGATTACAATTGCAGGGAATTTAAGGAAAAGAAGGCAACAGACCTTGAGTGGAGCACTGAGGCTCTGAATCTGGATATGACACCTGCTGGGAGAGTACCAGCTACTGATCGACAGGTAGCTGGGCAGGTACTGGTCTCCTACTGTCTTGCCGTCAATGGACACCACCTTGGTCTACGCCAAACGAGACATAAAAAGTTCTGCTTGAAAATGACCTTCGCATTTTCCCCCGGTTCATTTGACCTGAGCTTACTGCCACTGACCTCCAGCCAGACATACTGGGCCGCCGTGGGGATGGAGGGGATCTCAAAGGTGGCCTGGCCGCTCTTGGAGATCAGCTCGCTGGTGTAGACGTTGTCCTTGGGGGTCAGCTCTGCCTTGACACGCACCCTCACCCCGTCAGCTGGGCTCCCGTCGGGGTAGGTCACCTCGATCTGCAGAGAGAAAATGAAACAAACAGTAGGCAGGGAAATATACGAAAAAAGAGCAAAAAGCCGACGACAGGGTACCTAATAACCAGGCATGACGTAAAGCTGGCTGTGAACAGTTTGCAGCCGCATTGGACCCACCCACCTTGCCTTTGTAAGGCAGACCAGGCTTGAACTGTTTGCGCGTGTCCTTTGAGTACTTGATGTCGATGAGCTGCTTATGGACGGGTGTTGAATCGTCGAAGGTGGTTTGCCTGCTCCCGTCTATGCTGCTCACTGACGCCCAAATGCTCACGGTGCCCCTGAAGTGATCGGCCACGTCCAAGGGCATCATGTCTTTGACGCACAGGCTGAAGTTTGCGGAGCCTTCGATCTGAGAGGAGAGATCGGGCGTTGAGTGGAAAGTAATTCTAGGGCTAGAGGTCGAATGGCACAGCCTTTATTTTGCTATCGCGTTCCTAAAAAGGGCGGCTAACACGCAGAATCAGGATATCTGCAGACCAAGGAGCAAATCAACTGACCTCCATGGTTTTAATCACAGGATGGCCCATCTCATGACGGTAGTAGCCCACTCCATTCACCGTCATATTCACTGTCAACTTCCCCGTCACTGGCTTCCCAAAGGTGTACCTGTGCAACATTGACATGTCAGAACTCTACATCTACGAGGCGGCCAAGGTCAGTGAATCCAGGAGCAATCAAGAAACATGATGAATGTACTAAAGCAGAGCTACAAGCAAAGGACATTTGTTCCCTTTTGCTTAATATATTCTCATTTAAGGGACTTACTTGGCCCTGACAGAAGCTTGCTCGCACGAGCTCAGATCGCGAATGTAGCGCGGTGGATCAATCACCAACTCAAACTTGGGCATCACTAGAAGACAGGAAACATTGCGTGTGCTCGTGTGAATTTTGCACTTTATTGCTGAAACACTCGACCTTTTAGTCCGTTTAATCCTCAAAGATAATAGATATTTAAAAAAACACAAGAACAACAGGAAGATTTATTCTATACAGAACTGCAAACTATTGTGCACAACTCTCTTGTACTTGCAGGGTCTCACCATATTTCTGCACTTGAAAGGACTTGTTATAGGTGTGGCCCTGCTCCTCCACAAAGATAAACCACTCTCCAAACACAGGCTGGTCAGACAGAGGGAAGCTCATGTTGACGACGCCTGTGGGAAAGAGAAATGTAGTTAACACCAAGTCCATATCTGTACACACACCTTAGAAGTCACTTTCAGCACCCTTTTTTCTTATGTTTTAATACTTAAAATAAATGCTTATGGAAGACGTGGCTCACCACAGCAGATGGATGTTAGACTTTTCCACTGGACCATCCGGGATCCTCTTGGATCCTGTCAAATTACAAGTGTTCAGGTTACTCTTTGCACATAAAACTGTTCACGTCAGTGTTTATGATATGCAATTTCATATATATTCTAAATGTTGAGTCAGGTCCAACAGTCCTTGAACTAAACCGGACCCAGAGACCTGCCTACTGTCTCCTATACACTGTCAACACAGTCAAATCCAAAAAGCGTCTAAACACTAGCTATAAGTAATGCATTGGCTTTCCAAAGAAGTAGCAGCTCGCTAGCTGCTCTACAAAAAAACTGGGATGACAGACAATAAATGACTACGGCCAGTAAGTGTGAGACAGGGAGACGTAGTGTGTGTGTGTGTGTGTGTGTTTGTGTGGCGACTGATAGAGTAGAAAAACCAAGAGACGTGAGATTGCTTTCATGTTGTTTATCCTCGTACAGTTCCAGAGAGCACCCTGTTATCTAGGTGAGCTGCCCCGACTCCTGCTCTGTAATCTCCCACCGGGCTGAGAATTAAAATTGCCACTGTCCCACTGGGTGGTCCCGCCAGCCGGCACTCACCAAAACATACGCCTCGATCTGCAGGAAATAGAGAGAGAAGGCAGAGAAGAAGGAGACGTTACGGATATGACACCGGCCGTGAAGCCGAGGGAGGATCCTCGGCGCCACGCTTCTCGCCACTCGTTCCCTATCCAACATTCACCCATCTATGAAAGTGAGTATTGCCCCGTACCAGCAGCGGGCCTTTATAGCAGCGGACATCAATAAACCGCCTGTCCGCAAATAACACAATCACCTTGCCGAGGTGATTTGGCAAAAAGTGTCTCAATTGTATAATGTAAACAAGGATCTGGATATTAAGTTGTATAAGACTTTATTTTGACCCACTTCATTGTGATTTATTGACCTGGTGTCAAAGAATGGTATCTAATGCTTGCCATCTTTAGAGGTTCCACTGTATTTCCTCTATTTTGACTTACCTTGTCATTTACTGGCCTCAGATCAGGACCGACTGTGAACACGTTGATGAACACTGAAGGCAGAAAGAAAAACACAATATTGCAGCAGGTTCACACTCTTTTCACCAAGATCTTAAACATTTACTAGTCGTTCTGCTCGGATCAATGAATCTGTGGACCATCACGGACCAAACGATGAAATCTTGTCGCTTGACCGAATTCGACAGAATTGACCATTTGAATTAATGTGATGGATCCAAATGTTGTATCCCAATCAGAATACACCGTAGCAGCTATCCAGATCACCGTTTACTTTAGTTAGAAGAAACATGACGGCTGATTTTGGCTGATTTTTATGGCCCCTGTTTGCTTCAATGACGAAAACCCGCTTAAGAAGAGCCTGCTCTGCATGTCTCTGCGGTGATCGAATGATCGGCCACCAAGTGCGCTATGAGGGAACCTTTGTGTTTGGGTTTGTAGACGGGCTTGTCCGTCTGGATGAAGACGGCCGTGCCCTTGCTCTCCACTGTGACGGTGGTGTGGTTGTGGAAGATGTAGCCTCCCTCGGTGAGGTGACGGTTCCCCCACACCTTCAGCTGGGCCTGGCCTCTCAGCCCGGAAGGAACCTGGTGGCACAAACACACACACAGAGGATAAGGGCCGGATTTACCAAAAGTAAATGAGGTCAGTAGGGGGAGGGTTGAAAAGCTGCCGTACACGATTTACCTTGATTGGACATTTCTTTTTGATACCTTTCTATCAAACTCACAGCGGAACAAAAACAATATATTTAAACACCAGAGGAAGATGCCGAGCGAATACACAGCATACCACACATGACGGTACTTCAGGAGAATGAGGGCGGAGGTTACAGGGAGGGGAGGAATCGAGTTGTGTATACTAGATTGATCTATTACAGCCTTCGGGGGCGGCGGACCACACGTGCACGTCAGCAGCTGGTGCGTATTACGCCGACGTTTTTTACCTTATTCCCAACGAATGAGCAGAGACAGATGCTGAATTACAAATAATGTTGGTGTTGACCCGCATGCTGCCCGAGGAATGCGGTGCACGCAGAGGACGAGAGGCTCTCACTACTGTGCAGCCGTCACAGCGACGCACGTTTTACACATCTCTGGAGAGGCGGCGTGGGACTCACCTTTAGCTTGATGGTGCCTTTATCTGGAACAGAGACAACGGGATATTGTAAAATTCATTTGAGGTTTTTATACACTTGTGTTTCAGTTGTCTGAAATCTGTCCAAACATCTGTATAACTGATATCCGGTAGCTGTGAGCACGGCTGCACTGCGAATCCAGCTGCAGCCTGTCTCACTGCCACTCTGAGGACGAGCGAGCACCATCAATCAGTGGGCCTGTCAAACAAATTACGCACTGCGTACACAGAGTGGCTGGTGGGATAGGCTGAGCTGATGTCTCCAATCAAAGCGAGAAACCCCCCAAAAAAACGGCTGGTCAGGAGGGCAAAGGTCAATCGGGCCGCGGCGTGTTCACCAACACGTGATCCCGGCACGCAGCTCCGTCCTCACCGAGCACCGAGACGTGGCCGTGGGCGACCGCCTGTCCCTTTGCCGTCAGCTGCGCCTGGACGCGCGTCTCCGCCCGCGCGTTGAAGATGGTCACGCTCACGCTCTCCACAACGCCGGCCCGGAACACCGAGGGGGCGGCGACCAAATAACCCCTGTGAGAAGAGCGGGAGGAAGGAACAAAGAGGCATGAGGAGGGTCGCAGACACTGACTCCTTAGTTTGAGTGGATCTATTCAAGGGTGGTGTTGCGAGGTGATACGCAGGGAAACGAGGAAGAGATTCACATTTTTTAGTTTTCTCCCCGACCCGCATGCGTCAACAAGACAACACACATACAAACACTCCGGTTGGATTTGCGCGGCGAGGGAGATCGGGATTAATTGCAACGGTTACCAGGCACACGGTACCGGTCGGCCAATGAGCTCTCTGGCCCGGCTTTCTCTCTGGGTGGTCCGGCACCTCTGAACAGAACCGCGGCGTCCGTTTTGAAAAATAACGACTGAGATTCCACAAAGTCACTCTGGCACTTAATTGAGCGAAAGAGCCTGTCACTGAGGTCACAGAGCAAAGGTCACTCTGTGATGCTTATCAACAGGAGTGCAAAAAAAAAAAAGAATAAAGAGGGAAATTTAAGTTTTATTTGGATGAAAGACGAGACCATCTGGCGCTGGGAGACGGGATCTTGGAGCAAAGACAGAATAGTAATATTTTTGTAAAGCTTTTTGAGACCCCAAAGCATCAGCAGCAGGGAGCTGCTGTAAACTACATCACCAGTGTGGCCTGTTAGGGGTCAACTTAAGGGCATGAGGAGTAGTCTTGACTAAACGAAATGATGTGTTGGAGGATCCAAAAAGTACTCGTGAGAAAAGACCACCTAGTCCTAAATGAATCCTGCCGCCCAAACGCAGCGGACTACGTACCTGACACAACATAGGCCTGAATACTTCCTCGTTTTTGTTTTTTTTCCGAGTCTCAACTCTATTTCTTTTAGGCAAGTAGGCCAACTCAGGCGCTGAGAACTTTACTGAAGATCAGACATATTAGGAATGAGCGGAGCTTTGGGCGCAAACCCAATTGCATGCCTGAGAGAAGGATCAGGTGGTTGGCATTACGGCATTACGGCGCCACAGCCAGAGGCAACTGCAGTCCCTGAGAGGGAGTCATGAGAAAATCCCCCTGGAAAATGAGGCTTCGGGAGAAGCAAGATAATACGAGGAAATTGACTTTATGCGTTTGATCTGCAGCGAGTTTAACCAGCTCGGGGATGAGCGAGGATCAGGAGGTGGAGGCCGTGCTGATTTCAATCACATGGCTCGCTGTACTCAACCCCTCACTGTTTTTGTCCCACTCGTGTCCTGGTCAGGGAACTGAGAAGGATTTGTGCCCTTTTGTAGGCAAATTCTTAAAAACAGCCAGTTCTGTTTTTTTTTAATTTAGGTCACATGGTTTGATGCTCGTTGCCCTTCTGCCCGGATCTCGCCCTCGGCTCAGCTGCTCTTTATGCTTGACAGTGATTCAGGTTCTCCTTTGCAAAATCCCACCTGCATTTGCCAGTTTTGCACTCAATCCCTCCCCCTCAGAAGAGCTGTTTACAGCTATTTGCCGTTAACACAACTCTCAAGGTTAGAATGAAGCTCCGAATAAAATAAGCCACTGTCAAACCTGTGAGTTGAAACGTTTGGAAATAGTTTAGGTGGCGTTACAAAAAGCTTCTCCAAAAGCTGCATATCAATTCTAGCCATCACAATAAAAACATATATGTCACTTTCTTATGTATAACTGTGTAGCTCCTGACGGGGTCACAAAACATGAATGTTATCATCACAAATGACATAATAAAAATGAACAGATTAGCAGAGTGATCATCAAAAACGTTTGTGCTCAGATTTGAACCAAAACTGCCAATGTTGCTGTGACCAGAACGCTGTGAATGCTCGCTGGGGGGGGGGTCGTGGGGGTCGGGGGGGGGTTAAAGCAGTGCACCACACTTCATGAGGCAACGCGGGCTACTTACTGTCTTTCTTGTGCACGAGCTCGGCTCACGGAGCAGAAGAACAAAGTCCACGACAGACTGAAAGCTGTCAAAGACCACCGCAACATGTTGACCTCGGGGAACCGACACTTGCTGGACTTCGAGGTCCTCCGATGAGAGGTTTAATTTAAATTGAAGCGCCCCCCCCCCCCCACCCCTCTCTCTCCCTCCCTCTCCTCGCCTATTTATCCATGGAGGTTGGTTTGCATGGTGGGTGTGCAGAGCGTTGTTCGGAACCAAGGATCCCACTTGGCCGAATCCAGGTCCGGGTAAATCCTCTCTTCTTTTTTCTCCTCTTCCTTTTAGAGCGCGGAGAAGGCGCGCGGTCCGCTCCCATGTGCACTCACCCGCCCCGGTTCCGTTCGCTCATATTTCAGCATTACTAATTGGAAGCGTCCTCCCACTTCGGTGAGCAGAAAATGTCACTTCTAAAGAAATGTTTGACATGTAAAAAATAAAAAATATTGCTTTCGCGATAGTTTTTTCCCCCCCTTCTGGTCCTGCAGCAGCCGGTCAGAAGGAGCTCGGCGGCGGGCCGCGCTTCATTCACCTCGATGCCTCCTCCGACTAGTGTGGATCATGACTGAGGCAGTGTGGAGGAGCGCAGACACGTTACCTGCATGTCTCCCCCCCCCCCCCCCCACACACACACACGAGTACTGCCCTTTGGCTGCTACCAAACTGGGTAAAACAACGAGGAAAGAAGGAAAACAACACACACACGCACACGTAGACACACACGCGCGCACACGTACAGAACAAACTCTTAAAGAAAGATTACCAACATTTTAGTCAATTAGTTCTTTATGCTTGTTGCAGGAGTTGGGGCCCTCTGCAGAGATCTGCTGCCCTCTAGTGGTGATCGAGTCTCTCCTGAGGTTATAATGAAGGTCCCAGGCGTTTTCCCCTTTAGGTAACAATCATTTATTTAAGTGCTTCTGAGGTACTTTGAACAAAAACAATATGGCATTAACATAACACTGAACCGATACAACAATATAGAGTAACATTATAAAAGTAATTCACATCTTTAAAGGAAGTCAGGCAACCAAGCGTGTGATCAGGATGGAAAAATTAAAAAAAAGCGCCTCTAGCACCGGGAGGGACCTTTTATTTCGGAGCTTTTCTCAGATGATGTCAACAAAAACCCTGAACCTAATGTTGCACACGCGTCCTAGAAAGTAGCTGCACGGCTCAAAATCACCACAGAAGTAGAAAGATGAAAACACTGCCGTTTTCAGTGACGTGCAGTTAAATCCCTGCACGTCACTGATCGCGGGACAGGAGCCAAGGAGAAAATGTCCTATGCATAACAATCAAGCATCCCTTTACTTGTAGTAACGATTCACTCTTTTTTTTTGTCTCAAGCTGATCCGTGAATGAGGTTCCCAACGCCGAGGCCCCTTTGTCTCTCTGCCACTATGCCGTGATACAGTTTGCAGTGCAGCTTCCCGTGTTCAGGCTCAGTGAACGCGGCCTTCGAGAACACCAGCTGGTTGTCCCGGTTAACCGCCACTCCGTGCGCTTGGCAAAGCCGCGCCGCGAGGCTCGCGTCCAGAGACAACAGCTGAGCCACTTCGTCAAGAGGGAAGCGGCAGTTGCGGCTGCTGAAGCCGTGGCTGTAGATTAGCAGCAGATCCCGGCCGCACGTCACCAAGTGGCGGTGCAGGGCGCAGCTCTGCAGGAAGTTCAACCGCCGAGCCAACCGGAGCAACCGCACGGGGTTTCGCTCCAGAAAAGCTCGGTTGATGGAAAGAGCGAGGGTGATGGCGGGAGAGCTGCGGAGCCGGCTGGGCAGCCCCATGACGTGCTGCGTGGCACGAGCCGAACCTGAGGGAGGCGAGGAAAAAAGAAATAAAGAAATGAGCAGGCAACAATTGTTTAAAAAAAAGCTACTGATAACATTGATACCCCCCCAGTACAGCTGGCTTTGAGTGTGAGGTCAATAAAATGTATTAACCAGTGAAAGAGGGTAACATTTTCTGCCAATGAAGAGCTGCTCAACAGAAAAACCTTTCCATCAAATCTCTGCATCAATAATAAACATGGTGCTTGCTTAAAAACGCATGCAAATACACCAAAGGAAAAACTTGCATGCGACACGAACCCAAGTTGTACAGCAGACCAAGAGCTTGCAACTCGTCCTGGTTGGCATGCGGTCCTGCTCCGGCGCCGTAGCAATCCAACAGCCAGCTCAGATTCTCCTGCAGGTGTGTGTCGTTAATGCGCGGGTCGTAGAGGCGCAGGGGCTCCCCGCAAAGGCGGTACGAGGCGTAGATGAGGAAACGCACCGTCCGCTCCAGAATGGCCACGCAGGTCGAACCCGACACCCTCTGGATGATCATGTCCTGTTTCACGCCGCGCAGACGGTCAAAGGCGAAGCTGTAAGCCTGGAAGACAAGTCACGTCGATGGGAATGTGTGCTACAAAAGAGTTTTTAATGTATTCATTGGGTCAGCTTGAACATCGACATCGAGATCTTAAGGGCTAGTGACAAATGAACTCGACACAGTACCAGCGTTCTGGCAGATTTGCAGATTTTTAAAGCCCCCTGATTTACGTGATTTGGAGCGTTACAAATACATTACATTACATTACAGGTCATTTAGCAGACGCTTTTATCCAAAGCGACTTACATTACACTTTAAACCCATGGGGGGGGTACTTGCCTCTGTCCAAGGATGCAGGTGAGGTGAGGCGACGATGTCGTCAACGAGGTAACACACAGTTTTCAGCAGCACCGCAGCTGGCCGGAGATCCGCGGGGTTCGTCAAGTCTTTCCCGGCTGCTGGTCTGGAGTACTCTTTGACCACGCGCAGGGGGTCTCCCTTGGGCCGCCGATCTCCCTCCGTGCCCGCCGACACCTCGAAGCGGTGGAGGCGGCTCTGCAGCTGGCGGTCCCGCAGCTCACGGGCAGGGCACATGGTCTGGCAGGTCCCCCTGGGCACGGCTTCGTCCCCATGTCTCTCATCGGTGTCCCCCTCTATGACCTGTGATTTGCCTGGGCCTCGCCACTGTTCTTCAGTCCTAGTTCTCCATCCTCCTCCTCCTCCTCCTGCCGGTGCATCCCTCCTCTGAGAGTGAGAGCTGCTCGAGGGGAAACGAGTTGGTTGTTAGCTGAACATGTAATCTGTTAGGGACCACGATACAATGAGCATAAAGAAGAACAGCCCAGAACCGCTGTGTTTAACTCCGCTCTAACGTGACAGTTGCATTGTTCTGTTGAGTTACAGAATACTTTTTCTCATGCCTGTAGCACAACACCACCAATCTCTGCGGTCTTCCTTCCTCTCTCCCAATCTTGAAATAACATAACTATCTGAAATAGCAAACGTTAGCTTGGAAAATTGCTGCCATACTAAAGGACTTGTCTGAGATGACATTTTTCTCCCACTGCAACAACCCTTTGCCTGACTTAGCTGCTAAAGCTAAAGCTACTAGCTATTAGCTGTAAGACGCTACGGGTGGTTGTACTACAAAGCTGATTTCTATAGCTAGCTAGCTAGCTAGGGCAGTTCGCTTTTTATGTAATTTGTCGTGTTTAATACGTAAAAACAAAAAAAGAAACATTTACTCACATGCGACGAGGGGCTCTCCTGCGGTTCATCGGTCATACAAAAGACCGCTCGTCACTTTCCTGAATGAGCCAATAGAAATGTCTCATTGTTGTTTTGACTTGACGTCACATCCGGAAATAGAAGCGACGGCTGAAAGCGGAGCGGCGTAAACAACACGGCCGTGGTTTAAAGATGAAGGCAGGAAGAGCTTTTGAATTAAATGGTACAAATCGTAAAATAATTCTAAAATGTTAATACATGTTGTCTGATGAACCTATTGTTATCAAAATCGATTGTAAGACACAATAGCTACAAACTAGATAAGACATTCATATTACTGAACTTCAGTGCTTCTTAATCAAATCTCTAAATCAAAGGTCTTCAACAGGGGGTCTGCAGACGTACTGCAGGGGGGTCGTGAAGTCTTTAGAATTAATTAAAATAATTGTATTATTTTTTCAACCATTTTTTTCCTCACACATTTAAATGTCTTCAGAATTGTATTTATTGTCTTTAAATACACATTGACATGAATCCAACATATTGTAGCGAACAGATAAATTGATGGTGTTTTCTTTGTCTGCAAAACACACATTCAGCTGCCCCCAGGAGCTCCCTCTAGCTGGGCACCGGTTCATCTCTAAATGAATGTGTGATAGCTTTCCGTTATCAGGCAAACATATATCTAACACGGATTTGAAAGTAAAATTTCTCAGAAATGTATTTGGAATACCGTTCTCTAGCCTGTTGTTGCTTTTGGTAAAAATGTCCATGTAGCCTTTTCAATTCATTTAGACATTTGTGTGTGTTTATTACCTGTTTTAATCAATAAGAGTATTGAAAAGCAAATTATCATCAATTATCAGTAACTATTTAGCATGACAACATATCATAATACAGCCATAAAGAAATCTGACAGGATACATAAAAACAAAACACAAACGGTACAAATACTTCAGGGGTATCCAAAGTGCATATACTGTGTTTCACGCTGTGTGGTAGCTTTCATCGTTTGGGGCAAAAGAGCTCGTGGGTTCTTGCAGTTCCAAGCTGTTCTTCCTCGGTGGCCTGCTGGACATGGATTGTATGACGGCAGACCAACGATGACAATTCCAGCAGCTCTGAAAATGTACTAGGGAGACAAAAAAACAATAATGTTTTAGTAAGAGCGCAACCGTGTCAGGATACATTTTCACACGTGCAGATCTTTGTAGGTAAGTAACCGTTTTGTTTGTAGGGCTATCCTCGACAAAATGAGTTCTTGACACTACCACAACCAATGATTTAATCAGGAGATCTTCAAAACGGAGTCCCTCCACAAAGAGTGAAACAATAATTTGAATTTGTGTTACTCGCATCCATCAGAGAAATCTGCTTAAGTTCCTTGAAACTACGTCATGCAGTATGGTAAAGCATTTAAAATAAATAATACACAAAAGCAATCTTCGTTGACTAAGACCAAAGTGGCACACCTACCGTTTCAACAATATAAATATAGCAAATAACAGATCATGTATTAACGGCATCACCAAGATCCAAAAAAGGTTCTCTGCATATGTGCCTACCCAGAAAGCTGCTGGCTTATGGTCTTTGATGTCGTTTTCATGTCCCTAAGGGACTCCAGGGAAGTGCTGTTGTCCTTAAGATCTCCATCCGTGCACTGCAACAGCAACATTTCGCTCTCCTTCAGGCAAGCCTCGGCTTTATCTGAAATGAAACGAGCGGATGTGATCTTTTAATTCTTTTAATATCCTCTTTTTTTATTATGGATCTTGTTCATGCACTGCAATCCTGCAAATGTTTTCACTCTGACTAATGAGTGATTACTTTATTTTATTTGTTTAAAGATTCTTATTTTTGTTTTGTAAGTGTTCATCTCGTAGGTTCGAAGCCAAAAGGACACTGCTGAGTCAGGTGATATCTGCTCGTTCAGAAAAAATTTTAAAGTTGTTGCAACTTACATGTTGCCAGTTTACACTCACATGTTGCCAGGAAAAATCTGATCAAAAGATACAAGCAGATTAGCTGAATTCTTTTTAGAGTTGAACTAACTCAGTTATGGTTAACAGTGTTGTTTTCGCGCACAAAGTAAAAACAAAAACCTAGGAATTCCATTCTGTCCCCATCAATGTAGAAATTCTGGACAGGCAGTTCATGTCGCGTGGTGTCGACGGCTGTGGCGAAAGACTTGTAGTCCTTTGTGAATTGTTTGGCAGTTTCCACCACAGGAGTCAGTGCGGCGATCTGATGGAAAATTGCAATATTAGCAAGATGCACTCAAAGCATCTTACACACAGTGCACACATCCATTTCTTTACATTACAATAAATGAATTATAAATATTTAAGCCATCTGTTCACCATCTTATTTGATCATCATCATTCAGCTAGAAGGACTATGCGTGTTCAGGATTAGCGATTAATGTCTCAAATGATAAATGTCTCACTGTTGTGACACTCCACCATTAAGATGGACATTTCAAATATATGTATTACATAAGGTTAATTGCAAAAAGAAAAAAACATTACCTGTAAATCCAGCAGCTCATTCAGTAGCCTGTCCTGCTCCATGAGGAGGTACTGGCGTTTCTTTTCCTGGACCTCATTATGCAGCGCCTCTTCTTCCTCCATCTCCTGCATGATCCTGGCCTCTGCCTCAGCTTCTGCCTTTGCAGTATTGCTCTCCATCTACATCAAAGTTATAGAGCCAGATCAGTCACATCATGGCGTTATGACTGGTTATATCGCACAGAACACAGAACAAGCCAGAAAAAAACATTACATTACATTATCCACTGATTGGACAAAACAGATGCATTAAAAGCAGTTTTCTGCTTTTTATGTGAAAACTCACTGACCTTAGCAGTGATGTAGGCCAGTAGGAACGTTTGCATCTCAACGATCCTCTTAGTATTCTCTGGATTCCTGTCGTGCTCGACTGCATTTTCAACAATAGTTTTTTCTTAAAGAGAAAAGAACCCTGTTAGATGACACTCAAATTTTTAAATCACTTCTAGAATGTTAAATATTTAAACCACTTTACCTTTGATGACTGAAATATCAAAATTGGGTCGAAAGTAGTGTCCATCTGAGAAAGTGGACTGCAGAATACTTTTCCCAAGCAACGAAGGCTCATTTTCTCGTGACATCATCGCTGAGAGGAAAACAACACTTATAAAGAAGTGCCGGTTTTCACGCTGAGATTTGACGTGGACAGTTTCCAGTGTTTGAATCACTTACATGTTCCTGGAGTCTGGTGGGCCATTGAGCGTCGTGGCGGAGTGCCCACTCTCGGTTTTACACCGCTGGGTTTTGGTGAGGAAGGTCGCGGCGGAGCAGCAATAGACTCGTTGGTCAGTGAGTTACTCTGGAAATGTTTAAAGGAATGCAGTGAGATACACATGTGTTACCAGAAAAAATGTGCCAAAAGACAGATTCCTGAACAGCATTGACCAACACAGGCAGAATTATACTTATCATTGAGTATTGGCAGGTCTATATACTAACTGAGATGGGTCGCCATGAGTAAAACACATTTGTTTTATCGACAAATAAAAAAGTTTTACCTTTGAAAGCGATGTCTTCTCAGCAGCCTGCATGTATCGAGACTTGACGATAGTTCCACTTGCTAAACGTTTACGAAAAGACGTTGACAAAATAAAATGAATTCCTGAAAGTTAAATGACTAACATATCTGTAAATTTCTCGTATCATAGATCAAATATTAGATACAAAAGGAAAAACCCATTGTTGAAGAATACCAGCTTGAGAAAAGCTAGTTAAAATGAGCACTTTCACAACACTGTTTGTTCTCATTGTTGAATGTTGTAAGGCTTTGACGAAGTGTAAAAAGCAGATTATAATATAGTTTTTGAAAGATATTGAGTATACACCATTATATGGCAACACTTTCCTACTGAGACAACGTCTCATCCACTGGATATTATCATCGACATAATTCAAGGTGATTTCACGTTAAATGGTTTTATCTGGAAAGGATCTGGAAGGATTGTTTCAAAGATTGAACTGGAGTTTGTTGGCATACGGTCAAGTAAGGTTACTGGCAGCCGTCTGATAAGCGACAGATGTGTAATCAATTGACGTTAGAACAACAACACTTACATTTAGCACTTTTCTTTCCAGTTCCGGTGATGTTGTGGTTACCAGCATTGCTCCCGCTACTCGAGCTGAAAACAAAGCAAAAAGGAGTCTAATTAAACCAAATCTACAAATTACAAAATAATAGACGACTGTGTGTCTATTGAATTTGAAACCCAAAGCTTTGCTAACAAGTTAGCTCACAATGTCTACCGACACGATCCTTTATTACATGCATTTGCTTTTCCAGCCTGCTCGTTAGTTGTATGTCTGGTACAGCAGTGCGAATGGTCATGTTTTTAGCTAAATAATACACCATAAAATCAACGGTATAGCGTATTAAGGTTAAATAAAAGTATTTGTTAGCCTGACTAATGCTAGCTCTTTTCTTACGTTACGTTAGTTAATTCATTCTAAAATTAAACTGGCCACAAATCGACGGATCACACGATACCCGGTAAAAAGAAAAGGAAGTAACGTAGTTATACGAGGACTAAAGTACCTCTTAGCTTCGGTACTTTTAAAAGTACTTGGCACTGTTGATGTTCTTTTCGACGCCATAATGTTTTGAAGCAAACCGCCAGTGCGCCCGTTTCTGCAGACCGGTAGAAACAAGAGGTGATGTTTTTCGTTCCACCCAACATTTAAAAATGAATAACTCACATCTGTTCTAGTAACTGCGCAACTGTATTACAGTTTTTCAACACACAAAAACACATAAACAAAAAAACAGAGCAAACACATAATTTCAAAATGAATACACACTTCCTATATGATACTTTTGTAGCACAATGTTTTACAGAACCTCTTCCCAAACGCCGACTGCACACTGTTGTGATAAAGTATAAAACATTTCTTTTTTTTCTGTTAAATTTGTAGCATGTTATGAATATAGACCATGAACACAAGTGAAATGGGGAACGAAAGACATATGTTGTTTCTCAACTATCATATAATTGATTATTGTGATATTTCGATGGCAGTGTTTAGCACAGAACAAACAGTTTTGATTTTGAATGATGTGTTTTATTAACCTAATGTGGCTAGCTACAAAAAGTGTTACAAATCAGCCTAAAGTGTTAGTCAGATATAAGGCCAGGTAAAGTACGTGGTTTCAATAATTCAAACGTATTCTTTCTCTTTCGTTCTCTCTCTCTCTCTTCTAACTTTAATTTCCTGTTTATGGAAATAGATGTTTCTATTGGAGATAAAGTGTTAACCATCCAAAATGATCAAATAAAGACAATTTAGTTTGAGGTTGGATTTTCCTTCGAACTTTGGGGTGATCCCTGATTCCACATTTTTAATACAACTCCTAAGTCTATGGTCCTCCTATGGTTGTAACCAGTTCTGCATTGGCTGTGATTTCATAAAGATTTTAGCCTCTTCTTCTGCAGTGGCGTCAGTCGCAACGCCAGTAAAAAATATACGTTGGAGAAAGAACCCGAAGAAACATCTCCCTTGACATTGACGGCGGGGAATATCAAAAGCTACAATTGTTCTAGTAACCACTAGATGGGTGTAAGGGGCTACAATCCTCTTAGTTACACCCCCAGTCTGTACAGACTCCATTAATGAGTGTGTCTCCATGCTATGTGTTGTCTGCCGAACCAGTTCTCTAAACCTGGAGTTTACTTGTTGGTTGTGTGCACACGTCTTAAAGAACATAATGGGTGCTGATCCCACCTGTCTGAGCTGGTCTCGGACGACAGGAAGGACATTGTGAGGAGAGCGGGTGTGGGAGAGGCTGGTAAACACTGAACCAGCAACCTCTACCCTGACTCCCCTCCACGGACGTGGATGGATAAACCAACAGGGGGGGTAGAGAGTGGCTTATAAGAAAAGGCTTCAAAATGTAGGCCATCCTGCCTTTTTTGCAGCGGTTGAATTGGATTTCAATACGGCGTGCATGCTAGACGACATCCGGGTAGTTTTATTCTGACTTTAATAAATTCTCACGATAAAGGTTGAACATTTGGGCTTGGCACTGAAACAAATATCTCACAAACACATGCCCTGTATTTGTATGTGTGTGTGTGTGTTCCAAGCATGTGATGTGAGTGTGTGTCTGTGCAAAGGCCGGGCCTTATCATTGCCCCCCTCCCGCTCTCTCTCAGTGTAATAAAGCCTGAGGCTGTGCGTCTGCATGCTGGCTGTCCATCTCTCGCCACCAGGCAATGCCAGAACAAATAGCGGCCTCTGAGGTGCCGTTGATGATGGAAACAAGTGCAGCGTGGACTCTTTTGAGTTCAATTAGTAAAACCTCTGATTGAAGACGCTAAATGCTTTAGAGGTATGGCTGTTTCCCTCTTCTCGCTGGAGTTAAGGTCTAGATCGGGCTGAGGAGCTGGGGGGAAAGAGTAAGAAGATCACGTTGAAAGACGGCACCGCGAGGAGGCTGAATGAAAGTCCTTGTCTCTTTCCTGAGCCCACCTCTCTTGGCTCTCCCTCCGCTCCGAAACTCTGACGTCCAATGCAGGATTCGTCTGTGTCACCGTGACCTCACTGATACTCTGCTTTTGCCTCTCCAACACATTGCTGAGGCGATAGAGATGCAAGACGACGCCGCTCAAATTCATATACTGAATAAAGTGAAAGGAAAGTTGCTGCACTTTCTGAACACATCTACTGTATGTGCACGTGACTACACACACACACACACACACACACACACACACAAACACAGACAATACATCCATGCAGCCCACACGCCAGCCCTTCTTTCCCTTGCGGTAAGCTGTTACTCATCACAGCGCAGACTGCCAGTCTCTTACACATAGCCTTCCAGGAATGCCTCAAATACACAGCGCCTCATACTCTGAAGCCAAATGGCAATATTTGGCACATTCAATTTGACAACTGCACAAACTGAGAATATTCTTACAATACCTATCGGTTTATTCAGCATTCAAGAGTTGAATTTAGGGAACCTTGGTATTGCTGCTATTTCCGAGCAGATGGGTGGATGATTTCTTCTGTTTGCTCTGGTCTTGGGAGCTAAAGAAGGACCCGACCAGTCAGCCAGGGTTTTCCCAGTAAGCACTTAAGCTTTTCTCTGTTGGCTAACCGCGGTGCACGTTCCCCCTGGGCCTTTTAAAATATCCAAATCCAAACGCTTTGTGTGTATCGCTGTCCTACTGAAAGAAATCAACACATATTTTTAAAGTGTTGGACTATTTGCTTTGTGGATGATGATGAGCGGACTAAGACCATGTGTCTCTGTATGAAATATGAACCTGGGAAAAGGAGATGATAGCTCGACTCAGCGTAGCTTTCCATAAAGATTGGAAACGGCAGGCCTGGCTCTGTCCTGTGGCAAATACAGAGGTGCTGGTGTGCATATTTTAATATTTTGCACGGAGGCAGGCGAGTCGTGTCCTCCTCCTCCTCTCAGTCAAAGTTGGCACATTTAACGGCCCAAACGCAGGCAGAGGTGTCAATCTTTCTATCTATTTCTCTGCTAGGAAGCAAACGTGTGCATGCTCCAAAACTGGCAGTTTGTGCAATGACGAGCGGCATGGTCTCCAAGCAACACCGCCGACCCCGTTCAAATGGCGGCAAAGCCTGATTCTTGACCTCACGCACGCGTCGCTCACTTGCTAATTGTTTAATTACGGTGCTTATCTTCACAGTATGTGACCTCGGCTTGGCGCTCGCTCTTGTGGATGAACTCTGCAGCGTCCCTGAGGCGGGAGGGATTTCCTACATGCGTCTTGGGGGAAATAAGCTATTTATTCAGGCAGAAACTCGGAGAACATGCAGCGTAGCTTCAGTCACATCATCACGGGTCAGCGGTTTACATCCTTGATAAAAGTGCGGCGAAATGGTATTTTGTGTATTAAATGGGTCCTGCAGGCTCCTATAAACGTCTCACACCAGTAACTGTGGCAAAGAATGACTCGGTGTGTTACTTAAGGATACGTGTGTAACTTTAGACACCAACAGACCTACTTACATGCTAATTCATGAAAAGCGAATGTGTCTTTGTGTATTTGTTTCAAGCATCCATGTGAATGTTTGAGAACGAGACATGACCACCGTACAGCAAGCATGACTGGTTGTGTGTGTGTGAGAACGGTGTGCGGCTCTTTAGCGGGGCAGTGTAGCGTGCAGTGCGGCCCAGGCCGGCGCACAGGCCGTCCCCGGGTAATCCCCCCGTTTTCAGGAGCCCTGGCCCGTACTTGATGAGCTTGAGCAAGAAAAGGGCTGCGCTCCCTCGTGTGTTCCCCTTCTCTCGTTCTCTCACTGTCTCCCTCTCTTTCTCTCTGTCTCTCACTCTGTTATTCCCCCTCTTTTTCTCATGCCCCCCCACACCCCCCCACACCCTCCCGCCCGTCCCCTGAAGCCACTTTGCGAATGAATGGATACCAAGTGTTTACTCAGCAACTCTGTCCGTCCCTCTTCATTTCTCAGGATTTCATCAACAAAAGGACACGGCGGGTCGCCGTGTGTCGACAACCCGTTTTTGTCTCAGTCGACTGTTTTTTCTGTACTTAATCTTATCATATAACAATATCAAAAGTTACGCTTGTGTGATTCTTTGTGAAGAAACTCCCTTGTGCAGATCTGTTGATTAAATAAACTAGTGTTTAGTCGAGGAACAATTTATTTGGTGGAGGAGAGCACTAAAAAAAGAGGAAGAGGACGTGCGCGTCAACTGCCATCAGAGACCACCGGAGACTTCTGTGGTATCGGAAATCCAGGGAATATGTCAAAGGAGCATTGCACAAGTCTGCCATTGTCACTGTGCACACACACACCTGTATTTAACGCAACTATTAGCCTCTGACGCAAACGCATTGGTTCTTTTGTTTTATTTGAATGCTTCCAGGGACACACTTTCAACCCATTTGTAAAGTAAAAAAGGAGAGCGTGTGATTCAAGGGGACGGGGATGAAATCTGCCACGACACTTTGTTTATATCTGTTGTTCTTGTTTAATAACTGTGAGTTGGTGGTAGAGACAACGTACGCACGACGGTCACCTCAGTGCACGGCCTAACGATCTACAATTAGCCGATAGGAACCGTCAAAGATACGCAAATTACACCTGATTATTGCCTGACGTGGTCCCCGATGCCGCCGGTCAGCAGCGTCGCCGCGGCATTGAGTGAGGCCGCTTCTTCCGGCGCGGCAGGGTGCCAAAGAAGCAAGGCGCTCACCTCGCGTGAACCGAACGCGCGCATGTCTCTACATGGGGTTGCACCGCGTCCGTGACCAAGCGCGCGGGGAGCGTCGAGGTGCCGAGAGGCATGGGCAGGCTCTGCTGGGGTGGTAGCGGGGTGGCTTTGGGAGGAGAGGGGATTAGCGAGAGGCCGCGGGGCCCCGAGGCAGAGGGCCCGTTTCCTGGCCTGAGCCCCTGTTTGTCCTGCCTGACCTGGCAGCTCTGGGGGCAGATCCTGCTTGGATACAGCCCCGCTCCCACGCCTGTCTGAAGCTGTTAGCCACTGGCTGTGAGTAGCTAGCTGGGCTTAGTGTTGTCTGGGCTGCGGCTGGGTTCAGTTCACCAGTGCGGGGGTGTTGACAATGTGAGGGTGACGGGGTGGTGGGCGGCTATGATTAATGACTGGTTGGATGATTGTCACCATATATGTTCATTTCAGGCCTGTCAGCATAGGACGGTTGAGCAGGTGTGAATCCCTGTGCGTGTTTCCTTTCTCCTGATCTGCGCATCTCAACACGAATGAATGAATGAAAGATAAACCAAACGTCCCGTTTGTTAGCAAGGTGGCTAATGTAACGTATTTTCAGAGCTTCAGCGTACTTTGGCAAAAATCCTACAGCGTTCTTTCAAAATAAGTTTCCTCATTGGTTTCGTTGAGGATGGCGGGAGAAAATGGTCCTGCTTCCAGAATGATTCACAAGATGACTCCTTAAGCCAGTGATCGTCTTGTGTCACTCCTTTATTTATGTTTACCTTTCTTTTCTTTTACTATGTGTGCATCCTCCTACCAGTTAGTAAAAGTGCACAAATGACATTATCAGCCGGCCTCGCTGCAGGCATTGTACCCTTCATAGCAGTCGCCTCTCTGTGCACCTTTTTGTAACTAACTTCAACCCCCTATTTGCCTAAATCATCAACTAAAAGCGCCATCAAACGACTGTGTTTGCAGGGTGTTGTCTGCGTACCACTTGTGTGCAGATCTGTGTTTTTACTTAAAAGATCTGTAAGATAACACCTCTATGGGTAGATGGGTCGGTGGGGGGGGGGGGTTGTTTGATTATGGCTCTCCAAAAATGAGAATGAAATGAGTGGGATATTTACTTTTCCCCACCAAAAGCTTTGATAGCTCAATTGCTTGTTTTCAGTGGCTTGTTATTATTTTTCAATTGGTGGATTGTGCGTTGGGCTTGGAGGAGCGCGGAGCAGCTCGGCGGGTGTTGTTTCTGGCCTGGATACACACGGAGCAGTCAGTGAAAGCGGGGAGAGGAGGAGAGATGGAAGGGGCTCGTCCGTAAATCTCTGTTATAGACCGAAGGAAACCATCTGATGCTGGGCTTGTTGTTCTCCCCTGAGCTCTATCTTTCCCTGGACAGCGGACAAAAAGACCCTTTCAAGTATTTTCAGGGAACTAAATCATTAAACCCTTTTAAAAAAAAAAAACACCTATTTAAAATTGATGTTCCTTTTTACTGTCAAGTAATCAGAGGAACGTTACAGGGCTCCTGCCTCCATCGTCATGGAGAGCCAGTGGCGTCATAAAACTGTCAACGCCTCTCTCTCACCTGGACTGACACCCCCCTCCTCCCCCCTCCTGAACACCAGGGCAGGACAAGGGGCTATTTCTGGCCAGGGCAAAGCGATCAGTCGCTGCTGAACTATTCGCACAACCGTACAAGCTTTTTTTCCCCCCCTCCTCCCCGTTTCTGACCATTTCGACAAGAAAACAAGACCCTCCTATCGTTTCTTTTATGAATCTGGCAAATTACTCTTACTTCTCTGGCATGTGCAACATGACCGCCGAGATGCAGCACTCGCCCGCCGAGGCGAGTCCCGTGGTCATGTCCCCGGGCGTGTGCCTGGACTCCCCGCAGCCGGCCGCGATGCTCCAGGCCCGGTCCAAGGACAACGTTCTGATCAAGTCGGAGCCCCGCGGGAACAGTCCGAGCGCGGAGGACGGAGCCGCTCCGGGACAGACCGAGGAGCACCTGCCCACCGGCAGCCGGCGGAGGAAGAGGCCCGTCCAGAGGGGGAAACCTCCCTACAGCTACATCGCTCTCATCGCCATGGCCATAGCCAACTCCCCCGAGAGGAAGCTCACCCTGGGGGGCATCTATAAGTTCATCATGGAGCGCTTTCCCTTCTACAGGGGAGAACTCGAAGAAGTGGCAAAACTCCATCCGCCACAACCTCACCCTCAACGACTGTTTTGTGAAGATCCCCCGGGAGCCCGGCAGGCCGGGGCAAAGGCAACTACTGGACCTTGGACCCCGCCGCCGAGGACATGTTCGACAACGGCAGCTTCCTGCGGCGGAGGAAAGCGGTTCAAGCGCACGGACGTGAGCACCTACCCGGGCTACATGCAGAGCTCCAGCGCGTTCACCCCGACCCCGATGGGCCGGCCGTCGTACCCCAACACCCTGTACGCGGGGATAGGCACCGGGTACGGCGCTCCGCTGACGGCCGCGTCCCCGCACCAGGCCATGCTGCATCACTACCAGACCTCCGGCGGGGTCGGCCAAGGGCAGCCGCGCAGCATGTTCAGCATCGACAACCTCATCAGCCAGCAGGCGGTGGCGCAGGGCGGCCCGGGTGGGGGGGGGGACCTCAACTCCCAGGCGCTGGGGCTGGGGCTGCACGCGGGAGGTGACATGGGCACCATGGCCTCCAGCTGCTCGGTCACCGGCAGCGACCAGTCGGGGTGCTTCCAGGGCCAGACTGTCAACCCCTCGGGGAACATGCTGAGCAGAAACAGCGGGAACCTCTCCGGGTACCCGTACTCCTCCTCGGGCTCCTCGGGCTCCCCTCCGCACCTGTCCACCATGGGCCAGTCCGGGTTCTCCCCGGGGAGCTCTCAGGTGTACTGCTCCGGGAACCGGCTGTCGCTGCCGGCCCTGCGGCCGGGCTCCTGCGCCGAGCACACGGATCAGCTGCTGGGCCTCCCCAGCCCCATGAACTCCTACAACAACTCCTACATGAGACAAGCGAACTTTGCGTCAGGGCTGGAGCGCTATATGTGACAGATTAATACCCCCCCCGAAACGAATAAATCCGTATTAACAATTGCTTGCTAGTCCCAATATTAAAGTAGGCCCTCACACATTGAAGCATGTGGCGGTAATATCACTAATACCATTGGGCCTCTTCACGATGTCTGCTATTCATTAAACGACAGATAAATGTATTTTCTCCCGGGATCAGTGAAGAAATGCCACGTTTGTGTTGTGAAATCAAATGACCGAGCCTCGTGATGAAACATTCCTATTTTGAAAAGCCATTTCGATCCGTTTGACACATTCCATGACTGTATGTCACGTAGTTACGTGTATTTTATTGTGCCACCTTTCGTTCATATTTCCTGCGTGTCAGTTAGTTTAACACGTGTTTGTTACTCATGTGGGCCGTTTTCCGTGTAAATAGTTTGTTGAAACTTCATTAAAAGAAAAGAGTGTTATCGTTGTAGACAACAGGTCGCCTTGAATAAATTCAGGTTTTTTTACAGTAAAATAAATGTAGTCTTTATTCTCGATAGTTCAAATCTATTTGTCCGTGAAAGTAAAATTATTATACTAAAATATTTTTGAAAAATCTCCCTTGATTTTAGTGAAGCAGATGGTTATTCGTGTGTGTAACAGCTCAGTAACAGATCTTTAAATCTAAAAGATTTGTAACAATAGTAATAAATCAAAGGTAAATGTGGCACATGTCCTACTCAATGTAGCTACAAATTAACTATCACGTAAACAATTATACACCCATATTCACAAAACATGAATTTAGAGTTCTTTGAATCACAGAAACTCACTGTAAACTAATCAAACTTTTTGACTGAAAGCTGTACGAATTAAGTAAAAATCTGTTATAAACAGGGCATATTGTTCAAAATTCTAAATGTGTATTTACCTTTACAGTTTGGTCTGAAGGTCATTAATCTTCAAATTTAGCTAAAAACAATATTTATCACAATTTAACTTGTACAGTTTTCTTCAACTCATTTATTTTCTTTGAATTGCAGGCTGGCAACTTAAAAGTGATATTTACTGGCTGAATTGACGCTGAATTGTCCATTTAGGTAAAGTTTGTATTAGATCGTAGTTTTTTTGTGAGTGTTTAGACAGTGTTACCTGTTATCATTTACACTGGCTATTTCAGAATAAATGTTATACTTGTATGTATTAAAGTGGTGCTATGAATTGCCATGCCCAAGATTATGCATATAATGAATGAATGAATTATTATTATTTCATTGCTCAGAAATCCAGTGCAGATGATTTAGGCCTATACAGCGCCATAAAACCTGAACCAAATACATATTAAACAGGAATTTTATTAATGCATTGCATGTACTTCTCATTACCTTATTTTGTTAATTAAGGCATTATCTTGAAAAGCATTCAGGAAACTCAGATATCCAGTGCAGACGTATAGTGCAGGTTGAGGAAGCAGCTGAACCATCAGGGCTTCAGGTGAGGTCATGGCATTTTGTTAAGAATCATTATGCATCAGCGATGTCATTGAAGGACATTTGGGGAAAGTGCTAAACTGCTTGGATTTGCAGTTTAGGGAAATGTTTCACCAACCGGAATTGGAGAAACTTGGATGTCGCAATTGAACCATATTAAACAAATTGAGAGGAAAGCACTATTTTAGCCTATTAAGTGCTGCAGAATAGATTGTTCTAAGTTGCATGGTCTGTTTTGGCTGCACAACTGGGAAAAGTATTTTTTTTTTACTATATTTTGGATATAGTGTATATTGGCATCTTAGCAGAACGTTTATCAATTTATTTAATTAGTCATTATCTTTATTTATTTGGTGCAGAATAGGTTTTATCACTGTTGTTATGTTTAAATCAGTGCCAAGTGACACAAATTAATTGATTAATTAATATATGTTAATAAAGTTTGCCAGTTCAACATAATATCAAAAAAAAAATTTTTATGTTTTGGGTGGGGGTCGGGTAGTGTTCCTACCAATGCTGAGACCAAACCTATACGCCCTTGACAGATACGTAGAGTTTTAATATTTTACAACAATATGAAGTTTGTCTCTGCTCAGGTTTGGAGGCTTATCAATAATACGGCTGCATTGATTTGTCTGTGTGTCACCTCCCGGTCTGATATTGACTCTGTTCTCCACTGAAACTATTGATACACAGAAGAAGGATGTAGCTGCCTGGTGGGTCAATCTGATCGCACATGTATGAAGCAGTTGGAACTTGTTAGTTAAACTGCATCGTTTGGTTTACAGACAGTCTCTCATGAAGAGGGCATCATCCGAATAAAGGCCGACCGAACAAAAAGCCCAATTGTCTTTGATAATGTACAGTTTAGACTTTCATCCACTAGATGGCAGCAAAGGCAAGACGATTTCACTAATATAAGAGAAATTGTTTTTGCTGTTTGTTGTTTTGGTTTCAATCAATACAGTAATTCTGTTCAGCAGTCAACGATGACACCACTTCTTAAGAAAAAAACACGTGATCATTTTTAAATCTTTAGAAAGCTGATGAAACATTGTCTCTGCGTCATATTTGTGTTTAATATAATTTCCTCATTAATTAAACGACAATGACGAAGACATCTGTTAATAAACACAAACTGGACACAACAATGAAATAAGTGTGATCGGCTCGCATCCCCACTCGGACGTCACATTTAGTGTGTCACTAACATAGTGTCTAACAGCTAAAGAAGCTTTTCGTACTGTAACTCAAAGCATCAGGTGCCCCTGTGTGGCTTCTTGGCCTCACGCGTCATCACAGTGTTTCAGCATCTCTCTTCAATTGACACTTGTTGTCTTGAGGTTTATTGTTCAAAGGATATTTTTTTTATCATATGACAGATTTAGTTATTAGTAACTTCACAATTTGATATTTTTCCGCACAAACCTTTCTCAAATATGATGTCTGATTATAGATTAAAGAAGCCAGCGGTTGGTGGATTGGCAGCAATTTAATTGCTGGTTAGTCTATTTTGAAACTTGTTTTGGTCAATTTAAAAAGACTTAAGAAATGTTATGTTAAATTAAAGATGGTCATCAATTTTAACCTATTTTGGATAGTTTGTTTGCAGTATTGTAAAAAGTTTCCCAACTTGTGTGAGAACCTAATGCGACTATCCTTAAATATGACAATGCACAGGAATACACATAACTAACAATTTATACTTTATAATCAAATGTTCTTTTTTAAAAGAAAATGTTTCCATATTGAAATGAGGTATATTTATTATTTATATTACAAATGTTGCCTGAACTTATTTGACTGTTTTGTGAAACTTCTTATGCTGCTTATTCTGATAAAATAGAAAAAAGAAATTAAATAACTGCTTTGCCTGCAAAATATCTATCATGCACCATTTTTTATAAAACTCAACACAGTATTTACTGTCATCAACAATCTGTTTTGTTTTCATGTTGTGTCTCTTTGTCAACAGCAGGGGGCGCTTCAACACCACTAAACGGAGACGATGAGGCCCCATTAAACCTTTGGAAGCTTCATGGACCTATAATATAGGACTGCGCGGGTTTTTTAGGTTGTTCAATTTAACAAATCTCAAAATAATACATTTTTTATAAAATGCAACAACAAAAATAAATATCTGCAGGTAAGCTGCAGAATCTTAATATTTTTAGAAAGTAAAAGGAGCTGTAAATAAAAAAAGCCCTAAAATGTTATAGCTACACAAAGTACATGCATATTTTAGTCTATTTATTAGCACATATATTTATTAAATTAATCCAAATATATTGCCACTCACAACAAGCGGCACACAGAATGTAAGATAAACATGTAAATATGAAAATATGAAAAAAAAACATAAACCAACGCACTTAAGAGTTAGCCGGCTCCAAAGGGTTTGGATTTTGAATTGAAATCAAATGTAAATAATGATTTAAAAAAACCCATTATAAAATATGTCTGCTTGTGAGACTTGTGGAGAAAGTAACGCGTCATGTGGCTCGGCCGCAGTCAGACTTGTGACATGTCAGACAAAACCTGCTTCACCCCTTCACCTCCAGAAAAGACCAATAACGTAATAAGAAACTCACGAATCAGATCGTGTCGGAGGTTAGGATGAAACTCCAGCCTCGATGTGAAAATTAGAGGACCGTGGTGCTGGAGATGCACGCGCGTGACGTTAACAGTGTGTCTCTGCACACAATACACACACGTTACACGTCGTCATCACTGCTGACCAGGACAAAGAGAAGCAGGTTGCATCGAACCACTGACTCCAATGTGCTGTCGTGAAATATGCAGAACATGCAGATAGTGTGTTGGGACGTTTTGAAAAGGGAAACACACAACCGGTGGGAAGTGGTCAAGGAATTAGGCGGCTGGCCAAAACCTTTGAGGAAGGATTTCAACACCGCCCCCCCCCCCACCAAAAAAATCAGCCAATTTATCAGAAGGGACATAATAAAGAGCTCCGCCTGTTGATTTAACACCTTGAACCAAAACTGATGTAACGGGTCAAAATGTCTGAACAAAAACTAGACTTGTTAATTAGAAGACTAATTATAATAGGCCTGTTTAACGATATTTATTATGAGCTTTACATTACAATTAAGGGCAAACATTGTGTCTATTTTATTTTTAATTAAAATACAAATAATAATAATACTTAAAATAATAAATGCATGTTTTGATGAATACATGCATTATTGTTAGTATTTTTATTAATAGCTTTTAAAACTTTAAATCAAATGATATCTTTCTTTGAAGACCGCTCTGAGCTTTATGTGCATTTCTGGGACGTTTTTAGAACACTATTTTAACGTAATATATATATATAAAACAAATATGACTTTGATTTGACTAAATATACGTTTGCATTATTGGGTAAATACCGATATGTGCTTTATTATAAAGAGCCCAATCACATCACCGGAGATCAGATCTCTTATGCACTACAGAAAAACTAAAAGTCAATTTAATCGGGCAACCTTGTGTTCCATAATAAACCGCATTTCAATAATTAAATGAGAAATTGCATCTTTGTGTTATCGGTGAAACATTTTTCAAAACTATTTTCAGTCATAAACGTGTTTTTTTCTTTATTAATATATATTTTAACTATTTATTAAGAAAACAATAAGTGAGATATCCAACAAGTAATTAACTATTTTAATTCTCCAAATAAGATCATATGCAGAGGGACAACTGATGTGTTTCCGTTATTTCTTTGTTAAGTTGTTTTTAATCAAAGAACATTCCAGTGATTCAAGAGAAGATCAAAATATTGCGTTTTGCAAGGCAATTCCGTCCAGTTCCTGGTAACAGTGACTCAAAGACCACGTGACCAGCGCGGTCCTATAAATGCCTTTTGAAAGCTGAAGAAGATAGTGTGACAGTCGGGCTGGATGCCTACCCAACCCCGTGCGTAAAAGACATTTTGGAAAGAATCGTGGAGATCCAGAAGTAGCTTTCCAAACGCGCTACACGGGACAAACTGATCGCAGACGGAAACAACCTCGACTCCGGAAGTCACAATCCCAGATTGGCGCAAGATCGATGATCTTTGACTGTTTGCTTTTTACGCCTGTAAAAACCAGAAGTTGTCTGCTCGATGAGAAGCTCACACGGCCCCGCTTGAACCAGCCTCGGGACGACCAGGAGTCGCCAGATCCACAGGTCAAAGACTTATTTATCTTTTCAATAGATTTTAGCCATGTGTGCATTCAGTAGTTTGGGATAAAGCTGCCGCAAACGCCTGGTGTGGTTGTAAGGGGAGGGGGGGGGGGGAGGAGGGGGGACTGGTGGGAAGGGAGGGGGGAGAGGGAGAGTAGCCTCGCCAGCCTAGAAGGAGGAGGAAATCTGGGAGAAAAGGGGAAGAGAAGCGGCGTCTCCGAGGATGACTTTGGGGACGGATATGTCCGACAGCTCTGCATTGTCCGAAGACGTGGACATCGATGTGGTTGGGGGTGATATATCCGTGGGGAAGGACGGAAAGTACATCCACCACGACTTCAACTTGGACAATGACTCGGACGATAATTACTCCCAGAACGCGGCCGAGAGGGGTTCTTCTCCCGGGCTCAGCAGCTCCGACTGCCCGTCCGACCAGATGGGTTCCAGCGCGGAGGTCGGCACCGCCATCGGGGAGAAATCTAGGAAAGGCGCCCTGGTGAAGCCCCCGTACTCTTACATCGCCCTGATCACCATGTCCATCCTGCAGAGCCCCAAGAAGCGCCTCACCCTCAGCGAGATCTGCGAGTTCATCAGCAGCAGATTCCCTTACTACCGGGAGAAATTCCCCGCGTGGCAGAACTCGATCCGACACAATCTCTCCCTGAACGACTGCTTCGTGAAAATCCCCCGAGAGCCCGGCAACCCCGGGAAGGGCAACTACTGGACCCTCGACCCGGATTCCGCAGACATGTTCGACAACGGCAGCTTCTTGCGCAGGAGGAAGCGCTTCAAGAGGCACCAAACTAACGAAATCCTGCGGGAGTCTGGCGGCTTTCTGCCCGGGTTTGGATACGGCCCGTACGGATACAACTATGGACTCCAGCTGCAGAACTTCCACGCAGCCCATAACCCGTATCACCCGCACCACACGGGTGGTGCATTCCCGTTCCCCAACGCCCCGTGCACCTTGCCCTCATCGGGCTCCATATTCCCTGCGCCGCATCACCTTCCGTCCCTTTTAGGGACCGATTTAAGAAAGCCGTTTTATCCCCAAATAAGCGCGTCCCTGCCGCCTCTCAAGACGGACTCGAGCACCCCGAGTCGGCCTTCGTTCTCCATTGACAATATCATCGGTGCGGCCAACTCCACCCCCGCCTCTTCCTACGGCGCGCAGCCGGGCAGCCAGGCTCAGATCCTGGCCATATTGACCCCAGCACTGGCCTCTGCTTCCAACCATTTGAACCTATCGCAGGACAGCGTATTACCGGCCGGGCCACAGGGACAGACTTTTTCCGGCAAAACCCCAAATATGAACACTTGTCCTTTCTAAGAAAAAAAGAAAAAAATATTAAACGAAATTTCAAGAATGAAAATCTTTTATTATAAAGTTAGAAGTTAGTGTGGCTTCGCCCTGTGTGAAGGTAGGCTGTGCATTCTTGGTGAAAACGAAGAGTGTTGTGGTCCTTGTAACAGGAGAGGAAGGTTTATTTATGGTGTGTAAATATGTGTATAATATTGAGACAAATGCAAGAAAGGTCTTTCTAAACAGTGCTGACTTGGACTCCATCTGTCAATGGGGGGGAGGAGAAAAAACAAGATCCTGTTATAAGTTAAAAAGGTGTCACCCATGGCTACGGGGATGATTTCTGACTTTCTTTCTTTCTTCTTCTTCTTTTTTGGATAGTTGAGCATTTTATTATGATTTACGTTGTTTTTGTTTTGTGCGTCGTGAAAAAAAAAATAGCACTGTTGTTGTTGACATAGAGCTGATAGAGACGGCAAACTCAGGTTTTTAAGCACATGGAGACGAAGTGGGGCTTCTGACACAAGAAAAGCCGTATCCCACTATCACTCCTTCCTCCAGTGATTCTCCTCCTCCACGTGGTGAATTTGTGACAATGTCATTTCATGTCGTCCGTGGACACGTAGGCTATGTGGTTTTGGTACAAAAGAGCGCATTACACCTCTCTCAACCTTTTAACTGTCGTTATTTCACATTTTTACTCTGTGAAAACATACCGTATGTCTTGTGTTGCCAATAGAAAGAAAGAGACACTTAATTGTTCATAGGTCATTTTTTGTTGTAATGACAAGAATAATAAATGTTTGTGAATTTGAACAAAACAAAATCGTTAATTTATTTTTATTCCACGGAGTTGATTCCCCAGAGTTAAAAATAAATAAATATCTAAACTGAAAAAAGCAGCACATGAGTTGAATTAAATCGAATGCGTATTATGTAAAATAAAAAATACACAACAACTTACCAAAGAGAGTCAACGTCTTTCCGCTCATTAAAAATTTGCTTCATTTATTTATTTCAGTAAAAATATTTAACTGAATTGATCGGCACGTTCTGGTAAAAATCCTAACATGTATACATAGGCTATTCACATTGCAGCTCATAAATCTAATGCATTTATGTGGACGTCGGCCAATTAGAAGAAAAACAAAAAATTACTCTCTTATGCAGTTAATCGGGACTCTTGTTAGGCGTGAAAAACGCACCAAATTCAGTTGAAATATTTCAAACACGACTCAATGTATTCAACAGTCATGAATATCACGCAACAGTGGGCAAGTATTCCTCTTGTGTGGCTCTTGCTCGCTTGTAAAGGACCCATTTTCTAGCAAGTTACAAAGGCCCCAACTGAATAGGGGCGTTATCAGGCCTCGGCGGCCTGTAATTGAAAGTGAACAAGGATATACCCACGGTCTTTCGGGCTGTCGTTGCTAATTTGTAGCAGCATTTTTCACCAGGCTCCCTAATCCACCATAATGCGGCTTTTTTGGCCGTTTGTTGATGTTGTCAGTGCGGACCCCTGGCCCAGCGGAGTGAATGTGCGCGCAGCGAGCGGTCCCCTGTGAGACCAGCCACACACATTTAGACCCCTGAAAAGCAATCTTCTCTAAAGGCCCTCGGTTTTGCTCCGCTTTCATGTCTTCGTGTGTTGTCTCGGGATATGTATAAAAGAAGCAGTGGGACTCGTCCGGCTACAGAAAACAGGCCCATTGGTCTTTTTTTCAGAGTTGTTGGAGCACATGTTTCCAGACAGAAGGGGGTGTAAAGCCTCCTTTATTTACCAGATCTGTGTGCAAATGGTTAAATGAGTTTGCGGGTGTTTTGACAGACGATTATTAAGGATGAAGGGGGTGTGGGGGGGGGCTGACTCTTCTGTTTTCCTTCAGCCCAGCTCGCTGAACGTCTTTGAAACGAAAACCAACACATGCCTACTTTCTTTATCTGGACTTAGCCTTTATTCCGCTTCTCTCCTCCCAGTTGGTGCAAATTGAACATTTGCTAAATATTGAGTTCGGATTTGGGAAATCATTTTGATTAGAGCTTCTCCTGTAGTGTATCCGCGGGTGTTAATGGGTATCCTGCATGTATAATTTGCAGAGTAAATGAGGTGGAAAAAAAACATTTAGCGGGCTATTGAAGTTTTCCTGTGCACGCTCGCTCTGGCAGGGAGTCATTACGCACCGCACCAGTCCATTAAAAATCCACATGAAGCGTTTGCAGAGGTGGTTAAAGAACGTTTAAATAACGGCAGGAACGAAATCTAAGCCAATAAAACTCACTGCTACAGAAAAGCATAACGCACGCGCACACACGGATAGACGATTTGAGGCTGAACCGATTTCAATGGAAAATGCACCAAAACAAGTCATCCGGGCCGCATCTCTCCAGGAGACCTTTCCCTTTTCCCCCCGTGCTCGTCCTCATGGGATCCCATCACGAAACGTTCATATTTCCGAATTAGGGGAACGGGTTTGTCACGTCAGGACCACCTACCGGGACGTCTTCTCCATCCCAACCATCCTGAGTGATACGTGACAGTCAATGGCGCAACGGTGCCCCCCAAAAAACCGTGTCCTCCTGCTGCTTTTGATGTTGGATCCATCTATTCTTCTCCTTTCAGGGATCGCGGGGAATGTCGTGCGTTACATGATGACGTATGGTTCAAACTCGGTCCCATATAGTATAAGAGCGAGTTTGGTCCTAAACAGCGCGTGACAGCCGGGGATTAAATGAAATCGTTTCGCTTAAATCTTCTGCTGCCTTGCCAATAACTCGGCGTCCCTGATCGATGCACCGTGCGCTGCTGCATCTTCAAGGGCACAAAGACACGGGCTCTGTGTGTGTGTGTGTGTGTGTGTGTGTGTGTGTGTGTGTGTGTGTGTGTGTGTGTGTGTGAGATGTCAGGCCTCAAGGTGAGGCTCGTCAATTGAAACAGAAGACGTCCCTCACTAAATGTTTACTGATAACTATGATGATACAACAAACACGCCCTTCACCAATGAAAAGGCGTATATATGCAGTGGCCTATTTAAACACACGATTAACAGTGAAATACACACACGCACATACGATCGTGTTGTTTTAGTCCTCATTTGAAGGGGACTAAAACACGAAGGATTAATCATTCAGTGTATTACTATGATATATACCGTATACTCATGTACTTCATAATTCATTCTGCCTCTTCAAAAACAGGAAAAGACACACGGAGATTACAGGTGATTAAAGGCAGCGGTAATTATTGCAGTCAGAATCTGTAATTTGTGTTCATCACTTAATGGGAAAAAAAGATGTTTTCAAATTCGATTATTTTCATTTGACCCGTGAACTGAATAAAGACCCACCGGGCCCGTTGGTTGGTCTGTTGGACACTGCATGGAGGTGGGCTTTATTTCAGGGAGTACAGAGCTGCTGTCAATAAGAACAAACTACTCGATTTGGACTTCTTTATTTTCAAAGACTTGGCCTTCATCCCGCTGCGCCACAAACGCGTTTGGAACCCGACTTCGGAGACCGGGTTGGGACCGTTTGGCACAACTTCTCATACGCGTTTTTGCAACTTTTGGAGCCTATAAACATCACTCCTCTTTCTATTAAACAAACAGGACTTCATCCTAACCCTTTACCCCCCCTCCTCCCGGCTCACCTCCTTTCTCCTTTTACTCCGCGTGTGTGCGCGCCCCCGCGGAGGAATGTTGGCCCGGTCCGCCACGGCTCGACCTGCACCGCCGCTATAAATCACAGCCTCCCTTTTGCTGCTCCCATCTCCCTCCAGCCGGCGTGTTTTTGCAACAGACAGAGGAATCCGTCGCTTAATTAATTTAGAATGTGTAAATAAAGCGAGGACAGTGAACTCCCCATCATCTCTGGAAACACAATATTAACTTTGGAAGAGCTTCGCCCCGCCGACTCGGACACACCAAACGAACACCTGCTGCAGGAGGGCACGGACACACACAGACACGCGCACGCACGCACGCACGCACGCACGCACACACACACACACACACACACACACACACACACACACACACACACACACACACACACACACACACGCGGTGTCGGGGCAGGGGTATTAATGACAGCAGATATTAGCCTGCAAAGGTCACCAGAACATGATAGCGGGGTGATCCGCCGTCATTAAGACCTGATTTAGAAGTGAAGATGTGTGTTTACTAAAAAGTCTGGTGCCTTCTGTTTCCTATTTGTTGTTTTAAGTTTGATTAGACGGTTTTCCTGATTTAAAATGGGCGCAGGAACAAGAAAGGGTGCACGTGTGGATCCATTAATTCATGTGCACACCAGGAGATAATTATAGTCTCTGACACATCTGGATGTGCAGAAAGAGGCCTTATAGGAAACATTAAATTAAGATGTTAAAACACATTTGTTTAAACATAAATAAATAATAAAGAAAAACAACGTGGCTCAAACAATTGTTTCCACCTATTGACTAAATGCATCTCAGCTCTCTTTAATGTTCCCCACCTCTCTGGCTCCACTTAATACCGACACTGGTGTAACATCCACACAGACTATTAATCAAAAAACTCCACCGGCTATTATTAAGTAGGCGAACTGCCCCCCCCCCCCCCCCCCTCTACCCTCGATGGAGACCTTTAGGTTACTCTCAACGTCCTCCGATGGTCCTCGGACCTCACTTAGGGCCACCCGACTCTTCTCCATGGACCCCTGTCCCCGGGTTGGACGGCAGAGGAGGCGGGCGGCGCAGCTGCTGCCGGTCACTCTCACGCACACTCGGCGGTGCCATGCGGGCGTTTTAACGGCTTCTTCCATTGACCTTCGATGCCGCGCGCGTAATGGCGGCGGTGCGACGCATTTACCTTTCCGAAATGATAATTGATTTAGGATTTACACGTTACCCCCCCGTCGGTTTCTTAGAATGTGGGATTTTTTCCCCCCATAAAACAAAACAACAAATTAATGAAATTAAGCCTTTATGTTGTAAATGAAATGAGTCATTTAGAGTTACAGCAGGTTATACTGATTTTGTTTTCGGGTTCAGACTATTTCAAAACGAGAGAATGATAAATAATAGTTCGTGAAATTAAACAATGGATTAACACGTATGTATATTTTAAGATATTTGAGGCTAATTAGTTGAATTCCTATAAAGGCGCATTAAAACGTGTAGAAATGTTGCCAAACAAAACAAACGCTGCACACAAGAATAACCAAACTTCATCATTATGCCGCAGACAGCCTCCATCTCATATGGATTGGTATCTGCCTTGTGTTTTTTTTAGAATGTAATGATTACACTTCAACCAGAGTTAAACAAAAGTCAGCGCGGGGTGTGATATAAGAAACGCCAAGGACACTGCAGCCTCCAGGTGAAAATGAAACTTTGTTTATCCAATCTGTTTCAGCGTGAACGCGTGCGTTTTTCAGAAAACGAAGGGGGGAGGAAAAAGGGGGGTGCGGGGGAGGGTGCTCGCCGATAAAATGTAAGCTTACCATCCAGAGTGAAATGCGATCACGCTGAGGTCGTGGGGCCAAACTTTTTAAGACTAATGTTTATTTAGAGAAGTGAGCGCTGTCTATGGGACTCCCCGTTCTCCCAGAATGCTTCACTAATGTCTTTACCAGGCCCGAGCGGACCACCGGCTAGACTGCGCAGCCCTCTGCACCCTGTTGCGGCCCTTTGAGACGAGGCTGCCTTCAGAGGGCGACGCTGTGGATGGAACGCATTTGACCTCATTGTGGATGAGCTCTTTTTTAGATAAAAAAAAAATCTAATGGAAAAATTGAACACCCTGTTTTGCTATTTATAGGGCCTAATATTTTATCCACTTGCAACAA